CCACTATCCCTAGACATTGGAGTACCGTACAATTTGACATCACTACCCTACTTTACACAACCACCATCACAATTTTTTAACAAATACAAAGTACAAGAAGCGGTAAGGCGGTGTCTCTTTAATTAAATCAAGTCACTGAAGCATCCACCAGCAAACTCTTATTACAAGACCGTCCCACACCTCCCACCAATAGTTCAGGGTCGTACAACATTGAAGAAAACATTACATTAAATATTTCACGTTACTTATATCGTATTTTCGGATCACCTGAAGAGTAGATATCCAAAAGTATTTCACTCTAAGACTAAACACCCTAACGCTAACCTCATCCCTCCTCAAATGCATAGTTAGGTTAGGATAGCTACGGGGGAGGGGGTGAGGGATATTTCAATTTTCAACAAGAGTACCGGAGCAGTAGAGTTATCTCGCGCTGTTGAGTGTTTGGTGACCGAGTTGATATCAGGACACAAGCGCGCCATTATCTGTTGTCCCCAGCTGTTTAACTCTCGCTGTTAAATATAGAATCAAAAGCCGGAGCCGCGCGGTTATATTCCAGTAACTTACCTCTGACATTCATGCAGTTATATCTTGAAGAGATTTATGACACAAGTGACCTAATGTTTTGTTTCTCGTCTCCTGATATAAAAATTCGTGTTAGGTTTTATACAAGGAAGCGTACACCCTCTCTTCCTCTCTCTCTCCCTTCGTCTCTCCAACTCTCTCTCAGACACTCACCGGTTATTCGAGATAAGAAGGACCATAACTTCATACAAGGACACGCGTAATACTGAACTAATGTTATCATAAAGCGGTACTAAAAGGAGTCAAGGTCGGGGGCGGGCGGCTCCTCTGTACATCTCGTGGAGTTGAAGTAGTGGTGGTGACACTTGCAACATGGTATTGATGTTAGTAGTAGGCTAGAAGGTGTAATAGTTATGGTAAGGTAGTATATTTTACTAGTAGTACTGTATATGCTACCAGCAATAGAAACAGTTGCAGTTGTAGATATATCAATAAACTACTGTAATTGTAGTAGTGAAGTAGAACCAGTAATACAGAGCCATTACGCAAGCTATTACAATCAAATACCATTGTTAAGTTAGCTGCCGGGATTATCAAAGCCGTATTGCCTTTCTGGACGGCTGAGCTGAGCAGGAGGCTGAATGATTGGCTGGGAGTGTGGGACAGAAAATTACACACGACAGGGTTTGTTGGTAAAGTATACTAACTCATTATAGTTTTCTGAAGGACTGGAGTCATTGGGTGATGAGACAAGGATAAGGTAGACATTGAACGTTAATAAGCAATAATTGGTGATTCGTAGGTAAAGCACAGTACAAGGATAGGTGTAGTGGGATGAGGATGTGTTTACCAGGTGGGAGATAATGTAGATAAGAAGTGACCCCCCCCCCCCTCCATGTTTGAACCATTCCCTCGGTCCCGTCAGAATCAGGTGCCCCCTCCACACATCAACAAATTTATCTAAAATATATATTTCTCGTGTATTATTATATTTACAAGTGACGTAATGCCTCGGAACATCAATAGTCATTACGTATTACAGCACCGTGCTACTAAATATCTGCATCCTGATATATATACTATCCTCCACGCTGTTACATTTACATCAACACAACAAGGATTTTTTCCCGAAGGGTGGGGTTGGGGGAGGAGGGAGCGAGACCAAATAAGTAGGTTGGTGAGACTGGGCAAGACGCAGAGTACACGCCACCCTTCTACGAGACACCTTCAGAAGGAAATGTATGCATTCTTACGATCAGATAGCACTAGACGGCCATTTATCTATGCTTAAGGTGGGAGGTTGGGTCACTCTCGGCTATGCCTCTGAGATTACCAACGTCAATTTATAATCATTAGTATGACAATAAGAAACACGCACTGGTTAATTAATTCGGTTGCCGCAAGTGACATTAAACTCAACATCTGAAGTTTTCGTTCATCCAATGTGTTTCACTCAACTCGCCTCCTCATCTTCCCATTTTTCCCCGCTGTGCTATTGTTATTGTTGGAGTGCATCACCCCCACCCACGCGATCAGTTCATGACCTGAGCCGCTGCCTCATCACCACCATCACGTCAAATTCACCCTACACCTTCCCTGTGCCCTCATCGGTGGCCCGGTACAAGCAAAACCAGATCGCGGCGGTTATATTCGGCGCGCGCTGGGGAGAGAGGAAAGGTAGGAGAGGTTGCAACAGTTGGCACCAAGAGAAGGAAACTTGGCGCACCAAATCCAAAGCGAACCCGAACCCGTTAAGTTTCGGCTATTGTATCGGTTGGATCCGTATTTTGTGGACTACCATATGGGTTTTTTCTCGACTTCCGAAGTTAAACGTCACTTTTGTTTTTTCAAGCTTATGACAACTGACGCGAACATTACTGTCATCAACAATATCACAAAATATATTACTCATAATGTATTAATCTTGCCATAATCGTGTCCAATTATTGTATTTTCTATCATATACAGTACATATACCAAATACATTACGGAATGCGTTGATGATACCACTGAGAGAACGTTGGTAGCACTGACAACATTGGGAACACCGAGAGAACGTTGGTGACACTGACAACGTCCATACCACTGGCAGAATGCAGTGTAAAATAAAGATAAAAATTTTAACTATATCAAAGAGAACTCGACACAACCAACAGCGGAGTATAACATAAGCTAACACGCTTTGAGGTCGTTCAAATGGCCAGGATACACACACACAAAGTTAATCATATAACTAGCTAAAACTCTTAACAAAAAACCCTTCAACCTTGGTAATCAATTGTTATAGACTTTGAAATAGGGTTGGAAGAGTTTCATGTGTGTGGCAAGGGAGGGTAGGGCGGTGGGAAGGACAGTAGCCTAGTCTTGGAGTCCGCTGTGTGCCGCAGTCAAGGGAAAGTTTAGATTCCTGTCATCACAACATACGGACAATAGGTTAACATATTTTTTCTTCCTTGTACCATAATATTGTACTGAACATACTTCCCGTGCAATGCCCCCAATACACTACAGTAATTTTACAGTATATTTTCATATAAACAGTTGGAGACAATTTTATTAGTAATTAAAAAAAAGATACACGATATAGTACGTTGAATTAGCTTCTGTTTTTGTGGCACAACTTTTTTTAATTAGATACAATAAGACCATAAAATCCCCATATTTGCCTTTAATAATCCAGTATCATTCCTGTTTAGTGGCTGGCATGATAACTCTTCAACACGCCACTGGCAACTTTCTGCTGAGATTTTGTCAATATATTAGCAGACCAAGGAACTACGATGTACGGGGTAACCTTTACACAAAGGTTGAAGGTGATGGGTCAGAGAGCTCAATAAACACAGCCATTGCTTAAAAATCCGAGTGTTCCATACTGGCCTTGGTTTGTACCTCTTGCTCAACTGTCCAACATACACAACGTCGTACACAGGGATGAGGCCAATTTTAACAATTATGTGCTTGTTATATAATCAAAATTTTAGTTCAATACGTTTGTTCACTTTTAGTTAAAATTATATAGCTACCACTTAATAACTTTCTACAACAATTAAATTTCTTCCAATTTAAAAAATATCTTTTTTTCTTCCTATACCTTAAAAGCTACTGTATACATTAAAAACAAACACACACACACACACATTGCAAACAAGCAGATTAGGCAGAAAAAACACCACATCCGCCTTGACATAATCTTATTAGGCAGTGTTACGTCAGTCAACACTGAGATGCTGTGTCCGCCCGCATCCATGATAGTAATAACATAACTCAAGCGTTTACTGCCAATGTGTTCGACACTCGCGCCTAATTCTAAATTTGTCATTTAAAACCATTGTTACGAGTTCGCTACTGGTTGGCAAGTGAGTACCTTTGTTATATCACTTTTGTTCAACCCTAACTTCCATTTATAAACGTAGATCATATAGCCCCTCACTCCACGTCTCTCGAGGGAGTGCACATTAAGATGCGTTAACCTGTCTCTGTACTCAAGGTTCCTAATGCCCGGGATTAGTCTTGTCATCCTCGCCCGAATGTTTTCCAGGGATTCTATATCCATTCTGTAGTACGGTGACCAGAATTGAACAAGGATCTGTTAGCCAAGGGAATGATACGACCTTCACGTTTCCCTACAATACACCTTTAGTGCCAGTAGTGAAAAATGACGGATCCCTACGGTTATGCCTGGACTTTCGTAAACATAATGAGTCAATCGAGGATGATCGGTATCCTCTATCTAACACGGATTCTATTTTACACAGAATAGGTCAAGGAAATTACTTTACCTGTTTCGATTTACACCAAGGATATAACGTAACCAGGTACCTTTAGCAACCGAGAGTACTCACAAGACTGGATTCAGTCCACCTAGTGGTCACTTGGAGTATTTAACACTACCATGTGGGATGAAAGACGCTGCTAGTAGTTTCCAGCGTGCTATAAATATTGCATTGACCGATTGGTCGTGCAGGCTTTGTTTACCTTTATGATATTATTGTGGTCGGCCGAACATGGGAAGAACATTTCCATAATAAGACGTATTGAAACGCCTAATATGTCTCCCTATCACTAAGTTGGAAAAATGTAGTTTTTATTCCAAAGAGAAGTGGCATACTTGAGCCTGGAGGATACGACTATTGTGCATACTGTAGCAGTGGTGAAAACCAGTCCTCGCAGCTGTGGGTGTGATATCTATCATGGTGGGTGTGGTACCTATCATGATGGGTGTTACCTACCATGGAGGGTGTGGTATCTATCATGGTGAGTGTAGTTTCATCATGGTGGGTGTGGTATATGCCTTTTTAAACAGGCAAAACAAAACAACAAACGACCCAAGTTATTAGTTATGCTAAGTGTTATTTCGGGAAGGTCAATCGATTAAAATGTGACACTGATTGACAGCCTATATGTTGTGGCAGTGAGATACAGTGGTCTCTTATCACCCCCCCGGGCTCCTAACCTACATGATAGTCCTAGCCACTTACCTCGTATCCTAGAAGCTTGAGCATTCCTTCCTGGTCCTGTTGGCGGGGTCCTATATGGCGTACCGAAAAGTCATCAGCCTGTGGTAGCAAGAAGCGGGCTGCAGAGGTGAAGGATATACCCCTGGCCTGACCATAGTGAGGGTACAGGACAACTCTACTCGCCACAGCACGAGCCATCATATAACCTTGTCCACGGACAAGCTGATCCAGCATGGTACTGCACTTTGGTGCCCTCAACATCTTACAAGTTTGTTGTTGACACTGGATAACTATAACCGTGTCTTAACCCTGACGAGAACCTCAAGTATCTACCGTCTCTTCACTACACCAGCATAACAAAATCTCCAGTTTCAACGGGCAAACACGGAATAATACAAGTTTTTCCTCTGGTAATGCAACAGTGGAGCTTCTCGCACCTTCCCTCCGCCAGCGCTCAAGAGATACTGGTGTCTGGCAGAGCAGCGAGAATCGATCACGCCAGAATTGTGATCACATCCCACAAATGTTTTTTACTTTACGCCTAGTTTTCATTATGTTTCGTTCAGTACCTCCTGGGGTCCAAGGCGTATATAAATATCGTATTTAAGAATAACCTCATTTATATACAGAGCGTAAGTTATCCATGAGGTGGTTAACTATGATTATAAAGTATATTACATAATTAGTATATAACACCTCTATTGTAAAGATATGAGGCACATGTTTTGTTTGTTGCGGGCTTGAAAAAACAATATAAATTATTTTCAGCGCCAATAGATAGGCATATTCTATTTATATCAAGATCCCTACATACTATAACACCAAATATAACAACTTGGAGTGTTCTCAATGGTGTTCTCTTATACATGATATAATATTTGCTATATTAAGTAACAGCGCACAACACACCCACACATACAGCCAATCACAGGACAGTAGATGTGATATGAACCAATCAGCGAGAAGTCTGATACCAAGCCTCCACAAGGGACATTGACCAGTGTAGCAATGCCATATCTTCACAATATTAAACATAAAAACAATATTTAAAGAAAAATACTCATTTGCTTGTAAGTCGTTTACCAATAACTTATGTAATTCACCGTATTCTATGAAAAGTAAGGTAGCTGTCACAGATATCAAGTTGGGGTGGAGAAAGCTGCCGAATTTCTACGTTTTGTAAATTTTTGGTTTTGAAGTTGTCAGCAGTTGTTATACTGCCTGGAGGCCTTGTAAACACTTACATAATAACTTTTCAGTCGTAAATGCGTTTGAAATGATTCTAAACGACTATATTAAATGTTATGTCACTAAATTCTTCGGCCTACAGCCTACAGGTGAGCCAGTGAGTATTGCGCAGAACAGTTGGAAGACCAAGATACCGTTGCAAAACAGGTTATATTAGGCATCTTCCCTGTGGTACCACGAAATCAGACATGATTAAAATATAAACACCTTATCTTTTTCAGTTACACACACTTTAGTATAACCCTTCTAAACCTTTACACAGTTGCCTTTGAGTTATTTTGGTTTGATACAGTGAATCTACATACATGCATCGACCATTATATTTTGTTAATTGTTTTAGCAACACTACTGCTCCTACTAGTGACGGAAATAATGTACCCTTATTATTCTACTATTGACTGATAGGTTTGGCATTCATGACAATGTCCTATGATCTTGGGTCCCTATATAAGAAGGGGAATTTCACTGATACTGCATTGTTTTTTTTAAGCCCGTTTGAATCACAAGAATCGTCGTGGCAGGGAAATTTCAACTTACCACGATTATTTTTTCTCCGTGGCAGGGAAATTTTGACCGAACGCGGGCGTGTGTTCACGTCAGTGGCAGAGAAAGAGAGAGAGAGAGAGAGGGGGATAAGAGAGAGAGAGGGGATAAGAGAGACAAAGGGAGCAAGAGAAGATAAGGAAGATGAAGACGGAGGCAGATTAGTGGCGGGAAAAGAGAAAAACAAACATGATTATAAAGACAATTTTAATTAAATGACTTTATTGTCATGAATGGAGTATGTATAATTTTGCCTAATCTGAGTTCGTTCAGTCAAAGCAAAGGTTCATACACAATAGAAAATAATAAATTAGATAATATTCATGTCATAGAATGAAAACAAATAAAGTGTAAGGATATCTACAAGGATTCCTGATTTAATATACTGTAGTAGTTTGGTTGCAGAGAGATTGGGGGAAAGAGAGAGGAGAGCAAAGGAAGACAATAAGGATAAAGAATAAAAGAAACAAAGAGAAAGAGAAGGTAAGAAAGATGAGACAAGGAGAAAAGAGAGTGAGTGGTGGAAGAGAAAAAATAGATATAAATAGAGTTATAAAGATATATTATGAAGTTAAAGACGGAGAAATGAAACAATTTATAGAGAGGGTGGGAGAGACAGTAAATGACAGTAAATGGACAGTGAATCAGGCAAAATTGACTTTCCAATGAAGTGTTTACTGAACGTCACTCCCACAGACTAGACTTCCTGGCTTGGGTATATTCACTTCATTTTATTCCCTATGTATGGGTCATTCCCCCACACTCTCCAATTGTTTATCACTATTCGTCAGAGGGGGTAACGCTTGTTCTCACACATTTTCATCTGATACTTGAGGTAGCTGTATTTACTAATTGTACACAGACGTAAATACAATAATCATTGGTCACACTTATTCACAATATTCCAATAGTTCTTACTAATAGGGCCTTCTTACTCATATAGTTACCTTGAGCTCTCCCTTAATATTATCAGTATACATACTTAAGATTATATGCACGGACACGAGTATAATTCGTATAAAACAAAATAAGAATTACCTCTGCCAAATGTTTACCGTTTTCTGTGACACTCCCCACTAGAAAACGTAATGTCCCATAGCGTGGTGAGTTTGAATGTTACGCAGCTGTAATACGAATAAGATATTACACTAATGTAAGCAGTGCAGTGGGAGAAGCACAGTTTACCACTGTTCACTGCACTACCAACACCCATAAACAGTTCTAACACAAATATACAGTATATTACTCGGTTAAATATGTTTTATGATATTAGAGGTAATTTATCATAATATAAAAGCCATTAACTCAGTGCATTAACATCAAGATGTCCATTGCGGCAAGTTAGTGTCCGTCTGTCAGACACAAATATATGTAAACAAACTCATGTGACGGAGGTCATAAATTATGGACAATTATCACGTTGTTAGTGATGAAAATTCACTGATGCAGGTATGCATGTTCATTATAATACCAGACACTCATTTTACATAGTATGATAACTAGTAAGTGGGTTCGATTAGGTTAGAAAATTAATTAAGGTTAAGTTAGATTAGGGTAACCTTACCCAACCTAACCTTGTTGGACACGTGTGTACACTCTCCAGCACAGTCAGTACAACAACTAAAAAGAAATCAATCACCACAAGTGAATCCTCGACCACCTGTGAACGGCTAGATCGAGGACACTGGCAGATGAGCGCTAAGAGGTTTTCCCACTAGGGCAGACCGATCTTGAAGGGACGAAGGGATAGGGGGACTAGGAGACCCTCCCATAGGGATGTACGGCTCCTTCATGGGCGAAGGGATAGGGGGACTAGGAGACCCTCCCACAGGGATGTACGGCTCCTTCTGAGGCGAAGGGATAGGGGGACTAGGAGACCCTCCCACAGGGTTGTACGGCTCCTTCTGAGGCGAAGGAATAGGGGGACTAGGAGACCCTCCCACAGGGATGCACTTGAAGGTAGTCCTATTAACCCCCGTCTGGTTGACACACATCGGATGGAGGCTCATCGCTAACTTCTCCATTAGATCCAAACGATCTAATGGATGAAGCTGGGCTGTGTCGGGTCCAGCTACCACAGGAGCCGAGCCAAGGGCAGGTACCCGAGGAGCTGCGCCCGGGGCAGGTACTCCAGGAGCCTCGCCTGGGACAGGTACCCGAGGAGCTGCGCCGGGTGCAGGTACCAAAGGAACTGCGCCCCGGGCAGGTACTCCAGGAGCCTCGCCTGGGTCAGGTACCCCAGGGAGGGGAGATACAGTGCCTGGTAAAGGAGGGTGAACGGCATCGAGGTGGTTCCCGTGAACAAATAACAAAATAAAAAATATAAAATAAAATAAAATCATTTTTTACTCTCGGCAAAATAAAAATATAAACAAAACTAGAGAGAAACGAATGAGTGTAGAGGTTGTGGTGTGGGAGTAGCTAGGTGGACGAAAGGGAGACAAGGTGAGGGAAGGAACGTAGGGGGAGGTACAGGTATTATGATAGAAGGTAAAACAATAATCACAGCTATATGTGTCTGTATTTACACTTTTTATGTACCATGCCACTACTAACCAGAAGGGTTTCACAATTATGTCACTTGACGAACACTAGGGGGACAAGCCCGCTTCGGCGCCGTGAGGCAGATAATGCATACAGTACAAACATACATACATACAGAGTTCCAGTAAGACCGCAACGACGGAATAGGTGGCAGAGCCGAAGAGGTGACCAACGACTACTCCGGCGGACATTAAATCAAACAAAAAATCAGTTCAACTAAAAGTGTACATACCTTTCAGTGACAGTAAACTGTACTGTACCCGAGTATGTACCTGTAAAATATGTATATTTTTATGAATATAATTAGACATCACTCAATACCACTTACCAATGTAGCTAAAATATCCATAACCTTTTATGATCAACCCATTTCATATTTTTCCTCCCTTTCTCCACTTACCTTATTTGTCTTGCCCTGTTTTTTGTTTTAAATGATGAAACACTCATTTTCAAGTAAAACGTTATGAAATTGTAAATCTACTCTGGAAAACACAAATTATTGTGTGACAAAGTTTTGCTCAGTGATGCGTTTTCAATGCTGATTTGTAATTTCATTAAGGAACACCAATATCTTAGCAGTGATTGTACATTAAGCTCAAGGTTGATATGTACCGTTAGCCTAACTTAACCAAACTTAACTTGGAGTGACTTAACTAGCCTAACCTAATTTAGTTTTATTTCCCCTTTCCAAGTACGTAAATAAAATCTGTGAGAAACAAATAGGAAAAAGTTACAGGGATGTAACGAAACCTCAGGTCTTTCTTGTTGCTTTGATTATTACCGCACACAAGACATATGTGTATCCCTCTCCTAGCGATGATTGTCAGTCACCTCGTCCAGTGGCCAAAGTTTTAAAACAAACAGCTGTCGCAGCCTTTCCCGCAAGTACTGGACTCCTGAAAGTAAAGTATCTGTACCTGCAGTGCAGATCCTGCACCAGTGTTGGTCAAGTCTGGTCTTGAAAGAGCTCACGCTCGGTGCCGTCACAACACTCTCTGGCAGATTGTTTGCTTTCACAATTTTCTGGACTTGTGGCTTCTTCAACCTCGAGCTGTGACCTCTTGTGGGGCGGACGTCCTCCAGCTCCAGTTATGGACACTCGACCGAGTAGTGCTCTGTGAGATGTTTGTAAACGTCAATTACGTCACCCTTTGCCCGTCTATAGCATAAGCTAGACGGTTGCAGGCGTTCTCTCTGAGTAACTGAGGTGCCGTAGTGCATCAGTCTGGTGGCCCTCCTTTGGACATTTTCGATCGATTCAAGATATGAATTCCTGCGTTAAGTTTTACGTGAAAACTAAAACCTTTTTGTCGCCGTCTCAGTGTTACAATAAGTCTATACCAACAGTTAGGCTTAATTATCGATTTTTTTTTTTGCAATATGATTTACAAAACTGTACTCAGAGTGGCGGTGCTGGTGGTTGTGGTACACATAGTGAGCGTCAGGAAGCTGGACGTACACGAGCTGTCACAACGCCGCTGGCCGGGTAGGGTGGTCCCCATCAACCTGTTCGTCTCTACACTGTATAAGGACCAGAAGGCCCTTCTCAGATACGTAATGGATTATATGAACACTCGCACTTGCTTACGGTTCGTCGACGTCAAGCCGGAGAGTACACATGCTCATGTTATGGTGAGAAGGGTGAATCACGGCCCCTGCGTCACCAAGGTCGGCTACTCCCCCAGCAAAACCTTCAAAATACAGCAGATGTTCATGGCCCCCTCCTGCACCGCCTCCAACTGGCGTATGATAGACCAGCTGCTGTTGCTGGCTGGTATCTACCCCGAGCACGGTGAACACAACCACCTGAACCTCATTCCTGGTTTTCAATTCCTCATGTCCATGGGTATACCATACAACCACACGAGAAAGGACTCGACTGGCACTTTGGACCAGGAACAGGTACCCATCGCCAATGACCTGGCCCGCCTCAACCGCCTGTACGAGTGCTGGGGCCACTACTTGGGTGATGACCTCTCAGGTGTTACACCATTCCCACGCTGGTTCAGGGATGTACTAAACCAAACGTACTTCCTTCCCCCCTTATAATTATTTCGCTTTCTCTTTATTTTTTCCCTATATTGTTTGTCACATCTCTTGGTTACATTGGCTTGTTTGTTTGTTTGGTACATCTCTAGTTTATCACATTTCTTGGTCACATTGGTTTGTTTGTTAACTAAATAAAAATCGAGTCTCAGATACTTAACTAATTGATAGATTAATAATTACCCAAGACCAAACCTGCTGGTTCCAGAACAACTAGGTGACATATACAGTACTGTACTGTAGGAAGTTAGGAGCCATGTGGCAACTGATAATTCACAGGGATTAGACGAAATCTCAAAATTGCAGATGGGCCACTACAAATGAGTCAAAACACGGATGTATGCAACGTCCAGAAAGAAATCCAAGTCAGAGTGTAGGAGGGCGGAAAAGGAGTTTCAGGCTTATAAATAGTCAAACCAAGACATTCTATCGTTTCGTAAAATACAAAGGACATGTGTGGGTTATCGGATCTAAGAATTAAATATAGTAACTACGCAGTCTCCGACATCTTATTATGAGACCAGTAGGTAGTAGGCAGCTACCAAACAGGGAGGTACTACCCCCTGCGAAGATATTGAAAGCGTAATGTGTTGTCTAATGGTAGACCCTGCTGCCATATGGTATCACGAAAATTGTGACCAAGTTCCAGGTTGCTCATCTGTCTTTCTACCGACCATCCGAACAGCTAAAGAGCTGACAGTGGCAAAGAGGATAAAGGAAAATAAAGTAATTAGTGCCACTTAGGGTGTTTACATCCAGGGCCGGATTAAGCTTAATAGGGGCCTGAGGCACAGATCAACTTGGGGCCCCCTACCCTCAAGGTATATATATATATATATAGCAAGAACAAAATATACCAAAATTTATCAATGATTTCATCAATACACCACTGTACAGTAATCTCCAGCCATCAGCCATTCTTATAGCAGTTGCTACATCTCATGAAAGTATCTCTTCCTATTGACACAAAATCCTTATTCACAGAAAGTTTGGCTGAACAGTCAGGTCCACAAGGTAGGGAAATTTATACAGCAAAATTAAATTTTGTTGGCAACTTTAACTACAGTAACATTTTCTTAAACTGTTAACATAAAAAGACAACTTGTTACAAACATATTTCACAGGTCTTTTGATAAAATTTATTAACACAAAACACTTCTATTAGAACATTTTTGTCCTAAATCCAGATGTTTTGTACACAACACAAATTCACTGTGGTTCTCTTAAATGTTACATACGGTATACTTTTACTGAACATATGGAGCAGAATCTGTAAATAAATACTGTACCAATTTTCATACTTCTAGTGGTATTTACTTACAATCTACATAAGCTTTGAAGAGCCTTAAGAGAATCTGATCAAGTTAAACTTCTGTATTGGCATAATGAGGTCAGAACGCTACCTGGCCTGTCCACCCGACAGGCTTTATTACAGGGGAATAAACACTACTGTTATCTACTTCAGACAAATAAATTTTTCTTAATACCATTAAACAGACTTTTTACAACAGTAATTTTATCACTGCCGTGGATCACCTGAAAAGTTACCATTCCAGCTTATTTCACCTAAAAAATAACTCCCCTAATGCTACAGTATTTGGGGGAGGGATAAGATGAGGTTAGGTAAGAATAGGTTAGGTTTGGTTAGATTAGGTCAGGTTAGCATGAGTGATTAATCTTTAGGTGAAATAAGCTGAGGTACACATTAATCAGATTATTGAGTACAGTACAGTAAAATGAGTTTGACCGTTGTAATGTACCTATGCTAAACTTATTTTTATTTGCCCAAAAGTGTACCAATATGAATATGATTGGTACTTCAGTCCTTACACTGTTACAGTTTTAATATTTGATGTATCATAAAGGTATATTAAATACTTCTTTTACAGGTTTCCTTTGTTTTATGAAATTAATGGACAGTATCTATCAATGGGGCTGAAATTATGGACGCAAGCTTTGTAGCAGTAATTGCAACACACAGGTCAGTGTAGGGAGGTAGCACTCTGGACTCTGTTGACTAACCTGACATAATGGTAATAAGAAGTGTTTCAACCCATCCCACTGGGTCCTGCTGTGTGTAATGTATGGAGGAGAGAGAGCTGTATGACTATTACAGTACTTCTAGATATAAAAAAGTATATCTATACTATGTAACCTTTAGAGCTCAAGCTATGCACTACAGGGTACAGTATTAAAAGTTTTATATTATGTATTTGTAACACACATGAATAATACAAAAAATAAATTTTTTTAACTTCACCAATGTGTAATATGTATATGCATTTCCAGTATGAAAAATTAACAACGTATGTTTTACCCGTAGCTGAGATGATGTTAAGAGTTTTGAGCGAGACAGTGTAAGCACAAGAGCACAAAGCTGACCTAACAACCAGTAACATTTCTTGGGAATATTTCTCGGAACTCTCCTAAGTAATGTGACCACCAAAAGACAGATGGGTTCAGGTGACTGTACACTGAGGCTTAACAGGTATGTGGGACACTCGTACAGAAAAATTACCAGCTTGGTTCACAGGACCGTACACATATTTGTTTTCCTCCAATTAATACCAGAGATATTGAAGTGAATTCTACTCTTAAGAATGCTTCCACTTTTTCTGTCAGTTAACTCACCAACCCTGGAACTATCAGCAGAGGCAACAGGTGATGCTACCACTCTAAAGTTGAAACAATTAACAGGAACAATCATTCTTCTTGTACAGGTCCTTGTATGTCTATCCAAAGACTAATATAAACTCTAAACCACATAAAAAAAAAGTGTTCGGTACATCAAAATAAAAAAAATGGACTTCCAGACTTCTAAATAAATGTTGATTTTTTTATAAATTTATGCTTAGTAGGAATAAATTTTTTGGCCTACACCTGGATCTGCTGCTGTCAGGATTGATGAGTTCTACCGACCTACCAACAGCACCTTCTGTTCTCTACGGTAGCAAGGGCATAGTGTAAGGTCTGTTTATGCACACCACAATAAAGAATATTCCAGTAATTGTTTCAAATTTTTCAGAGAACCTTACTAACTTAGACAGACCCTACTGGCAGTGATTCATATTTTGTATTTAAAGGAAACACATCAAAGAACAAGGTCAATCAGTTATCATGAATACATATTGTCAGAATGAGTGAAAGTAGATATCCCTTGTTTTTAATGCTGTATACAGTAGCACTACTCTATTATGCCTTAATATATTTCTGTGTTCAGAGGTTAAGGTTCCAGGGTCAGATAGTTACAGTAAGACTCATCACAGTCTCCTACAGGTTATAGTTGAGAGCAGTTGTTAGAGTTTCCACCACATCATCATCCTCCAGGTTTTACCTTTACATAAACCAGTTAGCTTCAAGTGCCCTCCTATAACTCTTCTATACTGTATAGTGTAAGTCTCCTAGTACACAGAGGGTAAGTGCTTCAGTATTATCAATGTCCTAGTACTATCTCATGCAAGTATAAGGTTCTCACTTGAAGAACATTGTATCTTCTACCTAAAAAGTACAAACTAAGTCTAAAACTCCAAGTCTGACTGTGAAATTCTACACTAGATTAATGTATGACTTATCAAGGTTCATGATTAAGAGCAACCCTTCAGTTCAGAAATGAATCCTAAGGGAGTACTGTACTGTAAATTCTCAGGTTTGGGTATACCATAATGTTAAAGTGGAACATTACACAGATATATACACAATATACTGTGGCCTTGGTCAGATGTAAAGAAAGGTGTATACAGCATCATTTAGTAATTTTCAAGAGAAACAAGTTCTTCTCAATCATCGAGGGATAACCCGATAGGCCTACGTCACTACAATAGCCTCACGTCGATTCACTACAGACAGACAAACAAATACAGCACCTTCCAATACTACCTCACCCAACTAAGAAAATAAACTAAACCTCACTACAGTAGAATCATTCCCAACTAAAAACTAGCAAACATTAGGTAAATTTATCTCAAAATCTTATCACTGTACCTTCATAAAACAGTTGTAAAGTAGACAGCTAGATAGTGATGATCTAATGCAGTGTGATGATAGCTTCTTGACTTGCTAGGTTGCCATACACTATAAGATGATTTGCCACACACTGCTATATAATCTGCCATATACTACTGATAATCTGCCACATACTACTATATAATCTGCCACACACTAGATAATCTGCCACACACTAGATAATCTGCCACATACACAAATTCTAATCTACCTCTCATTATATAGCACCTACTATAGTACTTCCCACTATCATTTGTTTTTACACATTCTTTCATTTCTCTGTATACTTAACCTCTCCTCATGTGACTCATATACAGTACAACAGTACAGTACAATATACATTTGCCGAGGTTATGATTCCTTCCTGTGTGTGTGTGTTGGGGGGATGATGCAGTACATTATTATTTCCTACTTTAGTGTCTTTTCGCGCTTCAATGATGATTTACTACGACAACAACCTTTTCTTCTTCATTTACTTGGTGCACTACAGTATAATTTAAATGCATATTCACACAGTCTCTCTACTAAATTTACAGCTCGGTGACCTTTCAATCCGCTCTATTTTGTAAATATTTTCTCTACAACATTTCCGCAAGTTTATTTCATTCATTTTCCGAGGGATTTCACTTCTTAACCTTGTCTGTATCATTGGCAGGTCTTGCTAATTTCAGAAGGAAGGGTGGGTGGGTAGGTTTGGGTGTGTACACTGACCCAAATACTGCACAAAGATAACAGAATTATATATATATATATACTTTTTAGATAACCAGTTACATATGGATATAAATGGCATACCCTTTAAAATTTACAAGTCATAACTATCTGTAGGTAAAAAAAAATATCATTGCTTTGAAAATTGAGGGCATATACAAAACACACTGCTCAATATGCCAGTGTAATGTATATGTGATTTACTTATATACAGGGTTGCAATTCTTTACCATTTTTTCTTCATGATAAACAGGAAAATTAATATACTCTTATCTAGTGCAGCACACATACGGTAAACTATATCTCATGGCTTCTGTGCCTCTGTCTTGACGTGAGAGGGCAAGGGTGACACAAATACAGACCATCCGAGGTCAGTTTCTTCTCACAGTGACAAAGACCATCACAACAGACTTACTCACTATCCTTATACACCCTGCCGTACTGCTGCCATACACCATTGTCTGTACAGTACGTATGACATTATACATTCTAGTATGACAAGAAATGAAGATCAATGTGGTAGTCATCTAACCATTACACACAAAACATCAAAACTGCCTACCATATCACAGTTTCTCCTATACAATACAGTATATATCTCATCAATCCATATAGCACGCGAACTTCCATATACAAAACAATACCTCACCAGTCGGGGTTCGTTTCCCGACTAGTGAGGTATTGTTAGTATATATTATATATTAATAAACAATTATTTAAACTCTTAAATTTTTCAACTGATCACCTGTCTGTGATATGTACTGTATGTATATTTACAAATATACATGTCTTTATGCACATTTTAATATGCATGTGGGTGTGTAGACATGTGACTGAGAGAACGTGTTTAAGTGTGAGTGAATGACGGTGTGTTCTTCCATGCAGACTGAATGTGTGGGTGTGCATGGTACAGTCATTCACAAAAGTCCTGTCCCCTCTTCTCCTGAACCACAAACTCTGAGATTCAGACTCATCAATATGAAGCATTTATGGACAAAATAATGCATCAGTACCTACTGCTTTGGGTTCACAAGTCTGAATATCGGGGTTCGTGGTTCAGGAGAGGCGACAGGACTTTTGTGGGTGACTGCACATATTATAAAACTCTTCCTCCCAACTAATACACTGCAACGTGAGGACAAACTTCATACAAGTCGTAGTAATACAGTAAACTCCCATTAATCTGGAAATCTAGACACTCCAACAAAACCTGTCTATCCCATCTACATTCTCTTTATCAACAACTACACCAGTTTTATCATACACTACACATTGTATACTCTGCAGTGCCTTATGAGAGTGCATAAGTCACAAGAATTTAATGTAAAGAAAAGGACTCAATGGCATTTAACCACTCCAATTCTGAGTAGCCACGGACCTTGTGGGGTGTAAACATGTCAGCTTATATTATGTTTCCTATGTTACCGTTGTGTTGTGTAATGTTTTTTATGTTATTATGGGAATGCATTTGTTCTTCATACTTCATAGAACAGGAATACAACAATACCTTGACGTAATCCTGTTTACAAAATACCCATAAATATACCTAAAATGACTGTACGCTGGATCTTTCACTTTGACCATTACCTAAATTACTCCAGATTATCTAGGGATTACTGTATACTGTACTCCTTAAAAATTTAAAAAGAAACACAACTACTATACATTCTCAGGTAACCTAATGATTCATCCAAGAAGTAATAAAAGTGAGCAGTTTTTTCTTCTATACAACTTGGTTCTATGACACGGATCCATTAGTACTGTCAGCAGCTATGAGTTGTGCGTGTTCATCAGCTTCCCTCTTGACTTCTTTAATCTTATCCAGGTTGGAGAAGATCCCATTGACTAACTGTTTATAGATACGGTCGCTGTAGTAGGTGTTGGTGGGGAAGACGCCCTCCATGAAGCCAATGTGTCCCCCGCGGGCAGTGACAATGATGGCAACATGACTAGACTTATTGGCTGCCTCAACTGGGATACCTGGCCAAAGATACATCACATTAACTCATGGTGATTCACCCTTAGTATAGGCAGTGAAAGAACTATGTCATTTAGCATCTCTATAATTATGTAGTGGTGACAGTGATGGTGTAGTAACTGGGAATACAGTATATAGTATTTCAGTCAATTTTCAAAGAATACAAATACCCTGTATTATATGTGCTGGTTACATAATAGTACAGTATTTATAGATTGTGTGAAGTAAATTGATAATGCACAGTACTATTTTCAACACAGTACACCTCCAATAGTAACACACTTCTCTTTTCAATTATTTTTTTTAATACTGGAAATAATGGCAGGTTGATTTTGTATTTAGGTACGTACATCACAACTATACCCACCCCCCCACTCCCTGTTATTTCATTTATCATTTCCACTACTTATCAGCCTATTAGCCATTCGTGCAATTGGTCTATCCAGTGTTGATACAGGAGGAAACTGAACTCCGGAAACCTGTGATGTTTGGTTGGGTCCCCACTGGATAACACCCTTCTCACTTGTGTCTGGGCCAAGCAAGATTCAAACCCTTGACATATTGGTGAAAGTTACTCCAATAAAAGTTAAAACAATGCAATAAGATATAAACATAATTTTCAGCATGTACGATTCACACATTATCAACAAATAGAGTTCTAGATGGGACACATTGTTGTACATGTGGAAATAACTGCTTATAAAAAATTTACTGTAGTTCTTTGTATTAAAATCAGATTACCATTTCGTAATATGTTCTGTTATTTAGTATCCAACTTATACTTTGTTTAATAAAGAAGCTAAATGAACTCATAGAGATTAACTGTTAATTATCCTCATCACCCCTGGTCAGCTCACTACCCAGTTGAATTTCCATATTCCTTTTGAAAATATTTTTGTATTATACTTTCATTCCCAATTTCATGCCTAAAGATTTTGTATCTTGAATATTATAATAATAAAAGTGTGTAGTCATCAGGTATATTTGACTCATTTATCTATCAAATGTACTGAACTGTACTGCACTGTATAGTATATGGAAAGATGGTGACTAGTAATTAAGAGAAGACAAACCCTTCTAAATCTTCTATTGTACTGAAGGCTGTCAAAACCCTTCATCCGTTGCGTCATGTTGTCTCACACAAAATCGTTAAGATACTATTTTAGAGCAAGTGTACTGTACCCCTATATAGTGACATACCTTCCATTGGCTGAAAGGGATCATCGGCAGCAGAGAGACACAAGAGAGGGACCTTGATGTTGTCCAGTTTGTCGTGCAGGCAAGCAGTCCGGTAATACTCCTCCACATCTCTGAACCCAAACTGCACTGCCGTAAATCTTGAATCAAACTCCCGGATTGTTTTACTCTGGAAAAATAAACTATACTGTACACTCAGGAAGTTGACTAAAGCCAGTACATGCCCATTAGTTGCCAACAGTGTATAACAGATAGTACATAACCAATAACCCATCCAGCTAACAGGCTAATCAGTGTTAAGAGGTTAAAGTAAAGTAAAGCAAATTAAAGTATTGTATGAGAGTGAAAGACCTAGAAATTCTTTAACGCTTTCAATACAGGGATGGCACTTTTAAAATTTTATTTGGATAATGAAGACAATTTCAATCAGCTTAGAGGGGAGCCCGGACACAAGGAGTTAAAGAAAAAGTTCCATTAAATTTTGTCACTAGTACATCAACAAGATTTTCTCATAACATCTACAAATCTCATATATGTACTGCTATATATCTTCTTTTAAGTCTTATTGTCATATGCCTACCCTGTCTCATGAATGTCCATAATATTATATTTTCCATTTATAATTTTGTCTATTTTTATTTTCTTTGGTGTATTTTGTATATTTTATATTGTTGTGTCTGACTGGGCTTTTGATTATTATACAGTTCCTTTCTTGTTGATATGTTTAGTATGATGGAGTGATGTTTTTATCCCATCATGTTCAGGTACGTTCATGAAAATCCTGTTCAGCCATTATCATGTCAGGTTACCAAGAGTAACCATATTATGAACAATGATACTAATTCAATTGTCAATACATCACCACCACCACCTCACTGTACCGTATACAACAGTGTTCATCTTTCATCACCTCAACATTAATCTATTTGGTAACTCAAGTAAACTGTTTCTGCTGGTGCAGGTATCAAAAGTTTTAATAAAAGTGAGAAACCATACAGTACCTCCATGACATGGTCAAGGTCCCACTTGTAGTCTCCCTCCAACTGCTTCCTCATACTTCTTATGGACTCACAGAGGCAGTTGGCCAGGTGGCGGTTTAGCAGGAGGTTCCAGAGAGGTTTTTCCAGACTCTCGGTGCCCACAAACACATTCCATGGGATGGAGAGCACCATGGCTGCCACCAGGTGCTGGGCAGCTTGCTCACCTCGGGTCACCAGGTAATTGCCCAGGATCATGCTGTAACACATGACTGTCAATTGTTTACCTGATTATTTTTTAATATTACTAAAACTTCAGCGAATATTTAATTTTTAAAGAATTTTGCCTTATCTGGAGCTACAGTATCCCATAAATGTGTGTAAAGAATTAGGTGGTCATTCCCAATCTGACATACTGTAGATACATATACAGTACCTAACATCTAAAACTTCCACATGCCTGAGGAATCACCCAAGACAATCTCCTCAGAGCTTCACTTGGTAAGGAATATCACCCTTTAATCTTAATAAACAGTTGACTCCATCAATCACTTTCATGGTGGAGAAACAATGACATATTTACTGTTTATCCTCCAGGCAAAACTCCCCAATTATTTTGTATCTGATGTAGACTTGAATAAGAAGTTTTGTGAAATGCTGAGGACAACAATATAGTAATAGTAATAATAATCATGGTAATAGTTGACATAGAAGACAATGTATAAAATCTGTTCCATTTATTCTGCCTCACTCTCTCTGTATGTATCAGAATAAAAACAGAAAATCCATCTCTTTCCTTACCACTGACTAGATGAATGGGATATATATATAGTGTTCTGCATCAATGTCAAATATCACAGTTTATGGTCTAAGATCTTATAGGTAAGGTTTAATTCCCTGGCTGAGGTCTGTCTTATTAGCATCCTTATTTTATTAGTAGTATTATTGGTATTAGGAGTAGTAGTGGTAGTTAATAGTAATAATAGTAGTATATACAGTATTAGTAGTATTATGGACTCCAACTATTAGCATTGTTACTGTACCCTCCAAGAGATATGCCAGTAGCCATGAGTGGAGCCTTGGGGAACTTGGCACGGATGTGTTCAATGGCTTCCTCCAGGTCATCGCTGTTGGCTGCACAGTACGTCCTGGCTGTCTGTCAAATTTTAATATAAATTTAAAATCTGCACACACACAACACAAACATTAATTAACAAAAACAAGATTCAAAGCTTACTAGTTGGTAGGCTGTGCTGTGTAAGGTAGTAAGTTCTGTCAGGATATGAAAATAACTTGGGGTTTAGCGACTGATCAAGGCCCTACAAGTGAACGTATATCTTGCACATCCAGAATCTAGGCAAATGAAAAGACTTCTTGGTTCCTCATGCCCAGACGATAGACCTATTTAGGTTGGTGGTGCAAGCAGGGAAAACACACTTCTCCACTGCACACATCGGCCAACAACTTCCCTCTCCAGAACTCCTCAAGTGTGACACCCAGCCATTACTACTGTATTCCACTCATAACCTTTCATAAATGAACTTGTAAACCTGTTGGCTAGTCTGCTTTAACTCCTTGTCCTCCACTCCTTACATATTTCTATGTATATGTTACACCAGTGCCAGTTATGAAGAGACTGTTGACTACAGGAATCACGACAATCTACCATGGCAACAGCACCTCTACAAGGGTCCCATGAATGAATATCTAAGACAGTATTGTATGTAGAAAACTATCTACATTTTGGATGGTAATGGTAGAGTACAGTGGTAGTGGGTTTATCTTTTATCCTCTTCACCACTGATTGGCTCGTTAGCTGCATGGGCAAATATCTCACTAGTGCAGGGCAAGGATTCATTTAAGAACTCTTTTTAGTACTATAATACTTTTATACAATCTATGGTAATAGCGGAGACCAATTACGCACCTTAATTACAATACAGTACGACATTTCACCATAGAACATAAATAAACATTCCTGCCCCAAAACTATGACAAAAATGCAGGAGCAGTATGTTTCTTGTGATGTATAATTTTTTTAATTTATTTCAATTTCAATTAATGGTTGTGAGCGACGCTGTCAACTGACATGAAAAACCCTATTCTCTTCTCAGTGAACATGCATAGGAACAGCAGACCCAAAAAATATACAGTAATACCCAGATTTAAAAAAAATATACAGTAATACCCAGATTTACACAGTTCTCGTTTACGCGTTTCTACATTTACGAGGTTTCGCCAGAACCGGATTCCCATTTTACGCGGTGCATCTACTCATATACGCGGACCCATCTCTTCTACTAACGTAAGTGTTAAACCTAACCTTTATTTTTCCTAACCTAACCTTAGATAAGTGTTAAACCTTGATTTTTTTCTAACCTAACCTGACGTAAGTGTTACACCTTGATTTTTCTTTTACCTGGTACAGTATATTATTCTATTATTGATATTTCTCTAATATATTATGTGTGTGTGCATACCATCATAAAGTTTAGATAATATTTTTACTACAACATAGGTATTGTGTCGTCAAAAAGTGGAGTTTGGAGGTCGGGCCAGTCTCTATTGGAATTAATCCCATATGTTCTGTTATTCCATTTACGAGGTTCTCCTTTTACGCGGTTCCCCGTGGGTTCAATTACCCGCGTAAATCGGGGTACTACTGTCTGTGTGTGTGTGTGTGTGTGTGGTTTGGTTAGGTTAAGTGAGTTAGTTTGGTTCATTTGATCAACCATATATTATAGAATGTAGCAGTATCTGGCACTTCATCAACAATAGCAGTTGCCAGTAGTTACGAAGAGTGACTCGATGACATACAGTATTCATAAAATTAACCAAACTAAATTACTTAACCAAGCCATTCCTAATGTAAAATACTAGTTATTATGTATTCTTATATTAAAAAATAAAAAAATTAAAAGTAGCTAATGCAGAAATATACAGTGAACATGACAGGCAGATTTGGGAATCCTCTCCCCAGACAAAACATAAAAAGTTTACTTACAGTGGTCCCTCGGTTAACGAACGCAATTCGTTCCAGAGGGTCGTTCGTTAATCGAATCCATTGTTTCAATGGGATTTTGGGTAATTGGTTCCAGCTCACCGAAAATTACATACAAAGTAAAAAAAATGCAGTAAAGTACACTTACTTTGAGGTATGTATGTAGAAGGCTCCTGGTTGATGATGCTGATGTGAATTTGAAGTGGGAGAAGGAAGTGGGGGTGGAGGAGAAGCACTTTACTGCTTCTTGGAAGGCGAGTCACATAATAATGTCAGGAACCTCTGGACTGACAGATTCTCCAACAGGAAAATCCATTCTCCTTTTTGAAGTGGAAGGCTGAGGGGTAGCATCTTTCTCCCGCTGCCTTTTAGAGAAGAAACTCTCAATTTTTGGTTGTGGGGCATTTCTCCTCCTGATCATTAGCTGGTTCTTGAAGAAGGAGACCACTTTGTCCTCAACAGTACACAAAATAGGTTCTGTTGTTTCCACATCAGGATGCCTTGAAGCCAGTTTCCTGAGCATCTCCCAGTGGTGAACAACATCTTTTAATTCTGAAGAAGACATATGGTCATCAATTTCCCTCTCCTCCTCACCATTGTCTGTTTCTAACATCTCATCCAGTTGCTTCAAGTCTTCAGGAGTAAGTTCCTGCTCATGAGACATCACAAGCTCTTCCACATCATCCTCCTCCACTTCGAGTCCCATTGCCTGACCAATGGACACAATCTTCTTGTCCAACTCCGTTTCTTCTTCAAATCCCTCAAAATCATGGACTGCTGATGGCCACAGTGCTTTCCATGCAGAATTCAGGGATCGAATGGAGACTTCTTGCCATGATGACACAATCAATTTTACAGCCTCCAGGATGTTGTATTGCATCTTCCAGAACTGTGACAGTGTTAGATCAGGATCAGTGGAAGTTGCCTGATGGCACCTTCTGAACATTTTCCTCATGTACAGCTTCTTAAAGTTGCTGATCACATTCTGGTCCATTGGCTGTATAATTGATGTAGTGTTGGGAGGAAAAAACAACACTTTGACAAAGTCAAATTGAGACTCCAAAGTTCTGGCAAGTTCAGGGTCATGACCAGGCGCATTATCCATGAGGAGAAGAGCCTTTAAAGGGAGTTTATTGGTGGTTAGGTAGCTCTTGACAGAAGGGCAAAACACCTCAACAGCCCATTCATTAAAGAGCTGTCTTGTTACCCATGCCTTACGGTTGGACTTCCAATAAACTCCAAGCAGTCCTCTTACCACTTTCTGTTGCTTGAACACCCTGGGGTTCTCAGAGTGGTAGACAAGCATAGGCTTCAGTCGGAAATCCCCTGAAGCATTGGCACCAAACAATAGAGTGAGACGGTCATTCATGGGTTTATGCCCAGGTAAAGAGGCTTCATCTCTGGTGATAAATGTTCTTTTGGGCATCTTTTTCCAAAACAACCCAGTTTCGTCCACATTGAACACTTGCTGTGGAAGATAATTTTCTGTATCCACCAGTTCTTTAAATTCCACTAAAAACTTTGCTGCTCCTTCCTTATCAGCACTAGCAGCCTCACAATGCCTAACAACACTAAATAAGTCACTTCTTTTCTTAAATTTTTCGAACCAGCCTTTGCTGGCCCTAAAATCTTCAAATTCTGTGCCTGAAGAACCAGGTTGATCTGTCTTTAAATGTTCGTAAATCTCCTTGGCTCTTTCACAAATAAATTTAGTAGAAACTGAATCACCTTTCATCTGTTTTTCCCTAATCCAGATGAGAAGTAACCTCTCTGTTTCTGCTATTAGGGATCTACCTTTGAACACTCTGGTAGATTTGTCTATCACTTTCACTTCCTTGAATTTGTCTTTCTGAGCAAGAATTGTCGACACAGTTGATGCCGACATGCCATATTCTTTGCATAGCACATTTGATCTAATGCCTTCTTCGTGTTTTTTAATAATTTCCTGCTTAACTTGGATTGAAATCGCTTTTCTTGATCTCTTGGGACCCATGCTGGATTCAAACACAATCTCAACACGTGATATTTTAAGTTTAATTGCTGTAAATAAAGAATATTTTATTTAAATTAACACTGCACTACATATTGTCAATATGTAAAATAAATTTCAAAATGACCAATAATTTGCTTGGAAACAGAAAAAAAGCGTTTGGTTGAAGAGCCTCAAGCAGGTGTTCCCTCCAGTGACAGACACAGTACTGGCGTCTGTTGCTGTGTTAAGAGCCTGGATGCCGCGCATTAAACTAGTCACTTTACCTTCAATTATGTTCAACAATTGTTAAAATTACTAAAAAATTTAATATTAAACTTTTAAAATAATTGAATAGTATAAAATTCTTGATATTTACTAAAATAGTAAGGAATTTAAGCCCTAGAACCGATTAATGTATTGGCGGACTGATACTAAAGCTGGTTGCCCGGTCAGTGCAAGCGAAAACATGTTGAGGTCGGTTCGTAAGAAGTTCGTTAACCGAATTTTTTTTCGTTAACCGAATTGAAGATTCTTATGGAAGGAAGTTCGTTAACCGAAATTTCGTTAACCGAATGTACGATATTATTCATTATACAGTTTATACTGTTTATTCATCTGAATATTAAATCTGCAACAATGAATAGGATGTTCCAGTGGTTCACTGCAAACTCCTTAAGATGACAGAATATATAAAAACTTTGGTAATTTATGAGAACACAGCTACCACCAGGAGGAGTTGTTCAATTCTGTTCATTTTTTCACATGTTCTTATCATTATTGTAAGTATTTTAAAAGAGGTGATATATATTAGAACCTAATAGAACTTAACCTAACAAACCAAAGAAACCTACCTAACCTTATCTAACTTCCTAGCCGGGGGGGGAGGGGGGTACACTCAGCCATATTAAACAGAAAGTCCTTATTTTGATATCTGGTACCACTGAATGCAACTTTGTTGAAACGACATGGTGTAATTTACGGTTTTGTGGATGTAAAAGTACAGCCTGGACCAAACAGGGTGGTTGTAAACAGACAGACATGTGGTGACTGCAGATTTTTGGAGGACTTGTAAAAATTTTAAGAATTACTTTTGAGTTTATGGATCCCTCCTCATCTGTGCGCCGCCGCCGCCGAAAACAACACCACCACATACAAAAACCGAAAACAAGAATAAGGTAAACTTTTTAATAATTTTAGCACACTACCTTGAGTTGAACACCCCCTCTGCCACGGTTGTTGAAGACGGCACAGCGGGCACCTGTCTCTTGTACGGTGAGGACAAAGCTCTTGACGTACTCGCTCTGAGAGGACCCTGTAAGGCCTGGCAAGATGATGATGATGGGCTGGTCGACCTCTGATGTTGTTTCCAGCCAGTCCAAGCATATCTGACCTCCATCCTTCAGCTCAAGTAACTCTCTGTAACAAGTTAACAACAACCCTCACGTAACCAGACTAACTAGTGAACAGAAAGAAAAATATAAAACAAAATACCCATAGATAAATGACAAAACTACTCTTCTACAGATAGACAGAACAACGAACCTTTTGTAAGTTATATCGGGCAGTCTAGAGCGGAGGACGGATGCAAGGATGGTCTGGCATCGAGATTCATAGCACCAGGGTGTGGGCCAGTATCTCTCCTTCAGGATGGTGAGATTGGTTTCCAAGAACCCTCGCCAAGCGCTATGTCTGCATGCCAGCAGTGGCCTCTGAGTGAAAACATTTGAGTTATAACAAAAAAAGACCAAACTATGTTCTAAGTGCAGTACACCTCTCACGAATCACCAAATATTCACTAAGTACACCTGTGAATCATCAAGTTTTCACCAAGTATATCTCTTGTGAATCACCAAATAGTCATCAAGTACATCTCATGTGAATTACCAAGTCTCACCAAGCATAGTGCTGTTTTGTACACCCACACTAGCGCAACATTAACCAATCTAGCTGGCCGAGACCTTCATCATGGTATGCGTGGCCTTAAAGTGAACCTTTCTTTCTTAACATGTGGTGGAGAGGTCCTTAAAATGATCCCTTTTGACTGTGTGTGTGTTTGAGATTCATACGTTCCTTACTACTAGCTCATCTTCTCTTTCTCGTCTTTCCCTTACACCTTACTCTGTTCGGGGCTGTAAGCTTTTTTACTTCCCACAATTATAAACGTACATAAGGTAACGCACATAAAAAAATAACTCGTGAAAGCTACACCAGAAGAACATTCGCCTGTGTTCTACATATAGTGGCGTTCTATTGATGAACAGCAGAAACCTGTAATGTGTCAGCTTATGGTGAATTATCAATCATCCTTCCTCCACTCCCTACCGCATTCTAACCCCCCTCCCACCGCCTCGAATCTTTACAGCAAGTGACCACCTGAATCCCAACCTCACCCACCACTCCCTAACGCATGTGACTCACTCCCTCCTCCCTAATGCATGTAACCCTCTCAGACCCACACGCAATTTCCTTCCTACCACACTGACAAAATTCTGAGTCACTTAGTCAATACATCCTGACTTAGGTGTGTGGGACCGACATACTCAGATAATTATCATCAATGTAAAAAAAATATATTTTACACTGTTGATAACGAATGATAATTATCTCTAATTAACACAGGTATTTGCCAGGTAATAGTTGTTATGTAGGTGAGTTAGCAGAATATTAAAGGTGTGCCAGTACAGTAATTATGTCCACGTCATCCATTGTTTGTTTTCGTGTGTTTATTCAATCTACGTACAGTATATCATGTCTGAGGTCATTTGATGAATCTCCTCCAAGCTATAATTAATCATCCTAACGCTGACCTAGCCTACGTCTTCCCATTTCCTCGACTCATTCATCATTCTAGTGCAGTTTTAGGGTTCGTCTTATCGTTCGTACCACAGACGCCATCTACAGCCTTCACTCTCCCGTTTTCTGTGATTTTAAGTGTCTGTATTTCTGCCCATCCCTTGACATAGAAGTTGTTTATACGATTTTGTCTGTGCCGACAGTCCCTTTCAAACTCTTTTCAAAGGTTTATATCGGAGACAAAATCATCTCTCTCACTATCTTTTCTCTCTCTCACTATCTTTTTTATCTCTCTCACAATCTTTTCTCTCGTTATCTTTTCTCTCTCTCTGTCTGAGATATATATAGAGGAGTGTGGCGGGTGTGACAAGGGGTGATGTAGGTTACATTATTTGCGTCACGTGATTATGTTGCCAAGACGCACCTGGTTGTACTGTAGTCAGAAGGCCGCCCTACCTTAATTATTCCTGTGCCGCCACAACACACGGATATAATTATATTTACCAGTGTGTTTGTTTGTCTTCGCTACAAATTCGGACTGTAGCTGGCAAACTCCGAGGCGATATTCTAGCTGACTTCACAAACATTCTACCAATATGTTAATTCTGTAGTCAAATTCATGGTATGAGGAATTTCTCTAGTCTTATTGTAAGCCTGACGACATTTTGTGTACATACTTTTGTGCACTTTAAGTTAAACTACATTGTCAGGCTATCAGATGCGTTCTTTACAACTCAAGTTAAGCGGAAAATTTAACTTACCAACCTTTTGAGAATCCAGACATTTCTATTCTAAAGAGTGAATTACGTAAACTTTTAACGCTATCTAGAATATAGTCTCAGGGCAATTTGGAGTTCATATTGGGTGACGTGTTTGTGTGTTAGGGGCTTCTGAGTCAAGGAGATGCGGGTTCTTACAATGGCTACAGCGGGGGCAAGAATTCAACCTAAAATCCTTTGAAAATCCAACTTTTGACCTTATTATTGCTACGTTATCGAGATCATTTTAAAAAGATTATAATTTTTCGAAGTGTTATCTTGAATGTTATCAGGTGGTCGATGACAATCCTGAAATGTCGCTTTATGAACTGTGGGTGCATAAGTAACATTAAGATAACAGTGCTGTGTCACGGATAACATTATTGAACAGTTTTCCCTTCACGTGATAACCGACTGCAGTATGTCATAATAACCCAGGGTTGTGTCGCTAACGTGGTAACTCCACCAGAACCTCAGGGGGTTTCGCTGTCCGTCTGGCAACATTGTCATCATCACCCTGCCAAAAGCTACTGTGGTTGACTCTTCTCATTTTTGTAAATAATTCTCACCACTTATCAGCTTACAGTACTAGCCGTTCGGGTGGTTGATCTATCCAGTGTTAGTACAGGAGGAACCAGACTCCGGGAAACTCTTGTGTGTCCGGGCCAAGCAACAGAACTTGAATCTTGGACGTGTTAGTGAAGTAAAGGATATTATTATGATTATTATTATTATTATTATTAAATACACAGCGTCAGTACTAGCAACCAACATTTCGCCTAGTATTCCCATGCATTAATACCCAAAGTGTGTGTGTGTGTGTGTGTGTGTGTGTGTGTGTGTGTGTGTTTGTGTAAGACATACTAATTTCTCTTACCAAAGCCGTACACAGATTCTCAAAGCATGGGTGTTTATTTTCCCGCCAGAAGACTTGTAAAAAGATTAGTAACAGATAAATATAGTTCCCCGGTCACAGAGGAACTGTTTGTGTGGAATATTACACGGAGCGAGAAAGAAATTCCCGCCCACCCCAGCAGTTACGTCATAGGTGAAAGTGGTTACGCCTTGGATTAGAATTGACGTTCTAACAACAGGATTAAATTTATTATCTTATTTCTGATTAACTAGCGTGTAATTTAAAGTAGCCATGAACGTGTTGATATTTGTTTAAGTTAAATAAGTGGTTTTATAGACATGTGAGGAAGATATTACGTAATGATGACACAGTGGTACGGTTGACAGCTACCATATTTCACTTTTATACCCTTTTCTTCTATTTTTTCCTGTCCACCCATTCACCTGTATGTAAATTAATAGCAAATTTGAGGGATAATAATTCAGTGTAGTTTAGGATAAGGGTACAATTATCAAGATTTCAAGGTGAATGATATAATTATTGGAACGCCCTTCATGAAGTAGCTGCCAGACAGTACTTTACCCTATATTAGTCAGCATGATTGAGCATTCATGACACCTTGACATTCCAGAAACAGAGACTATAAATATAACATTAAATGCTGTAAGAATTCAAGAAAAAACACAAGAAAAATTAATAGCGATAAAAATACTCCTAGTACTATTATAACTATTTTAACACTACAAATATAAAATAGCTCAATTACGTCATTTCGAGTATTATTGGTGAGAGATGGGAAATGAGTAAGGGACATGAAGTATGAATGTCACACTGTAGTAGACTCACCTTGACGGCCTCCAGCATGTAGTAGACGAGGAGGCCAGCGCTGAGAGAGAGGCCGAGCACCATCCTAGGACACTCGCTGTACAAACTGTACCAGTCCATCTTGCCTCACTCTCTTCCTCCCTCACCTACAATACAGCTCACTCTCGCTACTTGCTTACCTCCTCCCACTCCTTACACCTCCTGATGTTTAACAATAAATAGAATAACATATATACATTGTTTAAATAGGATTTAAGTCTTTATCTAAGACAAAATTATTTTTGTCTCAATCTGTGCCGGATGCTTAAAATCTCGTTCATTCCAATAATGTCTGTTTTTGCCTATATTCTCAATAAGTGTAAGTTATTTCATTTATTATTGTACCGAATAAGACTCTTGAGTAAGAATTACATTAATATATCTTTTCTTATAATTTCTATCCTCATGCAAGGCAATATGTCCCGTATCAAATGTTTTAAAAGACTTTTCTGTAAGAGATCAAGCCACTTGTAAACTAAGTCGCCAGTTTAGCGCCACTGTATGCAATTTTTCTTGTATTTCTATCTTAGATTTGATATCAGATGTACAGGAATTGAATGGTGGCCTTTTGGCAATACGGGATCTTCGGCTAGTAACACATGAAGAAATATAAAATTACCAAAAGGGCCCGTAGAATGAATCCTTTACCCGGGGCCCTTTTGTAAGTTCGACTTTGGGTACAGTCATGGGTACAGTGGTCCAACTTTTAGGGCATATCTCTCACCATTATGTCCTGGGTTCATTCCCCGGCCCGTGACAGGTTATCATCCAGTGTGACTCTACCAAACATGGGCAAAGAACTGAATGGCCAGGAAGCTGATAAATGGTAAATTGATGAATAAAATAAATAACACGCTTAAAATTAAGAAATAAATCGCTATGAATATGAAATAACTATTATAACATTCATACACATGCCAATATAAACAGTAGTGAGAGAGAGAGAGAGAGAGCTAGCACACTATAGCAAATTTAAGTAATTTTGACTACTTCCGTCCCGAGCCATGCAACCCTCCCTCTGACTCTCCTGAAGACTTTACTGGTGACTTTACTAACTCTACTGGTGACTTTATTAACTACTGGTGACTTTATCTACTCTCCCGGTGACTTTACTGACTACTGGTGACTTTACTGACTCTACTGGTGACTTTACTGACTCTACTGATGACTTTACTGACTCTACTGGTGACTTTACTGACTCTACTGGTGACTTTACTGACTCTACTGGTGACTTTACTGACTCTACTGATGATTTTACCGACTACTAATGACTTTACTGACTCTACTGGTGACTTTACTTACTGCCGATGACTACAGATTAGGTTAAAAGTTTTACGTTAGGTTAAGTTACCATGAGATTAGATTAGATTAGCATAGATTAGGTTAGGTTAGGTGGTTAATCTCAAGGTGAAAATAATAAGCTAATGATTGGGTAAAGGCGAGAGGTGTTTTTTGATGATACTTAGGTAGAAGAGAGATAGAATGAGAGATAGATAGATAAATAGATAATAAAGATAGGTAGGATAGACAGACATATAGAGAGCGATATATAGATAGAATAAAACTAACCTAAATTACTCGTAGCTAAAACAAAAATATATTGATTATCATCCGTAGTTATAAATGTCGACAGGTAATTCATAATTAAAGGTTAGGATATAAGGAGATTCTTAGAGGTTAGTATACCAATTTTACTCGTAGTTTGAGATAAATAAATGACCTTAGATACACCAAAATAGTTATTGAGTAGAGGCGCCATACATCATCCTGCCTAATACATTCATAACTGCAGTAACGTTAAATTATTCTTTCGTAAATACATTAACCCTTTTAGAATTTATTATATATACAATAAAGATAATAAAACCATTGAAGAATTTTGTAGTTTAGGATAATCACAACACTAGTTCATAAAGATGCGATATCACTTCATCTCTGTGAACAAAAATCCTCATTGAACAATTTACCGTGGGATAAAATACAGACAGATATTATCCCATTGGACAAAATCCTATCGAACAATTTCACAGAAGACAAAACTCCTTCATAACACACCCCATTGGACAAAAACACACTATAATAGCCTAATGGACAAATCCACACCATAACACGCCACATTGGACAAAACTCCACCAGAACTTACCCTATTGGACAAAAAACCCACTTTAACACACTCCATTCTGCTGTTTGTGATAAGTGCGTTGTGGTAAGTCCGTTGTGTGTGATAAGTGTGTGTGTATAAGTGCGTGGGTAGTCTTCGAGCTAAGAGTCTCACAAAGTTTGGGTGAAATACTTATGTAATTTTCATGCACTCAAAGATTTTTTTTTTTTGAGGTGTAAGTATTTTGAATTTTTTTAAAGTAATTTAAGTATTTACGACTGAGTATTATTGTTCTGTGACTTATTTTAAGTATCTGACTATTTTTACAAGTATTGAAAGTAGTGTTAGTATTAAAAGTATTTATATTAAAGTATTTTGAGTGCTAAAGTAATTATCTTTTTTAATTATTTTAAGTATTACAGTACATTTTAAGGATGATGGAACAACTTTAGGATGATGGAACAACTTCAAGATGATGGAACAATTTTAAGATGGCGGAACAACTTCAAAGTGGTGGAACAATTTCAGGATGATGGAACAACTTCAGGATGATGGAACAACTTCAGGGTGATGGAACAACTCGAAGATAATGGAACAATTTCAGGGTGATGGAACAACTTGAAGATAATGGAACTTCAAGATGATGGAACAACTTCAGGATGATGGAACAACTTCAGGATGATGGAACAACTTCAGGATGATGGAACAACTTCAGGATGATGGAACAACTTCAGGATGATGGAACAACTTCAGGATGATGGAACAACTTCAGGATGATGGAACAACTTCAGGATGATGGAACAACTTCAGGATGATGGAACAACTTCAGGATGATGGAACAACTTCAGGATGATGGAACAACTTCAGGATGATGGAACAACTTCAGGATGATGGAACAACTTTTGTTACTAGGTGAAACTGGTATTATTAGACGTTACTCTCGCATTACTATTGAGTTACTGTTACTTATGAGTTACTGGGTGTTACATTTGTTACTAGGTTTTATTTTCGTGTTATTTTAGGTGTTACGTTTGATTTTGATTACTTTATGTCACTAGAAGTTACTTTGTGTTAATTTTTATGCCACTGGGTTGCTGTGTTACTTTTGTTAGTCGTAAGCTCCGTGGGTGTTAACAGGTTTTACTTAAATGTTACTAGTTATCCAGAGGTGTTCTTATAAAGGTTACGTTAATGTTACTTGTTTGAAGTCTGGTCTGGTATTACTTACGAATTGTTACTTGCTACTGTTGCTGATGTTGCCAAAGAGATCAATATACTAAACCCAGGAGCCAACGATCGGTATTGTGTGTGAGTGAGAGACACACACACACACACACACTAAAATAAACTTATTAAACAAATACTAAATCTCGGTCATATTAAATGGAAAACTCTCTTGTTTTTACTAACGATGGAACTAACCAATTAAGGGAGAGCTTGTCGGGTTGTTATGTTTAGCAACGATCAATAAATCCTGTTATCTTTGGAACTAAATTAAAGTTAGTGTTATCGCCATTGAGTACTACTAAAGTAATCAATCTCTCACTCGTAAGTAAATGCAAGTAGTAGTAATTATATGGCTGGCTGTTTGATGATATAATGTATAAGACACACAAGGCAATCAAATGGGAATTAACTATGTAAACACAAATATGAGGGTGATGGAACAAGCACCTTCCTCACTGATGATGGCACGAGACTAAACACTGAATGACACTCACTGACTCCCTCTCCTCCTCACCAAGGCCCGGCACCTACTGACACAACCTCTCGCTGCATACCTCCTCCTCCAGCTCCTCCTCCTTGGAACATTGATTTTGTCAGTCTAGCTAACTTATCCTCCTGCCACCTTGACTTTTTTTTTTCTGTGCCTCCCGCCTTGAGATATATAGCTCCGTAGACTCTAATTTCCAGGGATTTTGTTTTTTAGGGACAAACCCAGGAAACAGCAAGGGAGGGGGAGGAAGCGTCATTTTTATCTGTCCTTCACAAGATAAAACGAATGTGTGTAAAGATTGAAAGTACCTCTGAATAATTATTATTTGATATCGGAGTGATAAATAAACCGTAGTATCGTCCATATACATTATAAAACAGGCAATGAGGGTTGTATCGTACACCCGACAGCATAGCTACACCGGCACGAGAAGCGACGTGTGTCAACCGTGACGTCACATGCCGCACTGTGGTAGGAAGACTGTGACGTCACGAACTGATTGATCCTAATGCCACCAGAGCATCAACATTAATGATGGATTTTCAACTTCCGTTCGTCAACAACTAACTCAACCACCTTCATCCGCTCAACAACATACAACATAAATAGCACAAAAATAACACTTCTACCAATATTTGCTGTTATTAAAATCAATGACCAGAAATAACGTTTTACTGATGTAGTTATTAGCGTGAAGAACAAATAGCGGGAAAAAAAACGTTCAGCTATTGTTATGTATCTGTTGTCATCAATAACCTCACCTTAACCGAGCCTTAGCTAACTAAACCTAACCTAACTCTAACCTGACCTAACCTAACCTAACCTAACTCTAACCTGACCTAACCTAACCTAACCTAACCTAACTCTAACCTGACCTAACCCAACCTTAACTAAACCTAATCTAACCTAAAGAGACTTGAACTGATGGAATTTTGACCGAGGTAATATTAAATAGAAAACTACGGCAGACATTGTAAGCCAGGTTTTGTCAATATTGGAAAATCAAGCCCAGACATACGTACGACTGAGTCCACTTTTGTCCAGACATAAGGAAGACTTTAAATAAAACTACATTAGTATCTCTCTTCAGTGTTTAATCAGTCAATATACAACGGCAGAGCAACACACACACACACACACACACGCGCGCACACACACACACACACAGACACGCGCACACGCACACAAACGGGGATTTAGTCTTGAGAGATTGATACCGAGTACTATGGATTGATACAGTGTACTAGGATTTAAAAATAAGTTAAATAATCATCCCCTCACCATAAGGGCTATTAAAAAGGGATTAAGGTCTCTCATATAAGACTCTCAAAAGGGTAAAAGACCAGGCGAACATTCCCTTAAGGGCTCACGGTATCTCCCAGTCACTCCTGAACTAAAGATACTCACCATCTCTCAACCATATGATAAACTTCTTGGAATAAATTAAAAAATATTAATCTCAAGAATTTCGTCACTGTTCAACTGTCTGCATCGAATACAATAGTTTTAGTTCACTGATAAATTTAATTCAATAGTTTAGTTATAAAATACAATACGTTTCTTGTACTGAAGGAATGTTTTGATAATATACACAACATTACCGAGAGATTAGATCCAATTATACACATATATTCTAAACTTTCTGGATAAAAAGAAATAATCTTTAGTAATTTACCTAAACACTAGTTATGTGAGATGTTTACTGTAGCTAACAGACTCATTAAACATTCAGAGAAATAGTTTTTATAAAGTTACTGTATTTACATATCCTGGTATTACATATATAAACATACAAGTATACGTATATCTAGTATATATATGTGTGTGTATATATATATGCCATATGTGTGTAGGATATACAAAAAAAAAACTCTTATGCTATTAACAACAGGTGTGTACAGGTAGCAGCCACAGGTGTTGTGTGTATTTGTTGATAATTACAGGTATGTTATGAATTATATTTGACTAGAGGTGTGTGTGTGTGTGTGTGTGTGTGAGTAGGACCATGTGAAGTGAAGAACGCAAGGAGAGAGAGAGAGAGAGAGAGAGAGAGAGAGAGAGAGAGAGTGTGTTTGTGTTTGTGTGAGGAAGGAAGTATAACAACACCGTACTTGAACCATTATAAGTAAAAATTTAACTTAGAAAGATCTACAAAAAGTCACTACAACAAGATATACATAGAAGATTTCCTTAAAGCTTCTTGGTGTTTACGACTCCCTGTAAGTGCATTAGAGTATGAGTGAAATAACGACTTCTTTTTTTACCCAATAAGTTTACAGGAAAGGGGAAACATATTTAAGGGTAATTTGAGAATCATAGTTCTGGATTCACTGTTATTTTATCATTATTGTTTGTTTTCTCGGTCTGGTTAACTCTTTGAGGTTATTTACAGTTTAAAGAGGTAGCTGGACCGTCCAACAACACTGGTTCCTTGCTGTATGAAGACAACAGGTGTGTATCTTAGTATATTGAGAAAAAAAGGTTATTGGTTAATTCTCAAACTATAGAGATACAAGTGAAGAATACTATACGAGGGATTAAATGTGGGGATAATTAAGTATCTATATCACTCATATAATCTTAGTTTTATTTGATATTTATTGAAAGAAGAATAAAATTACCGCCCGCTTGTCAACATTCCGCGGGCGAAAAAATTGTTTCATACATATTAGCATAAAAGAGAGAGACTATGTATTTATTTATTGAGATCTTATAAATAATTAATTATATTTAATACTTAACTCATTGAATAATTATTCCCACATCTCGGTGATTGGCCAGTCAACAGCCAATCAGACACTCGTTCGTTAATGTTTATACCTGTTGTCCTCATGCACCAGGGATCCAGCTCTCTGTCACCTAACACTCAACTATTTCCTCTAGCATACACTCAGATTCACAATAAATTATACGTTTTATTTTATCTCCGTATTAACTTGGAATGAAACAACATACCTAATCACTAATGTAGAGTCTGTGCAGTTTTGTCACCATTTTGACTTATTTTAGCGTCGTAGCTCCTAAGTCGATCAAGTTACCTGTATACATAATAATTTACGAGGAATATTTTATCGTAAGCATCTTTGAGGCTATAAACAGGACCACCATTCTTTTAGTTTAATTCCTTGAGGACGATGGTTTTAACTCCTTGAGGATTATGGTTTAACTCTTTTAAGGACTTGTTTTAACCTTTTAATTACTACGTTTTAACCCTTTTTGAGGATGATGATTTAACCCTTTCGAGGACGGTGGTTTAACCATTTGAGGACGATTATTTTAGTCTTTTGATCACTATGGTTTAACTCCCTCGTGCTGAAAGGGCTAAAAAAAGCACCTGAATCAATAATATCTTTTTGCATAACAGGTAAAATTGCCTCTTCATAAAACCTCTCGTTGTTTCATAAAAAGTAACTACCACAACTCCCCTCTAACTGGCCAATTAAAGAACTCATTTAAGTTACGACACAAGACTAATAACATCCTCCCTAACTGATAACGAAAGGCGTATTTATCTAACTTGTTACACGCACTAGTGGTTACAGAATGGCGACAGTACTCCACAGAGACTCAAGCGTTTGACTATTATTTTTTCCCATCCCGGTCTGGTCCCTGTTTCATCTATTTATTGCTATTTTATGACTTTTATCGTCTATTTATTTTATATTTATGTTTTGTTGTCATTTTGTCTTCACACCTTGTTTTACTGCCACTATTTATTCCGTTATTATTTTTTTGGTCTTTGTTACACACTGTTCTTTATCACAATTTCTTCTTCTTCTCCTTTGCTTTTTGTCATGCACTATTTTTGTCCATCTCTACATTCCTCCTTTATCTGGTTATACTACCCCCTTCTTCTCTTTTCTCTGTCCACCTTGTTCTTTGTCAGTGTCTCTTTCTTTTATCTGTCATTCTCCTGTTTTCTCCTCCTCCTCCTCCTCATTCACTACCCACTTTCTTTCTTATCTTCTGTTCTTTCATTTGTTTCGTATTCACACAGTTGTTTGTTTACTCAATAAAACCAAATATTTTTATCCCGGTTGAGTTATCAGTTGAATTCCTATGTTGTTCAGTGGTGGTATACGCGGCTTCCTCTGTTAAGACACTTCACCAACGCCTCTCTTAAGTTCGGCGGTGTTGTACTCTTCCTTCTCCCCCTTCGTCGTCTCCTCCGTGTCTTCAGAGTTATTGGAAGATTTCTGAGTGGCGGCGTCAACGTTGTCATGAATGGCATTGTCGTATTCGCGTGTCTCGTTCGCCTTATTCCCGTCGATGTTATCATAGGACTCTATCTTCCCGTCGATGTTATCATAGGACTCTATCTTCCCGTCGATGTTATTATAGGACTCTATCTTCCCGTCGGTGTTATCATAGGACTCTATCTTCCCGTCGGTGTTATCATAGGACTCTATCTTCCCGTCGATGTTATCACAGGACTCTATCTTCCCGTCGACCTTTTTAGAGGACTCTATGTTCCCGTCGACGTGATCATAGCACCCTATCTTCCCGTCGACGTGATCATAGAAGTCGATGTTATCATAGGACTCTATCTTCCCGTTGATGTTATCATAGGACTCTATCTTCCCGTTGATGTTATCATAGGACTCTATCTTCCCGTCGACGTTATCATCGTTATCATAGGACTCTATCTTCCCGTCGACGTTATCATCGTTATCATAGGACTCTATCTTCCCGTCGACGTTATCATCGGACTCTAACTTCCCATCGATGTTGTTAAAGACGGCGCTGGCAAAGTTGTCAGCCTCCTTCCTGATTTGTTTCAACTGGTCGACGTTGCTGAAGATGGCCGCGAGGAGCTGACTTATTAGACGGTCACTGTAGTAGTAGGTGGTGGGTAGGACGCCCTCCATGAACCCTATGTGGCCACCCCGAGCCGTCACGATGATGGCCACATGACTCGACCTCTTCGCCGCCTCCAGAGGTATGGCTGAGGAGGAGGAACCAAATATATGTGAGATTATGGGGGTCGTCACTACAGCATCCTCTCCCTCTCTCTCACCCCCTCTCTCTATCTCTCTCTCCCTGTCCTTCCCTCTCTCTCTCTCTCTCTCTCCCTCCCTCTCTCTCTCTCCCTCCCTCTCTCTCTCTTTCTGTCTCGGGAACCACAGGAACCAAACCACTTACTCAAATACTCAATCCCGAGAAATTTTACAGAAAAACCTGAATGGACAGTAGCCCGGGTGTTGATGATGGTGCAGATGATAGTGAAGTTGATAGACTACGAGCTGTACCCCAAAAACAAACACAGGGCCCACAGCGGTGATAAATATTTATATAAGAGAAAAAATAATAATGAAATAATAATACAATAGTAACATTAATAATAAAAGTAATAATAATAATAATAATAAAACTAAGATTAGCAATAAACAATTCTATCAGGGAGTGCAATAAAAAAACAGTAGCCATGTAGTACTTCAAGAGCTGGAAGGGGGGGGGTACTGGATGTCGCTGAGCTGAATGAACAATAACAATACGAATAAAAATACTATCAACCCTAATAATAATAAATAATTCCATATGAGAATAGAATAGAGGCGTGTAATACCGTGTAAAGGCTGGAAGGGGTCATCAGCAGCAGTGAGACACAGTAGAGGAATCTTGATACGGTCCAGCTTGTCGTGAAGGCAGGAGGAGAGGTAATAGTCCTCGGCGTCACGGAACCCAAACTGCATCGCCGTGAACTGTGTATCAAACTCCCGGATGGTTTTACTCTGCGAATAATAATAATAATAATAATAACGATACACAGTTATTATTATATAGAAAGCAGGGAGAATGTGTGAAAATTTCTCTTTACATTCTTCCTCGTTGCATTATGTATAAGCAGGTAATCCTTGATATCGTGTCTAAAAGCGATAACTAATATGGATTATTTTTTGTTTTCTTTTGACTGGCCATATACTTTTATGCTGATTATTATACATATAACGTTACCTAGCCTAACCTAATCTTACCTAACCTAACCTTAACGTATCAAACTTTGGATATAATTTGGCTGTAAAAGACGTCTCCTGAAGGTAGTGGTGTGAGAGTCCTGCTCGGGTAGGAGAGAGTCTGAGTCACAGATGGCAGAGTGACCTTCACATGGACGGCTGTGTTGGAATATTGATGTTGACTGGATACACTGACTGCTGGAATTTCACGTTATATGTCTGCTTATGTGGACTTCATACAGATTAATATTTTTTATTCAAGAACCGTAAATAATTACTATATTTTAGGAGGTGCAATAATCAGTAACCTAAAAATCCGTAGGAAATTGTGTAGAAAATTTGTTTGTAATGATCAAGTTACTATTTATTGCTCGTCATAAAATATAATAATCATTCAGGGTTCTCGGGAAAAATAAATTACTCTGTACTATACAACACAAAAGACTTGATTTTACGTTTTATGAAATTTATTTAATAGCTTGTGTGTTGGGCAGCAATAATTCCTGACTTGGCTGTGTATCGTAAGTCAGTGAAATGTTTACTCGATAGAAAGGTTCAGATCAAAGTACTCTGTGTTGGGTGTTTTATCTAATAAGTACTTTAGTTTCGTGAGTTTCATCTTTCTTAGTTGTCTTACTGTTTTATTTCTCCCTCCTGCGGTGTGTAGTTGTGTTAGTCAGTCTTATTGATGACATTCCTTGTTGATTTTCTCCTTCACTCAAGCACCGAGAAAATTTTCGTCTTACACTGCCAGACGTACGATTACTGCAGCCAGTGACAATTCCCCGTGTTGGTTACATATTTAAACAATGATTTTTTATAACAATAGGTATATTATTGGTTGTGTTGTTACGTCATAATGTAAAGAGTATTCAGTAACCAGTATGAAATCTTTTCCCTGAGTTACTGCAACAACTGTCAGTGACAGTCCGTCACTCACTGACGTCATGTTAATGACGTCAGTATTGATGAAAATAGGATGGGGAAAGTTGTGCTCAAAGAGGGGTGACCAAACCTGTTCTAACTGCCCATAACGTTTGTAATTTTTTGTCTCACTTGGACTAAATACCTTCATAACTTGTTTGAGGTTCCACTTGTGTTGGTCGCCGGCCAGTTGGTAGCTCATACTGTCCGCGAGTTGACAGAGGCAGTGGGCGAGGTAGCGATTGAGCAGCAGGTTGCAGAGAGGCTTCTCCATGCTGCTCAAACCCAGCACCATGTTCCAAGGGATGGACATTACCACTGCCGCAGTCAGGTACTTGGCGGCCCGCTCACCCCGCGTCGTCAGGTAGTTCCCCGTGATCATTCTGCGGGAGATACAGGGTTAATACAGTAACTCGAACATATACAAAAATATGTATTACAGGCATTATACAGTAGATAAAATGATTGAAAGGCAGAGAGACAGATGGGTTGGCAAACAGACAAAGAAACACATACTCACCCCCCTAGAGATATCCCGATGGCCACTATGGGCACGCCGGGGTGGGTGCTACTGAGGTACTGCAGCGCCTCCTCCAGGTCATCACTGTTGGCGGCACAATAGGTCCTCGTGGTCTGTAACACGAGGTCACGTCAGCACAACTCGAAGTCATGTGTGTGTGTTTGAAGTTGAGTGGACATTGAGTGTATTTGTGTGTCCACCACTGCATTTATATGGAGTGTTACTTTGGGACGCATTGCAGTAGTAAGGTAACCCCTCCCCCTCCCCAAAGCCACCCACCTACCGACCCACCACCCACCCACCACACCTACCGACCCACCACCCACCACACCCACTCCAACAATGTCTCAACTATATTATTTATGACAAATTTATATCATTGTTTACATACGTGTCACCTCAGGGTTAAACTAGCATGATAAACACTGGTCAGATGGATCATATACTGTGGCACCTGATTCTATTTCTTGTACCTTATATTGTGTTATTCTGTATTACATTCTACGTGTTAGGTATGGTCTATACAGTGTGGCTCATGTCTGCTGGGTGTGGCTGGGCTGTCTGATACCATGGTTGACTTTCACAATGTCTAGTTATGCGTCACTGTACTTTCTTTCGTTCCAGTAATTACAGACACAAGTTTTTCCTCCGTTTATTTGTGTGCCATGCCACTCAGCGTCTCTTTGCGTGTTAATAACTGGACAGGTACAGGGCAAACCAGATATGTGGCAAAGCATAGTGTAGATTGTGCGGTTAGGGCCGGATTAAGCATTAAGCAAGAGGCCTGAGGCACAGATCAACGGGGCCCCCTATCCTCCAAAATATATATATATATATATATATATATATATATATATATATATATATATATATATATATATATATATATATATATATATATATATATATACCCAAATTTATCAATGATTTCATCAATATTAAGCTTCTGCAAAATAACACATTTAATGTTCATAAGAGACAGAAAATTGAGACGTTGCTAGGACATCGTTGAACGAAGTTCATGTTTTATACGCTTCAACTTCGAGAATGTTTGGAGTGGGGGCCCCTTAGAGTCGGGGGGCCTGAGGCCAGTGCCTCAAGTGCCTCATGGTTAATCCGGCACTGTGTGCGGTTACCAAAATCTGTGAGCTCGTGTACTGTACCGAAGACCACACGAGGAAGCTTACGTGTAGTCCCCTGATCTATCTTTATGACACCAGAGGTCAAACAACACAGTAAAGTTTTGGGCATCAGTTCTCCTTCCCGTCCTCTGGCTGGCGTCCACTCCGTTCAGCCGTAAGTGGGCACCTAACGTTACAGTTGAGTATGTGAAGACGGTCGTGAGCAGTGCCGGTAACATTATCTCCTTGTGTACTAAAGACCATAAATAAAGTTATCATTTCTCCGGTTATCATCATACTAGTCGTTCGGGCGATCAGTCTGTTTGTTTTTATGACCGTCAGTGTCCAGTGTTAGTGCAGAGGAGGAAAATGAAGAAAATCCAACCCAGGCCGGAGTTGGCATCCATAACACGTACAGTAGAGACGCAACAAAAAACTCACGTGAGAGGCCTGACTTGTAACAACGCCCACCCCCTACACACACACACACACACCACACAAAACTTATATATAATAACTAATATTAATTTCCATGGAGTCACAGATGAATCACGTTCGCAAATTAGATGGTTTTAATAACCCCAACTATAACAGACGCTGAAATAATTTACTATTAATTTTGTATCTCCTGGTAAGAATGCGAGGCAGTAACGTCTGTTATAGTGTGTTCACCGGCAGAATTTATAAATTACTTTAATGTTTTATAGTAAATACTAAAACAACACTTAAAAAGTTCATCCAACAATGCGAAGGTTGAGTGGATGATGGTGGGGTGATGGCGTGGCAGGGAGTATCAGCCAATAGCGGCCACCTGTGTATCGCTCATGACTGTTAGTTAGTGTTTGGTTATGCCAGATGGCGCTCATTCACAACTTCTTTAAAATGTTGTTTTGTGACATTCTGTGGCCTAGTGCGTGATCATATTTATGTCTATCGAGTCATTGCGGAAATTTTTAGACAGAGAGATCGAGGAACTCCATGCCCACATATGTGCATATTTTTTGTACGTTTAGCCAGATGATGAAGTGAGTATGACGCCATTGACTCCTCCCCCTTTCAAAATTTTTGGAGCAACAAACAAGTTGACATGCAAGACAACCCTTTCAAAATTTTTGGAGCAACAAACAAGTTGACATGCAAGACAACAGTGTGGCCAGAAACGCTGAGGGTGACTGACTGGACGTTGCTCTCTGTTCGCTTATCACACTGACCTATTCACCCAACGAGTCATCTTTTACCTTTGTCCTAATGCAAGAAAACTCCCTCAAGACCCAACACATTGACCGAAACTTAAGGAACAACAACAGTCTATCGTATACCCATTTATACATCCGGATATTGAATTTACAGTGAGTATAATATAATTTAACTATAAACGGTCAGTAGTAAATACAGTACACTATTTATACATCGTATTTAACTCTCGGCGTGACTGTAAATGACTGTAGGGGAATTATTACCACTAACTGTATGTGTGAATGACTGTGCGGCTGAATCATTCTTACAAACTATGAATCTTGTGAAGTGAAATAATAAGTAACCTTGATATGATAAAATTATAAAGTTACATTCAACTACTGTACAGCTGTTTATGATTAGATGTCTTATCTTCAGTCTACTATTTTTGAAAGGTAAATTAGTGGTTTGATAATGACTCTAAATATAAAATGATACAGTATAACGAATGTGACGATAAACTTGAGATAATGTGATATTTTTTTTTTACTTATTTACGTATGGGTAAAAAAATCTTCAATTCTAAAAACACGGTCTAGAATGGTCAAGGTTATATAAATGAAGGAAGATACGGGAGGAGGGAAAGAACGGACGGAAAACAGACAGACAGACAATCAGACACTTGTAGGGGAGGGGGTGAAAGTTAATAAGACATAACCCCTTGAGTATGCTGATTTTACCCTTGAATACGATGACCTAACCCATTGAGTACGATAAGTTAACCCCTTGAGTTTAACGTCACTTTATTCAAGGGGTTAAAAGTCAGTATTTAATGCTTTGTTAGTTACTTTGAGTCTTTAGTTCTCTCTCCATTATTCAACCATTACACAACTAAGTCAATCTGTCTTACCATGAGTCTTACGCCACCAATACCACGGTTGTTGAGGACTACGCATCGAGCTGGCAGGTGTCGTACGGCCAGCATCAAGCCCTTGACGTACTCGCTCTGGGAGGACCCCGTCAACCCTGGCAACACCAGCACGATGGGACTACCAGCACCCACCTCAACCCCCGCCAACCAGTCCAAGCTGATCTGCCCTCCGTCCTTCAGTTGCAACACTTCCCTGTGAAAGGTCAATTATTGTGAGTGTGAGGGTGGGTCTCTGGATTGGTGTGGAGGGGTGTTCTCTCTTTCTCTCTCTCACTCCTGACTTAGGGCTGGGGGGGGGACTGAGAGAGGGATAACTAAGTAAACAAGACGTGTCCGGAGTGGACCTTAAGGGAAATGACTCCGGTGGGTGGCTGGCGCGGAACATCTGGAGAACTGTTATTATTATTATTGATTAGTATTGTTGGTGTTATTCATATTATTTTCATCCTTGGCAATAAAATTTTCATCGGTATTATTATTATCATAGTTTTATCAATAGTACAGTACTACATATACTGTATAATATTTAGCATTTATAAGTAATCGTTATTATTTACACCACTACTGTTACCTATTATTACTATGTCTACAACAGATGCTATGAGAGAACTACAACACTCGCTCCTCACCTCTTGTACGTGATATCTGGCAGTCTGAGCCGCAGGAGGGAAGCCAACACGGTCTGGCAGTGAGACTCATAGCACCAGGGTGTGGGCCAGTACTTCTCCTGCAGGATAGTGAGGTGGGTCTCCAGAAACCTTCGCCACTCACTTCGTCTGCACGTCAACTGAGGCCGCTGTGAGGGTTAAGAAAAAAGAAAGAAATTTAAACAGTTTATTTAGTTAGATTAGGTCGTGTTAGGTGAGGTTAGGTATTCATGCTGTTTGTTAGTTTACATTTAGTTGTGTTGGATTAGGTCAGGCCAGATTTGTGTAAGGATGAATTAGGTTCTATTAAACTGGCGTTATATTGTATTAAGTTATATATTTCAGAGTGTTAAGTTACACTAGGTTAGGTTACATCAAAATAAACAAAATCTCTGCAACTCTACATCCTCTCTCTCTCCATGTGGTCAAAGCGTGAATAGCGCCAATCACTTTAATCACCACTTATCCCCAATAAAATCTTGCAGCAGGCGGAGAGTGGTGAAGGATCCTGGGTGACTCTGGTCCCTCTATTCACACCCCCAGCGGAAATTGGCCTTGAAGAGCGTTTACCTTAATACAGTTATTTAGGAAGTATGGCGTTGTAGGAGGCTGGCGCGTATATAGGGTGTATGTGTGTGTGTGTTTCAGTAGGTGGGTGTGGATGGGTGGGTGGGATGGTGTGTGTGTAATGTGCGGATGTTCAGTGTGTATAAGTGGATATATCTTTGTGTGTGGGTGTCTATGTTTGTGTATTCACCTGTGTCAACACCTGTAGTATAGCCCCCTAACCTATTTGACCTGTTTATATATCGTGACACTACCTGAAGGGGGGTTAGGCTAGAGTGTTTTAATGACTAGGTGTAATAAGGTGCCTAATCTTCACGTGGTCTCTTGTTCTGAATTATTTATGAGAGAGGGATCATATGAAGCTTAGCATTAGGGGAGGTTAATCTTTAGGTGAACTGGGGTGGAGATTTTTCAAGTGATCCGAGATGGGAAATAGAGTATGGAATATGAATATCACACTGAGGTAGAGGTAGACTCACCCTGACGACCTCCAGCAAGTAGTAGACGATGAGGCCAGCGCCGACGGAGAGGCCAAGCATGATACTGGGACACTCGCTGTATAAACTATAAAAATCCATCTTGCCTCACTCTCTCTCCCTCCTTCCTTCCTTCACCTCACAATACCGCTCACTCTCGCTACTTGTTCACCTCCGCCCACCTCCCTCACACCTCCTGCTGCATGACACTCATTACTCATCCCACTCAAAGCTGTGAGGATGTTAGTTTCAGCCCGTCACGTCTCCACTGGAATAAAAAAAAAAAATCCTTTGGTCGTATAAAAACAAAACACTTAATTTTTTTTCAATATTTCTTTATGTATCAATTTCCATAAACAAATCGTATCAGTATAATGAAAAGTTACAATATAATATAAAAAATGAAAACTTTGTTGGGAGTTTAATTGTAAGTTTTTAGCCAATGGGCGGCGGCAACACGAGAATACCGTTTCCCTTTAAAGACGAACATATTGGTTTTCTCTCTTTTTTTTTGTCTCTCGTCTTCTCGGGAATTATTAAAAATCAATCGTCACTTCTATTCCGGCCTATTCAATTTGGAACTTGACAGACTTAAATTCATCCAAAATTCCCTATTATTTTTTTTTAATTTGTCGTTTATATAGTTTTCTGTGATCAAATGATAAACAACCTACAAATCATCATACAAGTTTACATTGACTCGGCGTATATATAAGCAATCCATGATACATTATACATAGATGGTGCAGGTATACGAACAATGTATACACAGAAAACCTCGTCTATACATACACTAGGCAGCAGCCAACGCACAATACAGTGTAGTTGATAAATTAATATAGATAAATATTTGTTCAGCAAAATCGTCAGACAAGTTCACTGTAGTACAACGTGTGTACATAGGAAATACAGTTAAATTCACAGAAACAAGTAATTATGGGTCAGTGAACTGTAGGGGTATGGAACCGTGGACAGTGTCAGCCCCTAGCCAGTGTCAGCCCCCGTCTCTCATTGTGACACTCGCCCTGGGGTCTACACTTGGTGAGGCACTTCCACGCAGTAGTGCCGGGCGGGTGAACTGCCACCTAATTGGATACTGCAGTTGCCAGCTTAACTCCGTGGTAATGATTTTCTAAAAAAACTTTCGTTGGAGTGAGTTATGTGGCAACTGGCGATGATGCGTGCGTTGTGTGTGTGTGTCTAAAGTTCCCTCTTGTTAATTATATTCCCCCTAGTGTATTAACATTTTAGCTGCGTCACCTTACTCCGTGAATACCAGTTCTGGCTCACTGAATGAATGAATGACATTGAATAACAGGTTAACTTTTACCTCAATGATTTGCATAATTTCCTGACTGACTGACTGGCTAAGGTTTCTCCAACTTACTTTCTGACTGACTGACTGATTTTTTGCTAAACTGACTAACATAACGTACATAAATATTACACACACACATATAAAATGGCATCTAATTCACACTGAGACGAGCTTAACCAGATGTGTGGGAAGATACGTAACACACTGTCTCATCAACACACCTGACTATATACCTGTACCTTATATCCCATTAACACACCTGTCTATACTTGTACCTTATATATCATTAACACACCTGTCTATATACCTGTACCTTATATCCCATTAACACACCTGTCTATACTTGTACCTTATATATCATTAACACACCTGTCTATATACCTGTACCTTATCTCATTAACACCTGACTATACCTGACTATATTATCTCCTCAACATACCCGATATTGTGAACTTATATAATTACGTAGATAACTATTTCTAATTGCTGTAAAATATGTGTATATACGATTCTATTATTTACTATGGAAGGGGTTCGTTAGAGGGGGTTCAGTAGTAAGGGTTCGTTAGAGGGGGTTTAGTTAGGAGTCGTGAGTAAAGTTCGGTATGTGTCAGTGAATGTCTGTCTGTCTGTATGTGTTTCTGCACAATTAACTTTAACGTCAGTATTTGTACATCTGTCTGTCTCACTAATTTTAAAATTCACACCAGTTCCAATAATTTCTTTGTCTGTTCATCTCGCTATCGTTTGTTTCATATTTTTTCGTATGTTCTTCCTTTTCATTATTTTCGTTCACTCAAGAGTTTAGTTCACGTATTTTTTTATTTTATTATTTCACCTTTTTCTTATTATTTCTGTTTTATTTCATTATTTTTTCGCTCGATTCTTCCTATTCACATATTTCAAAATACTGTAAGTGTAACTGTTATCACGATCTACAGTTCACGACCTACAGTACGCGATCTACAGTACATTACCTACAGTACACGATCTACAGTACATGATCTACAGTACACGATCTACAGTACATGATCTACAGTACACGATCTACAGTACACGATCTACAGTACACTACCTACAGTACACGTCTACAGTACACGCCCTACAGTACACGATCTACAGTACACTACCTACAGTACACGATCTACAGTACACGCCCTACAGTACACGATCTACAGTACACGCCCTACAGTACGCGATCTACAGTACATTACCTACAGCACATGTCTACAGTACACGCCCTACAGTACACGTCTACAGCACACGCCCTACAGTACACGTCTACAGCACACGCCCTACAGTACACGTCTACAGTACACGCCCTACAGTACACGTCTACAGTACACGCCCTACAGTACACGATCTACAGTACACGCCCTACAGTACACGTCTACAGTACACGCCCTACAGTACACGTCTACAGTACACGCCCTACAGTACACGTGTACAGTACACGCCCTACAGTACACGATCTACAGTACACGCTGGACAGTAGCCAGCGACACGACCAGTTCTCTTCCTGCACTATATCGAGCTATGGATCAGGGGCTTGATTATCACACCCGAGTAACAGATAAACACACTATATTATATTGGAGGTATCGATCGTTGCGGCGGTGTGTGTGTGGAGAGCCTGGGGGTCAACCTACCGCACCGGCCGGGGAACTCAGGTACGATAGTAGCTCTGTTGTATCCGTGTCTTATCAATTATTATTATACACAATATAACGGTATCGGTTAGTTTTTCAGATAGGAAGCGGTTACACACATACACACGCACACATGGAGTAACGTCACGACACAGCAGACACACGCACACACTTAACGACATCACATGATGACCGTCATGTAGCGGCGTGGGATGTGGTTGCTCAGTCAGGAATACTGCAGAGCCTCCGTACGACACGTTGGCCGGCCGGCAACTGAACTGACTGGCTGGCTGGCAGTCTGGCACCAACCGTCCCCGTCCAGCAACCATTGAACCAGTTCAGTGTGACTGTCTCATTGAGAGGAAGGATGTGAATGATGTCTCCATTACATACAGGAACAGACTCCTGCTGAGGCAATCGTCATCGAGTAAATCTCATCCCCCAAAACAATAAGGGGTCAAAATCCTATTAGTTCCAGTTTCTCTAATTAAGTGTTGAGTTAAAAAAGATTTCGTCCAACAATATTTACACCGGTCGCACATTTTATGTAATGCAGGACTAACTGTTGGTGGGGTCGCTTCGTGGTTCCAGGAATAGTTTATTGATGCACTACACAGTACACACGCACGCCGTGGGCCACGTCCACAGCATGTTGATGTGATTTGTGTTAAGGCGGGTTTAGAATTCCTCACTTAACCAACAGTAACAACTCCCATGACACTAATCAGACCTCAACCAGAGGATATAACTGAGGTAATCTCATTAAATTCATCCATTTTAAGTGAGCAGAAGTTACCCCAATCTTACCCAACTCAACTTAACGTAACCTAAGACAAATAGCCATACCTAACCAAAAACATAATCTCCACCTACCTTATCCATACCAAACCCAACCTAATCCAACATAGCCTAACCACAGCTAACCCGAATGACTTTAACTTAACCTGTCTTCGTCCATATAGCAAGGTATTCAATTATTTTGCCCGTGTTTTGTGCGAGGGTGTGACTTGCAATACTTTACAGGCAACACTAATTTTGTTCATGAAAATACTTATATGACGGCATTGGAATTAAGAATCAGCATTTACAAATAAATTTTTAGTAAGACTGTAGGAACATGGTGAAAATCAGTAATAGATGAACGTAAATATTGAGTCTTGTCCTTTCATCTGACACGGGAATAACACGTTAGAAACTTAATGTAGCTACAACACGCTAACTAGACAACACACACACAGTAAAGAGGCGCTACACTGACTCACTATATACAATGAAATGTAAGATAAACGATACTGGTGGTAGGTCAAGCAGAGGTGTAATTGCTGGGGGATTTGTTCCCTTCCTCTGAAACAAAACACTGACTAAAAATGTAAGATAAACAAGAACATTTATCTAATATTAAAGTTATTTCAAACACATTTTCTAGTAAATTGTCTATAATAATAATCTAATATACAATAAAAAGTCTTTAGAATAGTATATACAAATTATTGGTATTTAGTTCATTTTTATATTTTATAGAATTACAGTATTCGAATCTCAATAAGCTAATAATAATAATGGTTGCCCCCTAATTAAAATGTACCCAGTAATCTGAAAATAATCATAACAAAAACATTGTTTCCTTGGACGTATAATATATATATATATATATATATATATATATATATATATATATATATATATATATATATATATATATATATATATATATATATATATAAACATTAAACAGGGTACCTAGTGACACTGGGATCCCGCTTCCTTTATCATGGAATAAAACATTGAAATTGACAATTGAATTAAACATTATAGTACACAGATTCATTTAGTCGTCTTTCCAGAAAATAATACAATAAACTTTCTCTCGCTTCATTTTTAAGACTTACGCGTGAGCATGAACATCCAGGTCCTAATTATCTAAAAAGGTGTGTAAGCATGTAGGCTTACGTAAGGCAAGTGTACTGTACTTTACCACTACGAGACCCCGGCTGGTGGAATGGTCACAATCTTGCTGTTACCTAACCCTCTTACTCACAGTGTATTGCCGACCCAGTTTTGACCGAATTACCGTCAGATATTGGGTCACTATACTATACGCTAGTAATTCCACGTCTCCTACCCTACCAGTTACCGGTATACGGAAAGTGCCAGTTTTGTTATGAAAACTTACTTGTACTGGTAGAGACTTCAAGAGGGCAGCGCAACAATGCTGTCGTAAAATGGATTTTGTCTCGTGATATTCACCTTTATTGATTAAGCGCCAGTGACTGGTGGCGTGGACACAACAAGAAGCCTCTCACGCCTGCTCTTGTAAAGCCAGGGGGCCGACCTCTTAACCCAACCCTTAATGGCTTCCCTGACCCAGTGTTGCCGTCCACCACACTCAACCACTCCACCAGCTGGTCTATTCTGCCCGCCCTTCTCCACAGGGAGTAACTAGAAGCTCCTGCCAGTTGCTGTAGTTAGTTTGAGTGAGGTTAGGTTATTCGAGTTAGGTTAATATATATGGGTTATTTCAGTTAGATTGGGTTGAAATTAGGTCATGTTCTTTGTATTAGGTTATTTTATTTTGGTTAGGTTAGGTTGTGTGGGTAATTAGAGTTATTTTATTATTATTATTATTATTATTATTATTATTATTATTATTTTATTCTATTCTATTCTTGCCCCCCAGGCCTTGATGTGGGTCACCTGTGTCCGAGTGGGCTAATGCCAGTAAAAAAAAAAAAACTACGCTTTGTGTTAGGCTATTCATTTCGTTAGGTTATTGGAGTAAGGTTTGGTTATTTAACGTGAATTAGAAGATAAAAATTTACAGTACAGTTGGTTTGATGGGTATAATAAATCAACAATTACTGTGTACACATTTCAACACAATATATACTTACATGTACTTTAAATATCACCGTTGCCTCATCTGAAAGTAAGGAAATATACCAATTACTAAAATATAACTAGAACCTTAATTTTATCGTGTTTTACTAAGTACACCAAGATCTATTACAATATTCCACATTAATTTCTTGACACTTTCCGGTCTTTTTTTTGCAATCTCAATATCAGAGCATTTTATCCGATGTAAATAATATTATGAGGTTTTAAAGTTGTGTAGAAATTGTTGTGTAGTAAGTGGCTGAGTTGTATGGTTGATATCTTGACAAGCCTAGCGTGCTGTTGGTGGAGATGATTATTGTGTTAAGTACTTACCCTAACTGCTGTGTCACTCACCAGCCTAGGATGAGATTCAAGGATGTTTATATTTCTTCTATATATTTTTTAGCTGTAGAACTGTAGATGGTTATATGTCATGTTCAAGAAATATTATATACTGATTATAGACTGTTGTAGCAGCCTTATATTTAGAATTAACGTAACTACGACATTTCTCCTGGATGCTATATTTCAATTAAGAATGACTACATTATTATTATTATTATAAAATTACTACATCAATATTATAATTATTAAGATTTATATAGCTTAAACAAAATTTAAATGCAAACTTTACTTACCACACCAGAGAGATTGATTTGTTAGTTCCCAGATAATCAACCGTAAAATGACGTCATTTCACATTCCAGCGAGGTAACTAGAGAGCGAGACTTAGAAATAAGAAATTCTTGTAGGGTTTTCGGTTTTTGCTCTTCGTTGCAATTAAACGTCTCCTCCGGGTATAAAGAAGAGAAACATGACACAACAGACAGTGTTCTGGGTTATAGGACTAAAGTACCTGCGGTTAAGGTCATACAGTATTGTAACTAAATCATTTCTTGGTTACATGCTGTCTTAAACTGTTTCTTGTTATGCCTGGCAGCAGCTTGACGGCTGTGTGAACTGTTGGTGGCTGGCTGACGTCACGAAAATAATGTGGCATTCATTCTCAGTGGACTAACTCCTGTATTACTTCTCTCGTAGCCTTTGTATACATAGTCGGTCTGTAGGGATTACAAACCGATAATTCGGTCTCGTAAAATTAGGCGAGAACAGCAGGACAAAAGCCAAATACGGCGATGCAGTACTGACTTATACACTTGGGAGTTAGTTGAATGAAGTGAAGACTTGGTTGGTGCGAGTCGTGTGGCTGGCAGTGGTGTTGTAGGGTTACATAAGTTATGTTGTCTAACACTCAGGATGAGATGGATGAAAACTCTAGGTGGTGGTTTTCTTATATAAAATTTATCATATACAAGACAGTCTGGTGCTGGAGATGCCGTGTGGTGAGAAGCTTGCTCAGAAGACACGTTCAGTGAGTAGCGTGCTTGAGGAGGTATCTGTGCAGGAGCTTCGTTAAGTTAGAGGAGATGTTGCGTGTTGCAACATCAAAGACTCATCCACGTGTTGACTCAATTGATCTCGTTATTCAGCCAAACTATTTCAATCTGCCTCTAGGTGATTGTCAATACAGTATGTAATTTAGAGGAAAAAAACAGTTATTTTAATTTATGTTCACTAATTTACAATAATACAGTATGTACATTTACACATCATTAACCATAAACTCTTACTGTAGCCAATAAAAATTGTAGTACAGTACAGTACTGTAGTTTGATGTCAGAAACTTGGGTACTGTATACAGTTTCTCATAAAAAATATATATTAATATGCAATAAAAATTAGTACAGTATGCCTTTCAAAATATCTTGCCAGGTAAACAACTACCAAGCAGAGTACAGTTAAATGTTGTCATAATGTCATGTCTACCGTAACTATAACACAAAGCCAACTGATAATTTGAGATAATTTTTAATATCGGTGATAAATTTTAAGTGGAAATACAATCCCTACCAAGTACAGTACTTTATCATCTCTTATTCACTGGTCTAGTTCAGTGGCTGTTACCATACAAGTATCATGACTGTTACTTCCTCTGTTAAGAGAGAAATGGAGCTGAAACTGCCTTGTGCAAAATTCATAACAATTTGGTAGTAAACACTAACACAGGAAAATCGTCCTTTCTGGTCTTGCTGGATGTCTCTGCAGCTGTTGACACGGTGGATCATCTCTGTTGTTTCAGGATCTTTGGTCGTTTGGTGTCCGTGAGAATATTCTCACTGCTCGAGTCATTTCTCAGAGCGATCTCAATGTGTAATGGTTGGTGGCACCATTTCAGACCCTGTCCATTTGCAGTTTGAAGTCCCGCATGAATCAGTTTTGGGACTACTTCTGTTTACAGTTTACATCAGTAGTCTTGCATCTCTGTTGGATGCTCATGGTGTTGCCTACCATTTCTATGCTGATGAGGTGAAAATAATAAATGTTGGAGATAATGAAATCCTTGATGTCTGATATTAAAATTTGGATGACTAGGATAAATTTTAAGCTGAATGACAGCAAAACTTTGACTATCGTCATCCAATGAAATAGGAGGGGAGAGAGCACAGATGATTTTGGCTTTTTAAGCCTTGGGGGGAGTACAACTCAGTCTTGTCGATTTTGTTCATAATCTTGGAGTGTACTTTGACTCAAAACTGAATTTTAAAGAGCACATAAATTCATTTGTTAAAGAGTTACAATTTTCAGATTTGAAATCTATATTATGTTAAACAGTTTTTAGATACACAGTATTTTGTGACACTATTACATTCACTTATTTTGTCTTGGGTTGAAATTGTTTAGTAACTCTTTATGGGTCTGCCTCCCAAATTATCTACAGAAGTTCAAAGTGTTTAACAGGGTTGCCAGGGTTAGTTTTATCCTCCCAACGAGTACTCCCACCACCACATTCTTGATCGAATTACATTGGCTTCCAATTAAAGCTAGGATAGTTCAAACTCTGTCTAATGACTTAAGACACTGTTTGGTGAGCCTAAGTATTGGCCAACCTATTAATTCCACTGATTACACATTGAAATTATTTTGTGTAGTAGTGATGATCCTTCAAGCCTGGAGGAGCCAAGAGCAGTACAGGAATGTTCTTTTGCTGCTAGATCCTTTTCCCAAACAGAACCCAGGTTGTACAGTTCCCCCCCAAAAATTGTCATGAGCCATGGGGGACAATGTGATTCGAGGCTTTCTGAGCAATGTTACTCGACGGTTGGTAGTTCTATATCCATGACCTTTAAGCATGAATGAGTATATATATTTTCGAGCGATACATTAATATAGCTTAATGGATTTCTTGTTATAGTAATGAAGTATCTAGTATGCCAAACAAGGACGACTCCCTCCCTCCATCTCTGGCTGTTGCTGATATGGCCAGTAGGCAGACCAACTTAGAGGATGCACTGGGGATCATATTAGAGCATTTCAAATTGTAGTGACAGTTAATCTAACAATACACTTTGGGGGGACTGTACAATCTGTTGTCTGTATCCATGAAGCAGCCTTTAAGAAACTATTTAAGACCTTTCTTGCTTTGAAAGCTTACGATCCTCAACAGGGTACGGTGGTGTAGAATTACAGGGTTTAGTTAGCATTAAAACTGATAGGGTATATGAATGATAGAAGTTGAACTGTCACGTTTTGTGATCTTTTATTGTAATACAGTTTTTCTTTTTATTCTCTAGTCTTTGACTTTGTAGTGTTTCGAGCGCTAGTAAATTCTTAAGAAGAACCGGTGCTTTTGGGAAACAAAAGACCAGCTATTATTATTATCCATTGCAGGTGTTTCAAAATATATAAAAGTGAACACAGAGACAAAATGCAATCTGTTAACACAGATGTTGCTTTTAAGAAATTGCATAAATGAAGAAAAATAATTATTAAATTGCACTAATTATTACTAATTTAAGTATAAAATTAAAATTATATAAAGTATATCTTCATAAATAGAAAGCAAGAACAACATAATTTTAAACAAGTGTCTCTTAATTACTGATTAACCTATGGCAAGACATCCTACGCATCAGTGAATAATGAGGGCAAAGTCAAGGACCTCGAACCTTTTATTTGATGATTATCACCCACGACACACCTGTGAGCGGTAACACAGAATCTCTTCCCAAAACAGGTACAGAGCACAAAAATGTCATATTTGTGACAGCTCAATTTTATCACATTGTAAATGGCCACTGCTTCATGTGAAATTTTAATACCTACAGTTAGCAATTCGGAATCAAGTACAGGTGCTCCTCTACTTACGAACGTGTTACGTTCCTGAGGCTTATTTGTAAGTCCAACTTTACTCCTGTATATACCAAACATATTGTAAAAAATGAAAAGATTATGGATAGTTAGTACAGCTATACCCTTTAATACAGCCTTAACCTGGCTCACTCTTAGGTAATGTTTGTTCTATCAGGAATTTTCTTCAAAATACTCCAGTCCCATCCACATTAAACACCTGTGCTGGCAGGTAACCCCCCTCAGTGATGATGTTTGTATTTCTGAAAGTTTGTAAGTTGAACGTTCTTAAGTAGAGGAGCACCTGTACTGTATGTACGGCAGACAAAGCTAGAAAAATACCACATACAGAACCACTAAACCTTTTCCCTTGTAATATGAAAGACCCAAACCTAACTTTATCTAACATTCTAGAGTAGTTTTGCTTGTTAGAATAAGTGTGGTTGGTTCGTGTTACCTGAAAAATAAGTTGTTTCAACATCCTGTTCTTGGTTGTTTTAACACTGACACTTTAGCATTATGTTGGATTAGAAATATTATATGATCATGTCATCAGCATGTCTATTTAGCATACAAAACAAAACTACATAACAGAACATGTTCAAGTCTTGCTGTTTTGTATAACAAAATACAAACACTCATAACACACTATGTAATATGAGCAGAAACTGGCACTTTCTTAATTAAATTACATTTTTTTCACTTTTCATTTTCATGTAAATTTTAATTTCCAAATTGTACTTCAGATGAAAATTTTGTACAACACAACACACAGGGTTCACTTACATTTTAACTGATAAATATATCACAAAAATAAGGAATTGATCCTGAAATCACATTTTATGACCAGCTTAAGACATGCAACTTGAGTACTGACTGAACAACTCAGAGGCTTCACTCAAGGATTTCCAGAAGCCCTCCATTTGAGAAACTGGGCTTGACTCCAGAAGTCCAGCAAAACTCAAAAACTTGGAATAGGATCTCCCCTGGCTCAACCAAAGCCCCAATAAATAGGAAATGACACTACTGAGAGCTGTGAGTAACTTTTCTGGAATTCTGAAGTATGGTAGTATAGCCCAGTCATGCAATTGGAGGGTTCCTGCAAGTCCGGTGATGCAGTGCACAAGTCACCTGATTCACTGCATCAATTATAAAATTAAGAAGATTAACTTACCACTTTAAGGCTTACTAACAAAGGTTAAAAAATAATATTATCTGTAGATGAATGTGTCTCATCATCCTTTGCCAGAGCAGCCAAGTAACAGGTGTAATATAACACCAGCTGGGAGTATGCAACATGCCACAGTAATTAACACCAGCTGAGAAAAGGCACCCTCAATACCCTCAAATAAGCAATGATTTAGTTTCTAATTACAGCTACAGTATATAAGTAATGACAAAAACTTCACCGAGAGCGACTTTTAAATCACAAACACATCAATTACTGGGAATAAATAACTAAACTAAAAGTGTGCACGGGTCTTCCAAGCCGAACTCCTGGCACCTCTTGGACAAACCACCTGGTGTGTTCTCACTACTGGCCGTCCCTTCTCACCAGCCATGCCTTTCCAGATGGTATAACTCATTTCATGGTCTCATATCACCACATAATACAGCACTACTTCTTTGATCTCACCACTTGTGTTGAGAAATCTCACTCGACATGGCTCAATAACAGTTACATCAGCTTCTGCATTTTTCCGTAACTATTCATTCCTAAAAACAATTCTTGTAAATATTCCCAACAATATACATTCAAGTTATTTTGGAAGACCTGTTAAGAGTAGTCACATTGTGTTCCTGGTTAGCTCACATGTACAGTTCTCTATTCATTATACAGTACCATCAAATAAAACTCATCGCATATGAAAAGAATTAAAATTTCACGAGTCAGCACAATTTAAATGAAACATACCCAACACATTGCTGAACAATCTGTCACACAATATTATACAGTTCAGAGTACTGTAATAACAGAACATCACCAACAACAATTATTTTTGGCCACATTAGTAACTTTAAAGTCAATATATTCATTATTGCATACCTTCATTCTAGCTGGAAAGTGTGAGGATTTTGCCATTACCAATTGCGACAGGCAGGATATTTCCATACCCTTACATGGCAAACTTCTCTTCAATCTAGGAAGGTGGACCCATTGCTGCACATACCAGCATAAGGTGTTTTACTCAACCAAGGGAAAAAATTTATAAGCTGCATAACATATTAAGCCCTTTAAATTTTAATATACAATTATTTCCCATAAACACCTAATGTACAAAATAGGGAAGAGGAGGAAAAAGAGAGAAAGTGATGCTGCTTAGATAAAGAAGACTCCCGAACACTTGAGTTATAACTAAGATAACAAAATAACTCTGAGATATTCACCAGAAAGGACACCAACCTATGTAACACTGGCACAGGTTCTCGTGAGAGGTGGCCTGTGCAATAAGCAGTTCAACCTGTCTGTGCACATCCAGTGGCTCGTCGTGGCAAAAGTCTCGCCCGGTAAGTTTGTCACGGACCCTATTAACAATGGCCACCGCTTTCTTATTAAGAGCCTCCGAAGCACCGGAATCATCTCGCCCTAATTCCAGTTTCTTAGTCTGGGAACCGGCATGAATTGCTGATGATATAGGTGTGGCCTCCATTATTGGTGTGTGGACAGTGTCTGTTGCACTAACGGCACTACCGGCACTTTCACTATCACCAACCACTGAACGTTTACTTTTTGGCTGTGCATGATCCATCAAACGCCAGTTGAGCAACGGATCATGAACAAAGGCTTCCAGCATGGCCATTAGAGAGTCCTTGTTTCTACGGATTAAACTCATGACTGATTCGCATGTCATTCGGTAGGTACCATCAATGCCCGTCACCTCCATGGCATTGATGAGCATCCGGGTCAGACGGAAGGGTATTTTTTCAGGGAACTTTTCACGTGTCATGGCAACCTCAAAGCAGTCACCAAAATCAATATGAATGATCTTGCCTGACAACTGATCCAACATCAAGTTGGATGGATGACGGTCACCCAAACCCAGCACGTACCCTACCATTGACATAACAGCTAAGGAACGAGTATAGTTTGTGCGACGATCAAACCACACTTCTGAGGATGGACTCTTGAACCACAGAAGCCGGGCAAGATCATCCCCCTGGGTGTGCTCCAGAGCGTGTTCAAACACTTCAACTTTCTGCATGAGGGTCAGATGCTCCAGATCTTGAGCCATGCGCATCATTATTCTGTGCTCAATATTCAAGAGAATCTTCTTCTTTTCCCGCCAGTCTCTTATGAGAGCATGTAGAGTGTCGCAATGTGGCACCCAGCCAATGAGTCCAGAGTTGGTGGACAGCGGAATAACGGCAAAGCGCTGAATGGTCAGGTTGCGACGAAAAGTATCGGGATTGCTGATGAGCAACGTATTCACCAACCCAAAGAGCTGCATAACTCTTTCATCTTGTCGAAGGTCCTCGTGTCCCTTCAACAAAAAGACAAAGTCTCGGCCGTTACTTCCTCTGATACAAAGTTTACGAGGACGTTGTTTAGAAGACAAAACCTGCAGTGATGACTGAGCTTGGCTAATACATATAACGGGATTGTTAGGAGCATAAGACCCGGGAACAGCGATGTCAAGATCCCGACACTTGAGAAGCCTCGGCGAGACGGACTGTAGCTCTAGTGACGTAAGTTGGGGAAGCTGGCGAGAGATGCGACGGAACACATGGTAGTAGAGGTCCCATGCTTGGTTCAGCTCGCGTACATTTCCTGACCTCTGGTATCGACGACACCATTCTTGTGCTTCGTGTAGGTCTCTACCATAGGCCTGTGATAAACAAAATAATATAAATTATTATAATGCTATAATTCATCTTAATATCTACCAACAACTTCATGGGAAACACTTCAAATATAGTGACAGCACATTAAAGAGTCTCCCTCACAAACAAAGGTTACACATGTACAGACTATCTTCCCACACAGAGTACAGTACAGTATATCTTAGGCTGATTTTCCATGGCTATCTGACTTAAAGTCTTACAATTATTCATAATCACGGTGAGTTGACTGACAGATATTATGTAGAGTGAGTGTAAGACAGATACTGACCTGGTTAAAGGACATCTCCTTCAGTGTCTGTGGTCCTCGCTCCATCATGGCATGAAGAGGCTCCAAGGTACGGAACATGCCCGATTCATTCCTCTCTCCAAAGTATAGTCGACTGGCCTCCTCTAGACCTTCGTGCCAAATTTCATGCCACAAAATTGCTACACGGATAAGCTCTTCTGATACCTGAAGATTGAATGTGTTATAGTGAATTTTTCATAAACTTTAAGGTAATGATTTAATGGTTAACTGTCCAGTAAAAGTCTATGCATCATAAAGACACTTAAAAGTATGCCCCTGTATACTGCTTGCTATAAACAGATGAATCCTGTTATCGTATAACCATCCCTATTCTTTCAAAAGCACAAGATTGGAAGCTCCAACAGAAATAAAGAAATATATCTGAGAAGAAAGTGACATTCTGGAGTTCTGCCACTGACTGCTACCAATGCTAAGAACTGTCCCACCCATCCACCAAGACCTCTGGTAGTCACGGCTAACCTTCTCAAGCATGGAAAATGGCCATAAAATGGTGATGATGACGAGTGACAATGGCCACAAAACATTACACAAGACAACACTATACAGTACGTCTCACAGGATGAACCAAATCACAGTAGATGTACCGAAGACTGGACGAATATGTCACATAACTCTTTCATGGTCTGTAAGTGATGAGTTTTGGCATAATAAGCATCCATATAAACATTAAATACAAAATAAAACCAACTCACTAAGCACATTTATCTTACCATCATGGCCTGCTGAACTAAATTGGCAGAATGTTCCCTCATGTTTTTTAGGATTTTCTCAGCAGCCTGTGACCGCGCTGCCACAGATGACTTGGCCGCTACAGTCAGGGGATATATGAGAGCCTGCACGAAGGAAGGATGGACAAAGTGAGTGATTTTTAAAGTGAAAAAAAAATAAAAACACTTCAGGTAAATAAACCATCAAATATGAAAGGTCTGATTCACAACTAAACACCAACATCAGAACACTCAACACCTCAGGACTAACACAGTCTCTAGCCCATTTACTATAAGCAACAGGTTATCATACAAAAACCCTGACATTTAATATTAAGGTGATGCTATATTGGTTACCTGGGGGTGGTGCTTGCCAATGTCCATCAACAACTGGTGGATCAGCTTCCCTACCAGTGTACGAGGTGTGTCAATCCTTGCGATTAACTGTGGTATAACCTGTGGTAAAGAGAAACAATAATGGTGACTGACCTTTGACCCCTGTGGCTGTGACCCCTCTAAACATCAAGCACATTTTAAGGGATAATGATATCTAATATATCTCAGAATTGAATCGCCTAGAAATGTAAAGAAGTATGTTGTTATAGAATTGCTTTGATGTTTCATTTTCAGGCGTTTGTAGGAGAATGATGAATATATACAGATATATTAGAAATTTACAAATTTTAAGGTGAAATATGAATTTACTTTATGTTAAACTGGTGACCCGTGAATTGTGTCCAGTATTACATGTTTAGGTTTAGGCCAGTACCATTATCATATGAACCATCTCATATATAATGGGTAGTCTAAGATATAAATTCCTATGGAAATGTTAAGTAATGCCTGAAGTTATATTTTCTGTTGTACAAAACTTGAAATCACCTTCACAGAATCTTTGTCATTACACATTTCCTAATAAAGATGCGTCACTGGTTTCCAAACATGACATGTGACCAAACTTAAAGAAGTGTCTACAGTATAAGAAAAAGTTGTGTGTCTTATAACTAGTAACCACGTTTATTCTGTTCATATCTGACTACCAAGTACACTCTCGACCTACCTGCAGCCAAGTGTCGATCTGGATAGTCTTGAGGCCATCAACCAAAGCCTCATAGACTCCAGGCTGATGACCGTGCTCAAACCAGACGGTGAGAAGTCGCAGTGTGTCCTGGAGGCTGTTGCCGTCACTCAGTGATATAGATCGAATGAAACCTTTCACTGCTGCCACGGTGAAGTCTCCAGCTGATTTCTAGAACAGAAATATTTTTTAGTTCATTTGTGAAGAATTTCTCTCAAAATTAATTCAGATTATATTTATAATGTGTTAAAATTACTTAAAACTATTTTAGTACACGAATAACCATTTCTTTACAGTACACCTGAAAAACTTCATTAATCTTGGAACTTGGAAAATCCAGTTCCTGTCAGGCCCATTCATCATCATCATCCACACTCTCGAGGGAAAATGTAGAATCATCCTGTCTTCATTTTTGCTGACAAAACACAAAGCCCAGGTGGCAGCACACAAGGATCCTAGAGTTCTTTGGAACAACACCCAAATGTATACAGTACACTTATCAACTGTCCTTTTACTGCCATTCCTTCATTCTAGTTACTATGGCCCCCCCAAAAATCCATCAAGTTTACCTCTGTCACTTCAAACATTCCAGAATTCTCTCACCTTCTTCTTACTAGGAGTGCCTGATTCCTCCCCACTGCTGTCTGACTTCACAATTAAGTCATTCTTGTTCTTGTAGAAAAGTATGGCCTCGAAATTCATGTAAGCGTAAGCATGCCAGGCCTTGTAACAGGACTCGTCTGTTTCCTTGGCCAGAGTGTAGTAGCTGAGGATCTGACTGATGTTCTCCTCATTAAGGCCATGAAGTTGTTCATACCTGAAATACAAAGAGGACGGTACCTCAATATTATAACATAATGATTTAACAGGCAAAGGGTAAAAGTGATGGTTCAACTTTGTGGTGCAACTTAGAATTGAGGTCAAACTTTTTTTGCATAAATTATGTCCAAAACTCAAACTGCAAATATGGATTCTGTAAAGCACAGTATCTGTCTTCTCTGCTTGCTAAGCATGGCCACAATTCTCAAGATAACGTTGAAATGTGACATAAAGGCATACATGCACCCCAGAAGTGTCCTAAAGGTGTAATTATTTGGGTTGACAAAGTGGAAGAAAGACATTCCGTCCAAATGAAAAATTAGATTTAAAAATTATCATAAAACAAAAATATCAGGAACAGATTTTTTTAAATGAGATGTTACTGAAATATGGAAAAATCTTAAAGCTTGGTAAATCGAGGTATACCTGTATATCAACTGACTAGTAGGTTAACTTACTGCTGAATAAATCAATTAACTACCAACAATGAGACAATTTACATTTTGGATTATAATTTAGAAAATAAATAATTTCCCAAGACTCACCATTCACCCAGCTTGAGGTAGACCCTTGATACCAACTTGCGCAGCTTATTATTGTCTCCATTCTGACCAACAACAACGGCTGGTGCCAAGTATTGCAGGAATTTCTGCAACCGACTGCAAGAGATCATATTAGTGCAGTGTACCTGACTCTTGTTGATGGAAACTACTTACATGATATAGTAAGAGGCCATACCACTAGTTCAAAGTCGACGTGGAATTAATTTTCAAGCCCAGACACACACGACATTACAAACATTTTATAAGTCAACTTTGAACCACTGGTATGACCGCTAAAATTACTAAAAAAATAACCTACAATAAGAAAGGACAAGTTTACCCTATTAGACTCACACATTAAATGTCTCTACAACTAAATATCTGACTCGCAAATTATTAACCATTTCTATTTTTTCCCTTTCTTACCAATAACATATAAAAAGTACCACATTTGCATATTTCACGATTAACTGACAATTCACTGTACATACCCATAAGCCTCCTGGCGCCTATTGTGATACGTGTAGATGTGTTTGCAGTACTGGTAAGTCACATGCGGATGGGTGGCTGGAAGTGTTTGAGTGGGATTAGTGGACGGATCACACCCTAGGAGTCGCACCAGAGTTTTGTGAGACAGTGCAAGGCGACCTGATTTGCGACAGAGAGAGGCAAACTTCAGCCAAGGCCTCATGTCTTCCTGGGGGCTGACAACCAGGGAGCGCACTTGGAGTATTTTCTGCCAATCTTCCACGACACGTTGACAACCCTAAAATATTATAATCATATTAATGAGAGAATTCAGTTTAGTACTCAAGAAAGGGTTCATTTATATTATTGTCATTGTTTTGAAAATGCAGTGACATGAATACATCTAAAACAAGAGAAAACATGGCATTTAGCTTCCAAATACAGTATCCTCCCTACTAGTGCCCAGCTGTCACCTACATGAGATGCGAGGAATGCACCAAGACTCACAAAAAAACTAAATAATATAACTAAATAGATAAAATAAATAAGAATGATTAAACATAATGAATAAGTAACAATATTGTAAATTAAAATGTTTACAGAAGGTGAGAAAACTGTAGCAACAACTAAACACTGGATGGGACGTGAACACAAGAAAATGACAAATCCTAGAACAATGTGGAAATGCCATGAACTTGTCTTAATATTGAATCTCACTCAAAAAGCATTTATCACCTGATTCTACAACAAGATTCTTCAAAGTGTTATAATATTCATCCAATGGGAAAAACATATGTTAATTTGTGAGGAAATAAACTAAGAGATGAAGAAAATTTATACCTAAAACAATATTGGGGGGATCTGGCTTGTGTGTGATTCTGCAAACCAAAATGAAAATGATGAGCAAGATCAATGTTTCTTTGGAGGCTGAGCTTAAAACTGACCTGCAGTCTTTCCCACCAGATCTGGGTGATGGGTTGTTTCCTCTCAGGCACTAACTTGTACTGTATAACCTCTTCCAGCTCCGCCAGCATCTGCACGGCCACCATGGCATTGTACGCTCGCTGGTAACTCTCCCCCACCATGGCTGTCAGCTCTGTGTCCAACAGGTCTCGGGCAGAGTCGATTAACTGTGGATTTTTCACATGTTTGGTCATAATAATAATAAATCACACACAACAGTAACATCAACAAAAAATTCAAGACAGTGAAGATATATCTTATTTTTATATTATACTATGCAATACTCATTATGTACAGTGTGTTAACTATGGAAAGCAATTTGCCAATGAAAAGCAATATTTTTAATGGCCTAAAAACAAAAATTGTGTGTTTTGTATAACATGAATATCAGTAGTTATCTTGAGGAGTCATTTTTTCAATATAAGACAGCTTCTGAAATATGCCTCATTATAAGTACTGTAGTGAAGTGCATGACTCCCCATACACTACCATTGTGACCGAGTCTTGTTTATTCTTCAAGTTTTATAATAAAAAGTAGAAAACTTTAAGAACTTCAAGAGTATGTATCACAAACTGGCTAACCTTGCTGCTTATTATCTAAAAATTTCAGAGAAATCAAAACTTCTCCAAAAAAAAAAATTGTCTTGGATGTTCTTAAATTCCAGCTTGGAGTTCCCCCAACATCTTTATTTTGGTTCATTCGATGTTCAAGTCAACAAGGAATAATGACAACATGTAAACATTAATAAGTCAAACTGACCTGCTGTGCCACATGATACTGGTCTTTGTGCACGGCAAGAACAGCACGGTAGAAGGCCCCCTCCTGTGTGTCTCGAGGGATGAACTTGGCGTAGTCCTCCATCATGGTCCACTCACCCATCGCCCAAGCTGATGCTGCCGCCACACGTGACATTTGACCGCGGAACTCATTTGGCATGGAGCCTCCCCATCGATCACAGGCCACAGTGTACAGCTCTCCCCTACACCATAAATAAACAGCATAAATATCCAGGTAGCACAAGACAATATACACTCAGGTAACATGAGAAGGAATAAACTTATATACAGTAAGTTCTCTATTGACGTCATGGATGCGCTCCTAGAAAATGCAGCATTAGGCAAAACGACATAAAATAGTGAGGATGATGAAAGAGAATCAACTACATATGATAATGACTGAAAGAAAAAAAAAATCCTCGCATTACTTACCATTCCCCAAGAGCTTCCAGACACCTCATCTGTCCAAGAACTAAATCGAGGTCGTCAGGTCTTGTCTCTAACTTAGTCTGGTATGCTTGAAGTGCCTGGTCCCAGTCGTGCAGCTTCTCATGCCAGCGCTCCTGAACCTTCATATCCGTGCGGTTGTTCTTACGGGCGTACTCCAAGAGACCTGCAGGAAAAATAACAAATAAATCTCTGAAACATACAAAATATGAGCCACGTATTCCTGGAAAATAAATTATATCGAGTCTAAAAGCACGATAAATCAAATACCAGACGTTACATTTTGTTATTTAGTATTACAGGTTTAATTTCTCTACTTTGTTGTGTTTATACAGTTTCCTTTCCTTGCCGTGTAGCCTTCAATCAAACACAAGGCTGGAAAAACGACCCCACTTTACCTGCAGCAGCTTCTTTCTGGCCCAACTTGTTATTGATGGAGATAAGATGCTCCAAAACCTCAGACGTGGGGCCCTTGTGGAACTCTTCCTCCTTATAGTGCAGGGCTTTCGCATAGGCACGACACTCCATAGCCTTCTGGCCCAGCAGTGTAAGTTCTAGAGGCAAAGGACCCTGAGAGAATAAAGAATTACTGTGATAAATCAAATACATACATAGATTTAGGTTTCATGGTAGCAAAGGAAACACAAGCGGACGTCGGGACTTTAACTCCTATGACACTCCCATCTGACCAAATGAGTCATCGTGTTCACTCTCATACAACTGCTGCATTGAACTAAATTGTGAAACCTTTTAAGTGAATCATTTCCCCCCCCCACTCCTTTGGAAATCTGGTACACTTCATCCCTTTCTATCAAGTTAAATAATGCTATCACCAACAGAGGTACTACTTATGTATGTCTTTAACGACTCACTTTATCACAATGTTCCATAAACTCCGCCAGGTTGAGGAGGGTCTGGGTAATCTCGGGTATATCCTGGGAGGTGAGCGCCTGACGGAGAGACTGTAAGAGGTCGTCCTGGAGACTCTCGTTCAGCTCACTCCAGCACGATACAAAGGCTGCGTTGAACAGGTCACGTGACAGCTGCACGTACGTTGAGGCCACAGAATAACACGATCTAGAAATAGGACAAATACATCAAATATTTTCCCATTACAAATCTTATGCACTAATCAGCCATGAAATGAATCAATAACCCATCATGTTTGTCAACTGTAGGGCAAATTAGGTTAGGGTGTGTTAGCATTAAGGTGGTTAATCTTTATGTGAAATAAGTTTGGGTGTCTAATCTTCAGACGATCCCAAGTGCATGCACATACGCACGCATGCACACACGTACACACTCAACTCCATCATCACTCTTACTGCTGTGACATCCTCATAAACAGTACACTTCTAAATAAAAATCTTCAGTATGACCAAATAATTCAAGAACTTTTCTAAGAACTTTCCCCCTCAAGATATTTTCTTTTCAAGGGTTTTCCAGGCTTTGAAAATTGTCTCATAAAAATTATAGTATCTCAACCACCTCAAAAGCCAGTACACATTCTATCTTTATCAACTGAAGGAGGCAACAAGAGTATGGTGTCTATATAAAACTCTGTATATCTCTCCCAGAACCCTAACCTTAGTGCTGGGGACGGTGACGCCTTCATCAATTCAATGCTGAAGCGTCTGAGCCATTCCAGCCAGTCATCCTTGCTGACCAGTCGGGTGAAGAGCCACGCTCGCTGGAGAGCCTGTACACCAACTGTGACCTGCAGGGGGTGATATTACATTAATTAGTCAGATTCTTTGCCAAATATCTTTAGTTAATAGACTATCAACTGTGACTTAAAAGAGCTTAATATGAAGACACATGAGGCCTATCCTCTATTATGAAGATGTGGCTCACTATCCCATAAAGACAGAGTTTTAAGCAGATGTCGATCGGGTCAGGGAATGTACACAAGCGGAAGAGAAGTTTACTGGACAAATATACAAGCTCTATGACATGACGCATACATCTTACCAAAGCCATCATGAACAAAATAAGTCTTTCGTAGTGTAGAGTTTCCAGGCGTCACCTGACAAAGCTCACCTTTTTGATGGTGGCCGAGTCTGCCTCCAGGTGGTCATCCCTGGTCTTTGGCCACCTGGAGCGCTGATGGGCAAGTAGGATGGTCATCTCATCCTCGGATATTGTCAGCCCCTGCAAGCGAGCGAGAGAGAGAAGTTAGTATAAGAAAATAACAATATCATGAAACCCGGTGATGACACGCACTCCACCTGATGAATAATTATGGTAACTCCTCAGATAATTTAGGATGAATTCAATGTACCACAGTTTTTTCCTCTTAACTGTATTACAGAACTAAGAGTGTTAACTTTAGTGGCTGTAATGTGTCCAGGTCCTAGCAGAACCTAGAGACCTAGGGTACATTCCAAGACCAGGCACTCAAGTAAGAAAGACAGCATCAATAGATTTTTACTTTTGCTGTCCACATATAGAATTAAAAGTTTTAAAGGGAGAAAAATAGATATCTTGATCTAATTGGATAAAGTCACACTTCTATATATTCTAATTAGCAATATATGACAAGTGCACAGACAACTAATATGTACCATCACTATTTTTAAGTCACTTTTATATCTTTTAGCAGTGAAAGAACATGTACCTGTAACTATCAACTCTCTGAAAAGACCCTATCCATAAACTTTTAATTCCTTCACAATATTACTGAGTGTAACAGTCAAGAGCGCCTGCCCACCCGCACGCATGCACTCACACATACACACACACACACACACACAGAGCTTCATAAGAAACTACAACATACAATTCACCAGCTACTGAAGTAAATTGTACTGTAGCAAATTATTGATCATTTTCTTCAATTACAAAGGACGAAGGAATCTCTCAACTTACCCTCACCACCTTAGCAACGAGAATGTCATATCTAGGGTGATTGATCTTGTGTTTGGTTGTGATGCGGTGCACGACCGGTATGAAGCACTCATATGTCCGGCCTAGCTGAGTCGCGAGGGCACACAGCACATCCATAGCTTTGAGACGTAATTCTGGGCTTGTGTCGAGAGTTTGCAGCTGAAACAACATCATAACATTAAGGCAAGTACATACATACAGAAATAAATAAATAAATAATAATTACAACATCTCAAGAGCATTTGTACAATGCTGCTGTGAACATTCAATTTCCACCAATTATTTTTCTCTCTGCACTTAATGAGATAAAAAGATTGAGGTACTGCATCACCCAATAACATGTACACAAACTTCCTTCTATAGATGAATCACCTGTAATTCTTTTCATCTATTGTATGTACACCAAGACAAATTATCAAGCTTACCAATGGGTGAATAATCGTGGAGGTGTAGTCAGACAGGTCGAGATAATCGGCAAAATGGTCCACAGTTTCCAGAGCGCTGCGACGAACAGACAGAGGCACATCTTGGGCATCAAATAGTTTAACAATATGAGGGAGAATCATGTGTAGGAACTCCTCAAGGGTGGCACCAAACTTCTGGAATGCTAAAAGCAACTGTGGAACAAAAAATAAATAAATAAATTACAAGGGTACAGTGTATTGTGTATGGTCAGACAGTTCAACAGAGACTTCCCTCCATGTTGTGGTGGGAATGGTCAGTAAACACCAGTCAGAACCTCTTAAATCTATAAGATCTGTTCTCCATCTCACTGAAGAGGAGATCTATTAAAATTACAGTAAAATCTTGAATTCTGAAGAAGATACAAGTTAAGAAAGTGAAACAGGCGATGATATAAAGTTCTGTGTATTTGATGATTCGGGTACAAATGTTGACAAATTAATCCCCGATCCAGGATAAGACGTACAGGCATCATATTTACTTACCCATCAAATTTGTACTGAACCTCAACATAAATAAACTTCAAACAGGTGTAAGAAAACCAAATAAAGAAAGATTGATAGATTGATAGTGGAAATAACATCCCTGGTGGTGCAATAGCTTAGATTAAGTTAGGTGAGGTTAGGTCAGGTTATGTTATGTTCAGTCAGGTTCGGTTATGTTAGATTAGGTTAGGTTACGATAGGTTAGGTTAGGTTACGATAGGTCAGGTTAGGTTATGTTAGATTAGGTTAGGTTACGATAAGTTAGGTTAGATTAGGTCAGGTTAGGATAAATCAACCTCACCTTTGCAGTCACTTGCTTCTCTTTAGAGTCATTGATACAAGACTTCAGTATCATGGGTATAAGTTCCTTTAAGTATATCTTGAACTCTGACCCCACAGCCATGGCAATGCTCTCCACCACAGTGATGATCGTGATGGTCGTCTCCAGCTTACCACCCGTCACCCAGAACTCCTGCAACGGCGGTAAACTCGATTAAAGAGTAATTCATCGAGATATTCTTGCATTCGTGATAGAAGGTCCATCATCATCATCATTGTATTGTCATCATTATCATCATCCTCATCATCATTGTATTGTCATCATTATCATCATCCTCATCTTCACCCAAGTCAAAAATGTAAGTGATTTTGGGGTACATGAGAAGTATTAGTTTTGTGCGCCTCTTGAAGCCCACAAACCTCTACCTATACCTCAGGGGGTCGGAAGAGCTACACCAAAGTCTGAATCGGTGGTGTGTCATAAATACCAGGTGATTTGTAGTGTTACTTCTATAATTTGTCTCAGTTGTGTGCATGTGATGTGTTGGGTATATTAAATGTTTCAAAGTTAACCCCTGGTGCTGGATAACAAGTACAGGGGTGATATTTTGTTATCTGTTCATTATATTTGTCCCTTTAACCCTTTCACTATGGGGACGTGGGCCAGTTTTAATATTTTATATGGATAAGGTCGCACGATTTTATTCAGCAGAGACCCACCCTCCGTACACGAGTGGTTAAGTGTGTCCATAAGTCACAAAATGCCTTAAAGAGCGACACATCACAGAAAATGTCACTATTTCACACACTAATTATTAAGACAAGTTATAACATGTAAGAGTTAAGGATGATGAAACACTTTATAAAGACAAACATGTCAGCAGAGTCTATGTTTGTTCCCAGCCATCAGCAGTCTAGTGGGCACAGTGTGTTAAAAAATATATACATCAGAATAACATGCTTATACCTCCTTGCTTACGGTCCTTCAGTAGACGACATTCATCCATTAATTCTTTAAAGTTTCATGAAAGAGATTGACTCAAGACTTCCACAGTGCCTCAATACTAGTCCAAAATATAATGCACATCTACCACTACTTGTGTCTAACCTTGACCACACGACAACAAAGAGTTAAGCACTTTCATCACGACCGACCTTTAAGACCTCGATGATGTCATACAAGTAGTTCCAAATGTGCTGCTTAACAATGCCAATAAGCATAGCCAGTTGTTGAAACAGATAGTCCCTGAAATTGGCATCTGACGTTCTGATAACAATGAGGAGAGAAGGGATCACTTGAGCCAGGTATGGGACTCCCTTCACACCCAGTGACTTGAAGATGAATGTGATGGCCTGAAAAGAAAATATACACATGAAATCCAAAACAAGAAAATTATAAATGTTTTTTAATTTACTTCACAACACCTATTGTAATATTTTCCCACTGTCCAGCACATGACCACTACAGCCCTGTTCCTTAACACTCTTTTTGACAAACACTCCCTCACCTCCCCCTCAACTCAGTCTCCCCTGGCCTCCCCCTCACCTCAACTCAATATTGCCCAACTTTTCAACATCATCACAAAACTTACTACACAGAGTACACAGAAAGTGCTGTTACAGAAAAGGTACTTCAATGCACGCAGTTAAAAGTGAAGATGCTAAGTACAGCAAGTATAAAAGAGTACTGGAGTGAATTAAGATCACATATTTAAGGAACACCAGTATTAAAGTTAAAGAATTAAAAGTAAAATATACAAAGACAGAGTGAAGGTTAATGTTTCATCACGAGAGGATTCCAGTCATGAGCTGAGGTACAGTACTGGCAGTGGAGGAGAGTTTTGTTGTGAACTAATCTGCTACCTCACTGGAGAAGACCCATAGCATGTAGACAGATGGAGAGACAAATAATTGATACAGATTTCTCTTAGTAATCTTCAGTAACCAATAAATAACCTTACCTCTACTCAAAAGGAAATTATTCATTCATTCCATAATTTAACGAGCAATATATCTGAAAACGTAATATGGGTCGGCCCAAAAAAATACTTCCACTTATTCACGAGAGATGTGACTGGTTTCAACTCACCCGGACGACCTCATTGTGGTGTTGGGCCAGAGCTGGGTCTTTGATCACCTTGAGGAGCATGGCAATGGCACAGGCTGGGTAGAACTCCTCCAGGGACGAGTAGTTGAGGTTCACCAGCATCTCACTCGTCCCTAAATCTGACAAAAACAACAAAATTAAGACATATTTCTAACACATCAATGGAGAGGACTTAAGATTTTTCAGTGTTGTTTAAGTAATGTAAATACTCTAGTCAATGAAAATTAAATACAATAATAATTAGTGAAACTCAATTACCACATTAAGTATTCATTAAGGTACAGACAGTGATAACCCTGACCTGGGTATTAAGCACCTCTTTAGAGACACGACCCAACTGATCTCCCATGTTAAAGCTTATCATTCACCACTGTTGATTTTTATCATTTATGTTCACTAAAACTATCTTTAATATCAGCTGGGGTTGAGTCGGGTTAGGTTAGGCCAGGATATAATCAATGATATGAAATGACCGGCAAAACCCTTTACCAGCAGTGAGATCGTCATTCTTGGCCTCAGTGATGGAGATGACCGCCACTCCTGTGTCTTCCTGAATCTTGATCATCCCGACATTCATCTTATGTTTGTAAGGGTCCAGCGCTCCCAGCAGACCCAACACCCGGATGGTCTCCCGTCTGTAACACAAAACAATGAGAAAAACACAACACTCGGGTGACGTATTCTATCTGTTTACCCGTTAACTGTACTGTACCTTCACTCTTAATATATCAAGCGGGACAAATAAGTTTTACAAGAAGTGAGATTGTCGTTCTTTGCCAGGTTAGGTTAGGTCGAGTCAGATCAAGCCAGGTTAGGTTATAATCACCCTGCTTAATCAATGTTAGTTTAGGGAGCAAGAAGTTAATCGTGTGATCATCTATCGTTATAAAATTACATCGTTGAGCAAAATTATATCCTCTTATACCATGGTGACTCTTGCTATGGAAACTATCCCCATAGATGTGGTCGGGAAACACCTGATACGATGACTCACAGGGCACCAAGGGCTAACAACTGAAGGAGGAGGAACTTCTACTTGGTCTTAGTTCCAGCCACCCACAGACCATAAGAGAAAAAGGCACGGAGGTGTGAGCGAGAGATGGGAATAAAGAGAGGGAATAAAGAGAGAAAGCAAGAGAGAAAGAGGAAAAATGGAAAAATAAAAAGAAGGAAGAGAGCAAAGAAAGAATGAGAACAAAAGCAAGACAATGAAAGGAAGAAGGAAAGAAAAAAGAAAGATGAAATGAGATAAAGAGAGCAAAAGGAAGACAAAGAAAGGTAAAGCAAGAGAGAACGAGAAAAAAATAACCTGAAGAACGATTTACCTAACAGCCGGTTGTTGTTCAGTCTTGAGGAAGGAGAGCAACACGTCCAGGAGGGTGGGGTGCTGGGTGTAAGGGTGGACCACGTAGCCCGTGTTCTCCACCAGCTGGCCAAGGGTCCACAGGGCCACCCTCCTCTTCCACCCAGACGTGCCATCGCCAAGCATCTCCAGCAACAGGGGCATGAGCTCTATCAACCACTTCTGCATCTCTCCTCCACTCACCTGAAGGAATATTGGCATTACAGTTTACTTATTATCTTTATTAATAGTATTTATGAGTTTACCTACAGCATCATTAACAGGTTAGGTCAGGTCAAGTTAGGTTACAGTAAGTCAAGTTAGGTTTAGGTTAGGTCAGGTTTAAGCCTTTGTCAATAATGTCGTTTTTCTCTCCAGGTAACTAGAGCATCTTAGAAATTAATCATCTTAATTCTTTAAACTTTCAGAATTATTTTATTTTCTGAACACCAAAACTTTTCCATACACAAAATATCAACATCAATACATACATTAAAAAATATACCAAAATATCCAACATATTATTAAAAACCGAGAACTGGAGATGACGATGAAATAAAAATAAAAACAAAAAAGATAAAAATATAAATTCTAAATGCCGCTGGGAGAGTACCTGAGCCAGATCCCCGATAGCCATGAGGACACACATGGTGACGGCAGGGTTGGGATCCTGGTCCTTCAACTTAGGGACCAACACGGACATGATGGCCTGAACAAACTGCCGCATGAACCTGGGAGCGTTGCCTATCAGGTGGCCCAACATGTGTGCGCTCAGCTCTCTGTTGCGTCCTATCCCACTGTAGTCCAGTTCGTCGAGAATCTGTTAACGATACAAAAAAATGATCAGTTGGTTACCATAAATAAATATAAATCTATCCATAGTACCAGGTAAGTAAAGTATCTCAAAAAAAATATCTATACAAAATGGTGTTGAAAATATACGACAACAGATGAAGGATTCCGACAACCCAACCGAGATAACAGGGAGTGGCGGTGTTCATTCTGAAATTCATAGACACCCCCCTCCCCCCTCAACCACCGGGTAGAGATAGTCTTTCAGTGTCTATACAGTATATCATGAAGTAAACCTTAGAGAACATATTTTATAAAGTCAATAGGTCGATAATGGTGTAGGTGGCGACGTGAAAATGGCATTAGGGGTTTTATCTATCACGTGGGAAGAGCCTCAGATACAACTGGCTCTTACTATCAGGAGAAACTTTGAATAAGAATGTAAACTAAAATCAACTAAAAAAAAATCAGTGGAAAATTTGTTCTTGTTTCTATAAGGGGGAGTGAGACGAGACACGAATCCCTATACCTTAAGTAATGCTTTCCTTAGCAGAGGGTGGACATAGGCTGGGTTAATAGCAGACAAGCGGCCGAGTATGGATATGGCATGTTCTCGTATCTCAAAGACTTCATCACTAAGAGCATATATGAGAGCGTTGAGGTTTTCTGGTTGAGCGAGATGACTGTCAAAACTCTCATCCAGAGACGCCAAGACACACAGACGCACATCAGGATCTGAGGAGATAAAAATACATTATATTAATGAGGTTACTTTCAGCTTACATAGGTTTGTCAACAAACAGTAGATCAGAACACAACAATATAAAACTAAAATTCATATTGTACAGTGCAGAGCCTCACACACCTCTCCCTTAATTCTTCCATCTTGTTGTCTAGTCTGTAAATATTCTTATGGCTATACATACTATTAAGCCTCCCCAAACTTCTCTCTGTATTTACTCAAAATAAAAGATAATTATCATTCCCAAAACTTAACTGTTCTGATATAATTATTATTTTCCATTTCTGACTTTTAATTTCTTTACCTATTTATCAAAACAAGATGTAATGTTTCCTTCATGATAACCGAAAGGACTTAACAGACTCTTGGTGAACACAGTATCAGTGAAAATCTTAATGAGTTATGAACCTGCTGAGCTGACCTAAACATGAGTTAAACAACTTCTAACTGCCTGTATACTAGTACAAACAAAGTCACTTACCCATATCAGTAACACAGACCCATAGAACTTTGCTGACAATATTGAAGATGATGTGATTCCGACTCTGTGAATTGCGTCGACCGAGAGAAGCAAAGGTTGGTCTCAGGAGGTGACAGCAGGTCCGCACTCCCTCCAAACGAACTTCCCGGTGTTCACTGCTCAGGTAATGGTCAGCCACGTGCCTCACAAACTGCATCAGTGATTGTCCTACAGAGAAAAAAAAGTTAATATACAAATCTTTATTAGACATCATGGGGAGAAACATAATATATCAACCCATATCGCAGACATCATGGGCCAATCACTTTAAATGTCTGTCACTGTGGAAGCTGAGGATTCATTTAGTATCATAATGTCATCATCGTTTTACGGCCACTTTCCATGCTTGCACGAGTTAGCCGTTCTATATATGTGTGGGTAATTCTTGGCATTCTGTTCCTCTCTAACTGTCCTACCCACCCACCCAGAGGTAAGCCAAGAATGACAGTAAAGACAGTAGCTAAAGAACTGATGAGAGAAGATGCAAGAGACTGCACAGTGTGGAGAGTTGACATTAGGAAATCACATTCTTAAACTTTACAAATAGAATGAGTGATGGTTATGTGGCTGCCTATGACCTTCTGGTTTACAAATATTTATTTATATATTTCATTTAACTTAGATTTTAAGAATATGAAGAGTTAATAACAGAAATGTAAACAATTGCTGGGGAATCAAATACCAAAACTTTAGGATCAGAACCATGAAAATTCTATATTAAAACTCTGGGACGCCAGAAGTAATTAGTTAGGTCATTTCTACTATTGTTCAACATGAGTGACGTGTGACTCACCTGTGCCCTCAAAGTCAAATGAGCCGAGAGTCCTGAGAGCCAGGACAATACTGGCTGTGTCGTGGTGATCGGGCGATGGCGGGAGTGGAGGGGCACCGTGTCGGTGTGGGGCAGACCGATGCATCAAGACCTGAGACAACATCCTCAGCAGTCCCTCGGCAATATCTCGCTGGTGGTGAAGAACATAACATAAGTGATACTGATCGACTTACGAATAAATTCAACCGGCATCACAAGACCTCAAATTATATGATAAACAAACCAAATACCAAAATATTCTATAAATGAAAACAAAATTAAGCCAAAAAAATGGAGGAGTGATCACAATATCCTGCTTCCTGGTAGACTCCAAGATCAAGACAACTTACTTCACCCAAAAAATTAACTAAAAAAAAAATAAAATCAATTAGTTCTTCCGAGACAACACTCAAACACACACACACGGTATTGTACCTTGAGTTGAGGAATTTCCGTGGCCAGTTCCTGAAGAGCGAGGGTCAAGGGAGGAGACAAACCCGTCGCCATCATGGGTTCAAGAAGTTCTTTCACATCGTTGCGCACGGCTCCCTCCACCCCCCGCGCCACCAGGCTCACACAGACATACACGGCCGGCTCTACCACGCGCTTCTTACTTGGTGTATCCTATTAGGGTTAAACTTGGGTGAATGCTACGAACAAGTAAACAATGAGAGTGTATGAACAAAAAAATAAAATAAAACATTGTAATATATAAAATCAATGTTCTTGAGGATTAAATCTATCTGGGAAAGAAGAAGAAGAAGAAAGAAAAGATGAACAGAAAGAAGAACAAGAAGGAAATAAAGAAAGAGAGAGAGAGAGAGAGAAAGAGGATCAGTTTTAGATACTGTATCCTGTATGGAGAACTCTTGGGCATTCATGATGATTATATTAGAAGTAAGAATTTAACAAGAGAACAGAGATTAAACAAGAGAACGGAGATTAAACCAGAGAACGGAGACCTCAACTACTGTATTCACTCATTAAGCCTGGGAGGTCGGAGAAGAAAAATATAATCCACTTCTCACAAAACAAAAAGAGAAACCTACATGCAACAGACATTCTTTCTCCATGTAAACTGTTAGATGGAGGTTTCACATCTAACAGACCCTCGGCATAATGGACTTTCCCTCTCAATATATCTAGTGTTTGTGATCTTCTTCTCACGTCAAGTCACGTTACTCACAAGACTCATATTCACCTTAGTGGGAAGCGATGCCTTGATGACTTCCATGATCTTTGGTAAGTACTTCTTGATGGCAGGACCTACAGCCACCGCCAGGAGGCCCAGAGTGACGAAGGCCGCGGGACGCTCCTTGTCTCGGCCCCTCAGGCACCCCAGCAGGTAGGTCATCGTCCCAGAGAGGTAACTGTTCCATGAGAAAAGTAACAGCCGGGTTAATGTATCTTCACACTACAATTACTTCTCGTTCTTTTAAGTTCAGAATTATTGTGACATTATTTACTGATATGTTCTTATAGTTAACAATGAGGTATTTTATTGTGAGGAAAAAGACTGTTAGTGAACTGTGTCATCAGGTTTAGTTACAGCCAAGTGATTCATATTATTTCTCTATGTCAGACTCATCAACAAATATGACAATTTTATTCAGAAAGAACAAATTCCAAATTACCTGAAAATAAATATAATTTAATTACATCAGATTTACTGGATTTTATTGAAAACAAAATTTTCATCTTACAGAAAAAGAAGAAGAAAATTTCATGCATCTAATTTGGACAAACGAGAAATATGAAGAACTGATCCTGAAATTCCATTTTATGACCGAGTGTAGGAAGAAAGACTCATGAAAATCCCAGGAAGAGTCTGAGGATCTGGAACTCTGTGAGCCTTAAACTAAGACAATCATGGCTACTGTGATGCTCAGCCAACCCTTTTGTAACACTTTAGCCCTTAAAACAACGTCTGAACACCAGAATCACCAATGGCAGCTGACAGGTGATAAGTAGTTAACACACAAAATTACGTGCAGCCAGAGACCAGGACTGCAGGACCATCCTCACCTCCAGCCAACCCCTGAGGAAACCCCAGGGTAGAAGAAGGAATCCGATGTCATTCTTTCCAGGTCTGGTCATAAGAATTTCTAGATGAATCCTTCCTTCATGACCTAACATCTGTATCAGAGGACTGCAGCCACAGGAAGGGAAACAACAAAAGATAATTTCTGAGTGCTGTATAATAATAACCGACTCATAAGAGAAGTTTGCCCTATAAAACATTAGAAATCGGGTAACAGGACTTACCATATCAACTCCCCCCCCCCCCACCACAAATCTCTCCAGTGTTATTGTGTAAATGTTGTGTGAACATACTCGTAACCAGTGTCCTGTCGATGCTCTGGGGCCACTTGTTTAAAAGTCCCATCACGGTCCACAACAAGGTTATAAAATTTTGAAAACTTGAACATGACACCACTTGTCTACCCCACTCCACATCAAATAAGATAAATGAGTCACGAAGAAAAACAAGACTTCTTAAACCAAAAAGAAACTATTTATGTAATCTTCCCTTAGATCTGTTTCTGTATCAAGATCTCATGAAGGAGAAACAAAAGTCCGACTCAATCTGTTCTGATTAATGAAAATATATCCACCTCTACTGAATCCTCCTCATGTACTGGGGACAAAAAACTGGAAATTGGTGATTATCCAATTCAGATAATAATGAAAATGAGATCCTTTGGTTACATAGTTAGGGATGAAGGGTAAGCAGGTCGGAGGGCCAGGGGAAGGCAGAGACTGAGATGAATGAATGAAATTAAAAGCATAGTCCCCAGAGAGATGCAAAATCTGGGAGGATTGGTAAAAGAAACCCAAAAACATTTAGAGTGGAGGACTGTGGTTGCCAACCCCCAGACATGATGATGGAGCTTCAATTGCTTCATTGACATTCATCCAACATACAAGACAAATACACCAACAGCGAAACTCCCAAGGAAAGAATGAAAGATCCAACACCCACTTGGATAACATCACCATATTCCTCATCAAATCATCTGCCTTTCTATTAAGTGTCTCAGAATGTATGATGTTGTGAGTAACAGGAGAGCTCTCAAGTGGAAACTCCTCTTCTTAATACATGTAGCTGCTAACATATTGACAATAAATAATGTGTTACTTCTGCCTAGAACTTACCTCCATGTAACTTTTTAAAGGCTAAAATTGCTACAGGAAGGTTGGTTGATTAGGTCCAAACTGTCATAGTTTTAGATTCTCTGGGTTCCTGTCTCACAGATCTTGGCAGGCATATACAAGAGTCAGTCTTGAAATTCTTTAAGTCATAAAAAAATTGATAGTTTCTACAACCTTCTCTCTTTAAAGACAACTGTCAACACTTGCATGAGTAAAAAACAAATGTCAATGAAACTTAAAATGAATAATAAGAAAAGCAGAGCTGTCAAAGTTGTTGTATCTTGGCTGCTAAACATGACACATAAAAATGCAACGTGACGATCAGAGGAACAAGAATAAAAGCTACTACAAAAATACTGATCAGGCTTATAAATACCAGTACTGTCCATCCTGTTAATAAATCAGTATCAGTACAATAAACTTATAATAAAAACAAGATCCCTTAAAAGTGGAAAATGGTCCTGCCCTAAAAAGCACTTCATGTATAAGCCACAGAAAAAGACTACTGTGTTATGGTATTAACCCCTTCTGTACTGCACACCAACACACACTGGTAGTAATGTACTGTTGGGTGCAGTAAGGTTGTCCAGTAAAGAAGGGGTTAATACACAAGTTATCATGGTACAGGTACAGCAAATGAATACATAAAAGCTCAAATATAATAAATCAACAAAGAGGGAATAGTCTTCCATCAAAATATATGTGGGCAGTTAGGCAACACTATCCAAATGAGCAGAGAGGTATGAGGGAAGGCAGACATCAAGGTTGCAAGTGTCACAGGCTGGGACCTCAGTCCACATAGATTACAACACCTCACCATTAGGATCAGGACCCGTTACAAATTTACCTAATTCCTAATGGATAACTTGGGTTAGGTTTAGGTTAGTGCCTATTAGGACTGAGGGCCATCTGACCAGCCACAAACAACTGATTTCCAAAATTAATGCTTAACTCTACACTCATGCCTCACACACTAAAACTGTATTGTACTTTCCTTATCATTCTCACATCACGTCATTAACAGTGACACTTGAAAAGAACAATACTGTACAGTATAAAAAAATTAAATGTGACTGGCTGAGCCTGACACATCTAGTTATGTGCTCTCAAATATTTTGGTACATGCAGAGTGGTTGGGTTAAGTTACTCTTCATGCTATTAATATGCATACAATGTACTGTATTAGGATCACTTTCAATTATAATTAGGTTACATTATATATGACAGGGAGTGTTACACGTTTTAGAATTGAATGAGAGATGCTTTAGTACTGAAACAGAGTAATTTATATTACTAAAAAAATTAAGAATAAATTCAAACCAAGGAAAGGTAATTTGGGAGAAAAGTTTTTTCAAAAATATTGTTAATGTCATAACAGACAGAGTGTGTCCTGTGTAGGGGCAGTAACACACCAGCTCCAAAGATTTAATAAAAGGAAAATAACAAGACCTTGTGTATGTTTACCGGTACAGTGCAGTACAGTAGTTATGTGAAACAGAAATAACAACACTTAATACATATGATGCAAGATAAACAAAGTTAAGATCAAAACAGTACTCCTAAAATATTAATACTTGGCACCTCATAACCTGAATAAAAAATACTTTTTTAATTATTGATAATTTAAAACTTTTTAACTGTCAAAATTTATCTTTTCTCAACCTGATGCCAAAATACCCACAGAAAGTCCATAAGAGTGAACACACATGACACTGTTTACAAGACATACTTAAATAGGCAGTGCTCCTCTCTCAGTGAAAACCCAGAGTGCCAGGTATAGAGTTTGGGTTACCTTTGACGTAGATTTTCTTCATTATTTTCCCTGAATTTTAAGTCTTTATGTAAAGCAAAAATTAGAGAGGACTCATGTATATGGTATTAATTCATAAGTATACAATAACACCACGAGCTACTGCTGCAGTTTAAGAACACTTACTTATTTCCACTCACACATCATTAGTCTACATTAACACACTGTACATTCAATACTGTACTACAATATCTCTACTATTTACTTCAATAAATAATCATCTTAACCCCCACCAGGCGTTTCAAGTTAAATATGGTCGGTTTAATTCCCGAAAGTGACCGCAGAGTCCACCAATCAACGCTCCCTGACCCAGCAATGAAACACAGGTCTCTCATATAAGCATTAAACTTCATCTCTGATCCATAAGCAAAACATTTACTTTTTTCTTTTATATTCCTACAAGCTCTTTCCTGGTGCAACAAGAGGTGGGTAAAACAAAGATCAACAGACTCTCACGACTATAACTCACACATCAACAGCAGTCGTCTAACCCCAAAACCAACTTATGTCACACAAAATATGAAATACTTAAAAAAGAAAAAAGAAAAAAGGTTATGTTTAAAAGAGCTGTAATATACAGTCTATATGCACAGAAAAAAAGGTGATAGTAGAACAAGGAAGTAAAGTTGGGCTGATCATACAACATTTGCTCCATTATTAGTGAATAACTTCAGACAGTGTTTTCCAAACTACAGTACAGTATAAGGCACACTACCCTGGGGACTAGTACCAGTGTCTGGTAATGGGGGGAGGAGAGATGTTTTTTTAAAAAGTGAACTATAGTATTTGAACAGGTCAACACAAGGTCTTCAAACCCTTATTCTGGCCCAGAATAACAAAGTGAATAAATTTATGAGAAAACTACAATTATGAACAAGAAATTTAGAAAATAATTTTTTTTTTACTTATTCCCTTCAGCAAAAAAATGTCTTGAGAACAATAAAATGGAAGTTAACAATGAACGCTTTACAGCCACAGTTTTTATTTCATTATGAGGACACAGATGTCTGAAACATTAAAGGATAATAAATCCATCTGCTGCTCCACTGCCTTGTGTTGACAACTGTTGAACCAGAACAACTAGTGATGGTCTGTAACAACAGTTAGTTGATCCTGAAAATATATACAAGTTTTAACTCCATCTCAAAAAGGATCTTCCCAACAAGGACATCAACAATTTCCACCCTTAGTGTCTCCACAGTTCAGAGAATAGGATTGTCTGCAGCTATTTTTATTAAGACAAAGTACTGTACTGTGCTGTGCTGGTCTCAGAAGATAATATAGTGATATCTGTGAGTCACTACTTTATCACTCAACAAACTTTGTGTTACAGTTAACACATCACTTTAACTGAAGCAGGTGATTACTTAATTTAATTTTCTTTTATAAAAATATACAAGTACATGTATCCTCGATAACTGCAGGGGGTTAGGTTCCAGAAAACTACCGTGATAAGCAAAACCGTGCATATCAAACCACATAACTTAGGGGAAAAATTAGTTTTGTCCCACAACCCCAAAGATCCATCCCTAACTAATCAAAATATACCCCCATAAATGTGTACGTATACTAAAAGATATAATACTACTGTAATAACATATCTTTACTGATTAATGAATAGCAATCAAACAATGTACAGTACTGAACAATATTGTATCATGAATGGCAGTCAGAGTAGAATGAGTGCAAGGGGCAGTATCGGTGAGACACAGGGAGTGGGAGACATTGGATATTGTGTTAATCTGCTCTGGCTAAAGCAAATCCATCTTTGAAATTATGATTTAGGTGATGATAACAGAGGTAGTGGTGATGGTGGTGGGGGAGGGGGGAGATTGTGTTAAGTGGTGAGGAGATGATGCATCAATCGGTTTGTTTGGTAACACTGGCTGCAGCACTGCCAGACACAGCTGAACAGCTGATGTCTACCCACAAAACTGAGTGGAAGTATAAATGATCAACGTCATATTCCTTCCACATTACGTTACATAAATTTTAAATTATGGAGATAGAAAGGTGGGGGTGATAAGAGAGGTGGAGTGGAAGGGAGTGGCAACACACAGTGAGTGTGTTGCCAAGCACATGCTTATCCTTGTTGGGAACATGGCATCAGTAAACCAGATAATGCACGTCTTTGTCGCTTGGTTGGATCAGAACCCTTAACACTGTTCACAGGTGCCATGGTGGAGGGTTGAACAGGTGCCATGGTGGAAGGTAAGTAAAAGCTACAAAAATTGCACCAAAAACAAGCACGGAGCAGGAAACCGTCTTCAAAGACCAACCAAAACAGTGCGGGGAAACAAATGCCGTCAGTACGAGCCGTACTGCCATCTCCTGGCAGTCACTGCTACCGCTGACTCTCACGAACTCGCTGCTGTCCCATAACAATTCCCCATAACCCAGATCAATCAGAGATAAGCATACACATGGTCCCAATTGAGGATACCGTCATAAGGCAGTTCAGCCATTATTGGGTCCTGTGATTATCGAGGATATATGTATAACAAATTGATGTCTTGTTGATATAAAAACTAATATACAATGTGAAAGGAGGCGGGGCATGGAGTAACAGATACTTTGTTGAGGTAGAGAAGGGGGGGGGGGGGGGGAGGGACACTGCTATTTATAGTTTGGAAAACACTTAAAGGCATCTGCTACCTCTTACCTGTTGGTTCTCAGCCTTTACAATATATTTATAAAGTGATTCTGCCACTGGAGTACAACATTACAATTTCAATACAACAGCATCTACTATTTCATTCTAAAACTCAAATCAAGACAATACTAATTAGTAATCATTTCTCTTATTTGATGTACTGTATAGTGAAAATATGAACTTTACAACTGTGATTTGAAATTAATCCTTTTGTATATTTTTTGTAAACAAAATTTGTTCAATGAAGCTTCAATAAAACAGCTCCAAAAAGTTATCAAATAAATCTGTGAGTGGATGAGGCACGTCCTCCGTCTGCATTACCTGCGCCAATTGTACCGTAATATACACAGGTTGCCGGCACAAGGTGTGCTTGAAAAGAGATTTACATTGTTCTAGCAAACGGGGGAAAAACTTCCATTCAGATACAGTGGCAAAGCTGTTAAAAATACTGTAATCTCTAAACATCCAATAGTGTCTATTTGCCTTAGTCAATGGTTGCTGTGGCAGTCTAGAATATTACAATAATCTTAGTGGGTTAACATACATAGTACTGTATGAGTAACTACCAGCACAAAAATAGTACAGTATATGAACACAATACCAGAGATGTAGGTTTACATAAATAACTTAAGTAGATCAGAGCAAAGACATTTCAGTAAGTCATAGATACATTGTGGAGTCAAAGAGGAGGCAAAGACATACTGTACATACATCAAGACTAAAAATATAAATATATATCATCTATAACACACATGAGAATAGAATTAAAAGTGGGGAGAAACTGCCACCTGCCTACTTTACCAACTTACATAGAATTGTATCTGAAACCTCAAGCAATTCAATATTAGAACTTAAGTGTTATGAAATACATATACCGGATTCTATCTGACCTCATATAATTATCTTATGAAACACTATGAGACCTTTCGATTTTTTTCTAAAAGTTACAAATGGTCTTGTTCGTGCTCCCACTCTCGACAATATCTCTGGTGACTAGCGAGTGATCTCCCCTTGTTCCTCCCTTCATCTTATTTTTTTACAATTATAAGAAACCTCATCAATTATAATAACATTCTTACTGTCATAATTAGGAGTAAGTGGAGAAAATAGAAAGGTATTGTCTGGCAGAGTAAAAATCTAAGCGGTACACTCGCTCCAAAATGTATCTTTGTGGAAGGTCCGATGAATTTCAGAATGAACACCGTGACTACCGTTGTCTCGGTAGGGTTGTCACAATCCTTCGTCAGTTGTGTCGTGTTGTCTTACACAAAATCGTACAGATACTTTTTGGAGAGAAGTGTACCTCAATCAGAAGGTCATTTCCAGATTTTCAAATTTACCTGTACAGTACACCTGTCTGCTAAATACACGAAGCAACATGTATTACAATCAGTTAACATGTGGTGTATATGTTTTAAGGTATTAATTATAAGAGATATGAGGAGGACAATTAGTGAAGGAGAGACTTAGTTAAATGGAATGCCTTTAACCCTCACAAACATAATGTCTCTAAACCACATAATTTTACTTGGGTTTTTTCTTTAACTCTGCCCATTGGTAACTATTCCAAAATAATCTTATGACAATGTGTACAGTATATATATATCTATTCAGTATTAGTTTAATTTTATTGAATTAAAACAAAACTGGTGAAGATAAATCAACCATGAAACTTACTTCTGTGAAAACTTTTCCTTGTTAAGTGCAGCCAGTCGAGGCAGGATCTGTAGGAGGGCACTCTGAATGATGGTGTTCCTACTGTTCCTCTGGTTCAGGACCTGAAGAAGGGACACAAATGAGAACAGAGAGACATTATATTCCATACACCATGATACAGAGGAGATGCTTCAAGCTGCATGAGAAAAAGGGGATGTGTGAAGGAAAGGTCCTGCCATAAACAATAATTAGAGTACTGATTTATTTCATGGTCTCTTATTGTGTTAGATTTATGTGTATAGTCTAGTTAATATCTACTGTAATTAAGCCAAACTACTGTGTAAATGAAGTTGGACACACACACACATGCTGTTGCTACCATTCCATGAAGCAGTGAAAAACCCAAAGAAATATGGTTGATTAATATTTAGACTCTAACAATGTCTGAAGCTTCACATCTAATAAACTTGGAAAACTAACAATGGGAAAAAAGTGTGGCAAACCTCCACTCCCTCCACAGCCTTACTTGGGTACTGATGTCATCATACTTCTCAAGGATGAGCTCTCGACACGTTCGACTTTCACACGGATGGTCCAGAATGGTAGTTTCTGTTCCTCTGTAACCCAAGGGTGAAGAACTTTATCAATAACACCCAAAAATAAATAGTCCTAAATAACTTCATATATTTCGTTACTAATTAATTCAAGTTGAGACTGATTAAATTCCCATCTCACTGAAGTGGTTGGGAAGACAGAAGGTGAGGACCCAAGACAACCAATCACAATGTGGCTCCTCACACATTAATTCACAAGTTCCTCTGCAGCCTTTGCCTCTTGGCCCCACACATAAATTAACTTCAATGACGTAACAAAAATCCCTTCACTCATTTGTCTGATACTGCCTTTTAATCTCAGCTTGTGACCCTTGTACTTGAAAACTTAAATCATCTATCCAGCCAATCATCAAATCAATATCTCTAAAACTTTCACCAAAATCATCCTTCTTTCTTAGCCAAAATACAACCAGTCCTAAGCGGTCTAATAATATAATTCAATCCATCTTCGGGAATAAATACTCGCACACAGAATGTAAATTCCCCTCTATCTGCTAGGATTAAAAGCCTGCTGCGCTGTCTCACTCCACCCGACGTAAAAGAACACACACACGATTTGACTATTTTACTTAGAATATAAAAATCAACCAAGAGGAGGAGAGGAGGAGCAAGATAACTCAACCAAAAGAGGAGGACAAACTTACCCTATGGTTGTGTTAGAATGTGAGGGCAGGGTGGAGAGAAGATCATGGGGTGTGTGAGATGACGAGGGCAGCGACCCCTGACCACGAAGACGCCTCACTACAGATGACACGCCGTCCTGGGTAATACAGCAAGATACAAAACCGCCCGATGTCATTTCCTTCATAAGGATTGATTGACTGATTGTGGTAATTGCTTCCACGGCGACACAACAGCTTAGGTCATGCATCGCCGAATTAAAAGAAAAGCTTAATAGACTAATATCAAACAATAAAAGGTAAATAACGTAAGTAACAAATAAGAGAACTTTCGTAAAAACCATTTGAACGTTAATAGATAAATCTCAAAGCTTATCTGTCATAAGGACCTCGTTATTCAGGGTCTCCAGTATATATCAAGGTGAAGTTCCCAGAGTTCAGGATACAGGAGGTAAGGGATAAAGGGATCCACAAGATGAACTAAATTACTAGACAGATGAGACAAACTAACTCTAACTATGAAGTAAATACAAAAACCACATTAGTTACTTTTCACCACTAGATAAATAAAGATTCTAAACCAAAACAATGTCAACTAACTCACAAGTCACTTGAACTACTGTAGTTAATTTGGACGGGAATCACCACTATCACGCACAGGACACACTGCTGACACGTGGGTGGATAAGAGCAAGTACAGAGAGGATTTAACAGACACACACTTTTTTCGGAGCAGGCGTTTGGTAGTGAGTGAGGTGCCGCAGCTGTTTGACGAGTCTCTCCCATTCGTTGTTGCTGCAGCGGAGTAGTTCGTTCAAGACCAACAGGGAGCCGTGGATTCGGTCATCTCGAGTGAGGCTGCGATCTTTGTTATTGCCAGAGTCCTCAAAGCCTGCCCAGACCTCGGTTAAACACTGCTTATACCTGAGACAATACATACATGAGGTTAATGCACAAGATTACAGTCACAATGAAAAATTATGAAGAATAAATATCAAATCGAAGTTGTAAAATATTAAATTATATAACATACAAACCTAAAAGAGAGACAATATGAATAAAATAAATCTACAAAATATTGGAGCATTGTTTCACACCAACATGTAGAATATTATACAGCTACACAAAGCTGCTCTGGCAACACACACACACACCTACCACATTGTTTGTTGCATTTCTTTAGTCTCTCTCTGTGTGGTGATGGTGAGGGCCACCCGTAGCGCTGCCACAGCATTTTCTCTGATGGCTGGCTTGGGGTCTCGTACTGCGTGAAAAATGACATCCAGGAACTGCTGAACTTGCTGGAAGAAGTAGGTAGGTACCGACAGTGCTAATTCCCGGAGCACCAATACCTGTGTGGTGGGTAGTGGTAAGTAAAAGATGGTACAGTAAAGCCACCCTTACTGATTACCTCCCACCCTCACTCTCTGCCTACCACCCCTCACTAACTGCCTACCACCCCTCACTAACTGCCTACCACCCCTCACTAACAATTCTCCCACCCTGCCCACCCCCCTCACTATCACCCACCACCCCTCACACCCACCATATGTGAACCGGTACTTACACCAATTTTCCTTGCGAGGATACGTTGGAAGCCTCATGTTAACTCTACCCAAGTCACCAGCACATTTGATCCCATGTGGTCATAATACAAGTACAGCAGTAACACCTATGGGACCCCACTTACGTTTTTCTCACTATTTTAATTTTTAGCTTTTTGTGAAATATTTCCTCTCGAATCAAAACACAACAGCAAACTCGACACAGAGGCTTACCGCTGCGTGTCTTCTTCCCTCATTGCGATCCGCCTGCAGCCACTCGAACGACCTCTTGACCAGATCTTCGACGTATTCTGCCGTAAACGTTCCAGAGGCTAGAGCAAGGCGGCCAACGGCTTTTGCGGTCAGTTCCATCACTCCCGTATCTGGGCTGCGATTAACAGAAGGAGAAGCATCAACGCACCGTGGACGGGAACAAGGAGACACACATAAAGGTCGTGGGAATGAGAGAGGAGAATGAGTGACAGGATGGTTAGGTAGTCTGTGGGTCCAGTTATAGCCACAGACTCAAGAGACATACACAGACTCAAGAGACATACACAGACTCAAGAGACATACACAGACTCAAGAGACATACACAGACTCAAGAGACATACACAGACTCAAGAGACATACACAGACTCAAGAGACATACACATTAAGCTTCACAGAAAATGAGTTATTTAATACATTAGGTAATAAAATATAATAAAAATACATTATCATCCCCATTTTTCCTACTTAATATAATATCCTATTGACCCCAAGTTGCTAAAATATATATACTAATCTTTATTTTTTCACCCCAATGTACTGCTTATTACTATTGACTCCAAGTTACTATAAACACTCCTGTACTGTAGAAGGTTTGAGAAATTCGTAGCTACAGCATTTCTCACTTAAGACTGATCTTGTTATTACCATGAATTAGACCTCAGTATAATGGAGTGTTCCAACGTTATCAGGACTAGTGTATACACCGTACCTGTTCACGAGGTTCTTCAGGTAGTTAGCAAAGCGGCTGATGCGTAGTCCAGTCTGGCCGATGTCGACGTCCACCAGGCTCACTGCAACCATTTGTACAGAGTAGTGAGTCGTTCATAACAATAAGTGACAAAAAAACGCACCGACAAAATAAACACAAAGACCAATGACTTAAAACCTGATGCATCCATACAGATCTGAGGACACATCACTACCCTGTAATGTGAAGACCAAGAGAGAGGAAAAGTTTTTAACCCCATGAGTACACGTCGTCATGCTCGGGGGGAGAAGTCATAACATTCGAAGGATTAAGAGGTCTTTAACTTTGAGAGAGGTTAAGCCACTGTACTAAGGGGGGTTAAGCCACTATAAAAGAAAGAGAGAGAGAGAGAGAGAGACAGAGAGAGAATCATTCCAACTAATCTCACATTATGAACCTGAAAAATATCTCACTTATCGCGTAAATGCCGCCTTTCTTCTCGTTGATGTCGTTGGAGGAGACCATCTCGAAGATGTGGTGGTTGAACTCATCCAGGAAAGACACCAGCTCATCCAAGGACACCTGTCAAAAGTAACACCCCAATCCCCCCCCAAAAAAAACATTAGCTAACCATTTTACGCTCAAGATCCAAAACTACAAAACCTAGCTTCTCGTTATTTTATTTCCAGCTTTAAAGATTCTTACCTTCTCTCTTCAAGGAAACACAAACATTAATGAGGCAGTAAACTCACCTTGTCCATTGAACTATGAAATGTAAACTCAAAATCCCACCTTCACTGACGCCACCTAAACATCACATGACACGCTGTGCTATACAAACACTTCATCACCTCACTACCAAGACTCATCACTCAAAGTCCAGTTTATATTTCATGATTCGCACAAGAAAATACTGAATCTTTTCCTTCTTGTTTAAATCATTACATTGAATATAATCACCAAATTTTGTTCCCTCAAAGACTTTTTTTTTGTTACTTCCTTGTAATTTCTACTCTGGTGATTTCTTAGTACTGTACACTTCAATAAGAGAGATATTATTTTACACCAAATTGATCATGGATTTTTAATACATGTTTTAAGTATACAGAAGCAATGTAATCAAGAAGCAATGTAATCAAGAACCAATGTAATCAGATATCATACTATATTATCGTGCATTATTCACTTTAATAGTTTCTCGGACTCTGGAAAAATAAACCTAAAACGACTTAAACAAAACATCAATAGCAGAGGACTCAAGGGACGCACCTCTCTCAGCTCGGTGGTAACGTAGCGCTGGAGGTCACAGGCGGCCTTCACCCTCGTCTCCTCCTGCCGAGACTTGAGCCCCACCACAAACTGAGTCATCTTAATGTTACTCATCTTGACTGTCTTCTTCCCCTTCCTTCACTCACAACCTAGAAACATAAACATTTCCTCATGATATATAATGTTCCTGGTTGGGATACATTCCTTCACACTATACAATTCCCAAAACGTCATATCTGATCATTTCGTCAATTATACGGTACATTACGTAAAAAAATCTCACCTACCCCACTTGTCCACAGTCCTAAGTGGTGTTAGCACTGTAACCAACTCACTAGCTTACCTGCCACTCATGGAACAGCAAGTATATAGTTGCTTCAGTAAATTAATTCTTATAAACTATCATGTGATTAAACCAGCAGCTTGAGGACATTTAATGCTTCTTCCCTCATGATAAAGACAAAAAGCTGAGAAGGAAATTCTTTTTTTAACATTATCATTTAAAAAATAAAATCAAGAGCTCCAATAATGACAATGCTCCTTTATTTACACCCGACACACCTGGAATATATCATCAGCTCTTCCATACACAGGTGTTGGGTCGTTAACCAGCTACCTAACACAATATAAAGTAAATCAGGTGGAAGAAAAGTAGTTTAAGTATTCAAATATTGTCCCAAGTTTTTCTGGTGCCACTATAGGGTGAAGTCTACCTGGGACCTGACCTGACCTAACCTAACCTGACCTGACCTGACCTGACCTAACCTAACCGATTCCCTGGATGACTAAAACTAATATACATAAAATAAAAATAAACCCACATCGTAAAACAGTGGTTAATATCCACACTAACCTAACCTAACCACCCTAACACTAACCACCCTAACACTAACCTAACCTAACCACCCTAACACTAACCTAACCTAACCTCATCCCCAGCACATTTCACAGCTATAAATTAAGACAATTAATCTTTCTCTAAAATTAAAATATATTTTAAAAAATACATCAAACATGCTAAAAAAATTCCCTGAGTTTTGGCAATCAGTTATTAATAAATTTTAGTTTACAAAATAAAATACACGAGAATACAAGCTACCATAATCCACCCCAGCCCTAAGTCGTGAGTCACTGTTATTTAAGCCTTTATCTCCCATTTTAACAATTATCACTTACTTCCTGAGATCAAATTACACTGTCGTGGCCATAATGCTTCACATCTTCTGGGTAAATTAGCTCCAGTTATCTCACACAACGCCCAATAAGTGATTAAAAGATATATAGGTAAGGTAGGTGAGGCTCTCTGCTGTGGAGGTTTGTTATGAAGACGTGAGAGTGGAGAGATGCGTAGTAGAGCCGTTCGTGTAGTGACCGACAAGAATCCGGATTAATAAACAGATTACTAAAACTTACATCAACGAACGCACCTAATAACTGAAATTAATAATAATGATAATAATACTAAATAATAATAATAATAATGATAATAATACTAAATAATAATAATAATAATGATAATAGTAATAATAATAAGAAAAAGAAGAACGGAGAGATGCATAGCAGAGCCGTTCGTGTAGTGACCTGACTCAAGCTGGATTCTTCTACTCGGATTATTATAATTTACATCCACGAACCTATAAAAATTTAAATACATACATACATCTTTTGATAGCCAATCGTTTAAGTGATTGATCTATAGATGATTCTTTAAATAGTTTCTACCACATACATTTTGTTTTCAGTTCAATAGACATAGATGTTCATATTCTTTGTTATTATTATTATTGCCGTGTTGTTATTATTACAGTATTATTACTATTATTATTATTATTATTTTATTTTTGTTTTGTAATTTTTTTTCATTTTACTTCTCTGAATTATTATTATTATTATTATTATTATTATTATTATTATTATATTTTCGCCCCCCAGGCCCCGATGTGGGTCAGTGACCTGTGCCCGGGTGGGCTAATCCCCGTTAAAAAACAAAAGTCAATTTATCTAAGAATATGACAAGAAGAAAGTAAATAATTATAAGTAGGTTATCAAGAAGTACGGCTCCCAAGATAATGAACTCTAGGCTGCCATGATAATCAGTTCAGCTGTTGTGTCCACACACCAACAATAACCTACCTTAGGAAGAATTATTGTACTTTCTTTGATATTTAGCTAGGGACTCACCTATAGTACAGTACAGTACGTGCTGAATGACCTTAGTTACTGAAACACAGAAACAACAACACAAATAAAGTAATTCACGCTGAATATTTTCCGACTGATTATGACCAGAACAAAAAGAAATTCACCTGCCTTAGTAAAAGCACTTGTGCCCCCCTGTGAGGTTGTTGCTGTTATTCCCTTTATATATATATGTATGTGTGTGTGTGTGTGTGTGAGAGCCCTTAACGGCAGTAATACAGGGTGGTAAAGCTTCTTCAAGACCAGACTCCACAGGTGTTAACTGTGGTGGGTGGAACACCTAGGGAGGAGTTATCAGCCTCGCCACACCCCCAGGGGAATAGGGGGTGGGGGTCATTATTCTGCTGTGCAAATCTACTGTACATTATTTACAGTTCTGTGGATGAGGAATGCATTTTACCTTATTTACCTAATGGTCACCCAAACTAGAGGCAGCCGTGCCAAGGGAAGGAAGTCATGTATGGGATCCCTCCATTATTCTTGATAGCCCAATACTGTTCTTGATTCCACAGCTTGATCGCTGTTCTGTATTTCTACCATTCTCTGTGTGAGGAACTATTTCCTTATATTAGTCCTACATCACCTACATGTCATCTTAGCGAGGTCTACTTACATCCCCTTGTGTTGTTGGTGAGTGACAGCACAAAAAAATTGGTCTGGGTTCATGTGTTCTTACGTGTAGGATAGATGTTGCAGGTGTCCCTCAAGGGCATCTGTCAACACAAGCATCAATTTAAGAGACAATACAAACACACTGTTCAATAAATTACTCAATAGTGTCGGGAGAAAACTTGTGTGATTAATATTAAGCTTCATTTGCCCTCAGAGATAATGGTTAAAGGCCGTCGACCACAGTTTTCACTTCGTCGTCATTACTGTACTATAATTCTTAAAGATTATATGTGAGTATGTCAGTGTTACTCGACTTGTATACTGGCCTACACTGATGTGGATGTTGAAATGTGTCCACTGTTTATCTCTTTAGGTCAAAGTGATAAACATAACACAGGATATACCTTCCATTATCTAGAAACACGCTTAACCACCAAACACGCCAAACCACCAAACACGCCAAACCAGTTGTAAACTTGTATGGCGACTTTACAGAATAAACATTATTATTATTGTTGTTGTTGAATCCTTTAAATTCCAATTCCAAGAGAAAAATTTATTTTGGTCGAAAAATTACTACGGCATAATAAGGCAGTTTTAGCCAAAAATTAGATTTCATTGAAAATCTCAGCATAGGTACTCCTGACCATGCTGATTCCAAATCTATGGTCCACGATTCGATTGGTGGGTAATTAGTGGTTGTAAGAACACTTGGAAGATCTTAACTACATTTCAATGTTAATAATTCACCAACTGTGGGTTTCTGAGGTGTGATTTAGGTGTTTCTGTGTTATTCTGGACATACTTAATTAGTTAAACCCTGTGTGATCACCGCCCATGACCCCACTTGGACTTACCCAACCTTAGTTAATTCCCAAGTGGCCCACCGCCACATAGCAGCTAATCCATCAAACAGACCGCACCAAACTTGGCCCATAAACTCACACAAGTTAAAATGTTTATATTGTTGACTATTTATACTTATTTCACTGTTACATTTTCATAGTTACTTACTCTTAGGTGATGAAACAGTAACAAATTGTGTGTGAAGATAATTCTTTTAATAAATATTGCTTTACTCACCATAAGCTGGCTGCAGCATCTACCTGAACCGTGGGCCACATTAAATAGAATTTCTCAATCACTCAACGGGCCACACAAACACATGGTCCAGGCAGCAGGTTGAGCATGCCTGATATTCAGTAATTGGTGAGCCTTTTTAGCAAATGGTGAGTAATAAATTTGTTTTGAATACACTGGAGTAATTCTGAAAAAGTATTATAATTATTAGATAATTTCAAATTATCATAGTAAAATATAAAAGAAAGAAAAGTATATATATACTGTGTACTCGTACACAGTACATTGGTAATATTGTATCGAGTTATGATGCGATCTTTCTGTATTTGGCTTTCTCGTTTAAGGTGTTTGAGATTTTTCTATAAAATCATCCTGACAACCCTGACTCGAACTTCACCTCAACAGGCAGCAAGCTTGAAATCATGCAAGTGCACTAATTATGACCCCACACATAGGCCTAAATACTCTTATAACAGGCTGAAAATTTCATAATGACATGTAATTATTATTATAAGTGTCATTAACATAATCAAATTAAATGTTTCCACTTCCTCTTACATTTTACTCTGTTAAACTTGTGACTGACAGCATTTAACAAAAACATTCTCATATTAGGAGATAGGAATGTACAGACTGAGGTTTCCATCAGTCATTCTGCTCATCTTTTACATTTTGTGCCCCACAACAGAAAACATCTGTCCACATGTGTATGTTGATCCAAAAATTGACATCTTCATGATGCAATGTTGAAGTACTGGCCTGAGGACATTCACCCACAAGATAAATGTGTGTTGGGGGCCAGCAAAAGGGACCCCTTGGCCTGCAGCTGCCCACCATTGGTCTAGAATGAACTGCATTTAGGTATATATGTGGTGGTTGATCCAGTGGTCAATAAATTGCATAAATGTTTACTAAAGAGGTTAATGAAAATATGTAACTACCTACTACAATGTCTATTTCATATGAACAATATATCAACACTGGGCATGTAGTCCTTTTAGAAGGCTGAAGACTTTAGGATTGTAGCCCTCTAGCACAGGTTTTGCAGCTTGGAAGCAACATTTACCAAAGAGAGGTTCCCAAGGCTGGGTCCAAAAAATGTTCTTGCTTAGCCCAGTCAGGTTGAGGGTGTTGAGCTGAAACACTCCCATGTGGAAATGTTGCTTGTGCATATGGACTACCTGCACTACTACAGGCTTCTCCAAGTTGCCATTTTCAATCTGCAATGATGGCTAGATATCAATCATATACCTTACATATTTTGTTTTCACTTGCAAATTCTCTTCAATTATAATTAAGGGAAACCTAAGCCAAAAAAAAACAGACTCTTGCTATTCAGATAAAAGTTACAAATGTCATTAAGAGTGTGTGTACTAGCTCCTCCCTGCAGCCCCTCCATCATCCTCACCAACTTCTCCAATACAGTAGTACCCTCTTCATCCTCTGACACCAACAGTACAATATAACAACCATTGATGGATTCTGTATATCTAACAAACATCTCTGCACTACAGTTATATACAGTACTCATATATAAACATCAATAGTCTTAAGGATTTTACTATATCAACAGAGAGGGATCAGTGCCAGATGAAGACAGTTTTTCATGGTGCTCAGCTGGGAACTGAATGAAATAGTGGTATTGAGCCAATAGATGATGGTAAGTATACATAAACTGGTACAGACACAAGATCTAAAACACTGTAAGAGAAGTGTGATCTTAGGGTCTTAAAGCAGACCTTAGCAGCCTCTGGGGGTAGGGTGTGATGAAGTAAACCCTTCCTGTTAGTATGTGCAGTAACTCAGAGCTGCTTGGCTAAACAGTATATCCTAGAAATATATAACTTATCATCTACCTCCTAAACACATTGCAAAAAGTCTCTGTTCATAACTTTATAAGCAGTAATCAGTAACTTCTCATGAATGGTGTAGACCTACCTTGGCTATTTGCTTGGCATATGCAGCAGCATGTGAAAAGGCATAAAGGAGAGTCATCCCATTAAAGTGCTCTTCGGAGTGTGGCATCCTGGACTGGTTGTGATGGATGAAGATGGTGTGTGGATGAAGGTGACCACTTCCAACACCTGGCAAGTGAAACGAGAAGTGAAATTTACAGCAAGCATAAATTAAAGATATCTGAGAACCTGTAATGTACACAGGTAAATCAATGTAAACAATTTTCACCTGTGAGTGCTGGGATTGACAATATCTTTGTGCTGGGAATTTGATTAAAAACTCTCTGGGATCCATGTGTGGGCGGGCTGCCTTAACCCATCGGCCCACAATTGCGACACTGGGGACCTCGAGCTGCAGTAAGTAGCCCACTGAGGTCCAGTGGATGGTTGCCTGACTGCCAATATTGGTGGTCTGGGTTCGAATCCTGGCACTCAGAGGTGAAAATTGTTTACATAAAAAGAAGACCCACTTGAGAACTCAAGAAAACTGTTTTACCATCACTTATCTTCCTCCCTTTCCACTGCAGAAACACTTCCTGTATTCTATTAATCAATCAAAAAAGATGAAACAAAAAATTTCTTTCCAATGAAGCAGATCCCAAATTAACCCAGATAATAATGTTAAAATGCTGAGAAAACTTCTAAAAATAGAGACATGGCTTACAGTAACCAGTACAGACTACATTCCCAGTCTATGGCACAGCCTAACCTGGTGAACTGAAGTTATCTGAAACTTTTGAGTCACAACCGACTCATTCAACCATTTCAGGTCCAGAATAATGTGGAGATCACCCAACGACATCAATGAGGAAAATAAGGAGAAGTAGAGTAGGGAAATGCAATATTAATGGCCTATTCTTCCTCACCTCTTAGCCAATACTCACGACTGAAACAATGTCCAAGAGAAAAATCGCCAAAATGTGCTTCAGACTAGAACCAAGCTTGGCCCACATCAATGTTAGACAGATTACCGCTGCATTAATGACAAACTCTCAATTTATGTTCCCTTAAACAGTGAGAACAAGATGCCTAAAACTGAATACCATGACATTTGCTCTCTCAGATGTGAATACCCAATGGGATGTTCTTAAGACCATCACCACCAAGACCTGCTGTGAGACCCTGGCCAAGTCCAAAAGAAACATTAGTACTGGTTCAATGAAAACAACCAGGAAGTCCAATTAGATGTACAGCTGCTACTATCCATCAGCAGGAGGCGTCAGTCCAAAGCAATTTCAGCAGATGAAGAACAAGGGATGGACTTTAAACCTTCGATAACTTAACTACTAACAGCCTGCCTCCCCCCCCCTCCCCCTTTTACTCACCTGAATGTAACACCCAAATGAGAGACTAAGATTCCACCCTCCACCACTGAAAGGAATGCCACCATCCTCTGCTCAACCAAACCAACAATGTGGAAGTTAGAACTACCCAGCAGGTCCTTCAATGCCTCGAGCTGGTTCACCTTGACAGCCCTCTATATTATTATAAGCTAGCCACTAGATCTGACGGAATCCCAACAGAGGTACATAAAGCACAGGGACACCACCTGAACAACTACTTCCACTCTCTTCTGCAGAATTTAAAGAAGGAGAAAATCCCCCCAACAACCGAGACAACAAAGGGCACAGTATAAATACATTACATTCTGCTAATCCCTCCCTCAAAAGTTGCATCTAACCAAGTAGTACAAATGATACATCCTATGAGTAATTTCGTAATGTTGCTGAGCTGGTGAACAGTGGAGCCTCCAGATGAAAAAGGTTAGTGTCAAACCCTGCTACTTGAGACACCAAAATTACAAAAACAAACAATATATAAATAAATACATAAACTGGCGACTGTAATTGCCCTTATTTTCAGCTAAACAGAAAATTAAAAAAATACTGTACTGTTTCCGTCCTTACCATAGGAATCCTCCAAAGAGTAATTCCCGATTGCTCGACAGTTAATAAACGGTGAGAGAGGATATATGTCTGGCATTGTCTCCTCTTCCAAACTCTTTACTTCCTCATTATCTAAAAGCTGAGGTAACGGATTTGGTGACGACAAGATGAAGGCTGCTCTGTGCTTCGTCTGTATAAGACGATCTGTTGCATAAAGACGAGAGGAAAACAATTTAGAGAGTCCAGTGTTTCATGAAGGAGCACCGGTTTTATGCCATGTTTCAGTTCTACATGAGATGAGGTGTCAAGTAATGTAAAACAAACATTTAAATACAAGATAGCAGGAAACTAAACCAAGTGTTGTGAGGACAGATGATTTATGATATTTAATCTCTTTATGGTTATATCGAGACAGAATTCTCCAACACAAGAAGAAGCAGGACCACCAGAAGACACTGAAGTAAGAGTTAGCAGGGACTCAATCTGAACAATAGTCATAACTGATGAATTTAAGTTTTAAAATATATGACACTAGATTCAACTCATCATAAATATTTGAAGTATCAGTACACGAGGCAACACACACAGTACCTGAATGGTTAAAATTGGCAGTGGTGATGGTATCCTCCACCAGCTGCCTCTCAGCTGCCCCAGGCACTAAATGATCAAGAAGGAGCAGGAGCTGGTATGTCAGAGTCTTGCTGTGGGAGATAATAAATTACATTACCAACTTACAATACCTTCCTTTTAATTCATGAGACTTTCCACACAGATGACCCTCCAATACAATATCCTGTACACAGAAACCACCTCCTCCTGCCCAAGGTAAGGATAGTGAGATGCTTGGTTGTGCTGCATCACTGCTTCCTGTGCTAGTGTCTTGTGGTCAACAGAGTGGTTCAGTCTAAGGTAGGGAGTGACTTAATAATGATATTAATGAGAATAACTTTGATTCAGGAAAGAACAGAAAACCCACATTAAAAGATGGAAACTTATATCAAAACAATACATATTTGATGGCTACTGGGATCCTCTTCATTATAAGAATCAAAGGTGAGGCATCAAAAACACAGATAAAATTAACAGTTGCAGGAGTGAGGTAAAATGCACTCACCTATGCAACATTTAAAACATTAATTACACTGTACAGTACCAGTAAGCTTTGAATTGACATTATATATATTTTCTGAGAAGCATAGACTAACTTGACCATATAAACAAGTTAGTTTTTACATTCCTGAAAAAAGGCATTTTGTCGTCCATCAGATATCTGACCTGTTACCTTGTGTTTTAGCAAATAATGTCAAAATTCAGATTTTTTTTCATACTCCTTTACATGCTGATTATAGATATGGGTTACAAATGTTATAATTATAGTAATTACAGTACTGTTAATTAATGATCCATGATGTAATTAAATTCTTCTAGCAATTATTGTTAATTAATGAGCATTGAAATAATTAAACACATTTATAATATTTAAACCATCAATAATGCGGTGCCAGTAAATTTTAAATAAACTTCATATGAATATTTACTTTAAAAAAAAAGGCTCTTGTCGCCCTAAAAACACCTGACCTTGGGTTTAGGCACATGATGGGTGTGTACAATGCCTTCAAGTATTAAAAACTATAAGATCCTCCCTGTTAATATTTGATGCCACTAAAGTAAGGCTGGTGTTTGTAGTACTCTATGCCAACACTGTGATTTAATATAACTATACACAGGGGAAATTAGCAAAGATCTTAGGACTATTAGTAAGGAACAGAAGTACTGTACTATACTTAAGTTATGATGTAATATTATTTTCAATTATGTAAGAGACAACAACTACACAAACACCAAAAGATAAATAAAACGTACAATTAAATTCCATTAAAAATTGTTAGATGAACTTAAAATACGAACTACCAGTTACAGAGACATTTCACAATTACGCACAACTAATACAAAGTTTACAGACAGACTGACACACACACACACTTACTGAATGCTATATCTCCCCTGCCTAGGCCAAAGGAATTCTGAAACATTAGCAACACTTACTGCCTTCTTGCCACTGGGATACCATATTCTCGCTTATATATCCATCCCGGTCTGTTGATGACGTCCAATACCCTCGTTAACTTAATTTGTTTGGAGTCCAACAGATATGCATGAAGAATTGCCCTGAAAAATAAATAAAAATTCAGTAACGGGTAAATAGAAAAGATTAACTGAAGAACTTAATAATTCAGAGCAAATTTGGACTTTATTTGCCATTACTATACAATGAAACCTGACTAATGCATATCAAACTGGGCTGAGGGCAGAGTGAACTCCCCAACACAGTACTGGTTGGTGTATAAGATTCATCATGACTTTACAAGGACAGACTGTATTATATGTTTAAAAGCCAAAAGGTTGCATAAACAGTGTGACAGTAAAAATTGTCTATAGCTACAAATATAAACAGATATAATAAAGCATAAGAACATCACTTATCCTCCTGTAGTGTCCATCTGAGGAGCAAGAGACACTTACAGCTTTAAATGAAAAACTTGTTTAGACTGAGACACGGACACCACCTATGGCTGATGGATGCCTCACAAATCAGTAGTTCGTAACCCTGATTCCACTAGTGTATTAGCTGCTCGCAATAACCTTCTGTACAGGGAGGATGTATCATGATGGTGAGCAGGAATGTCAAGGGGCATTTAAGGGTAGTAGATGTTGAAGGTTACTCATGGAGGACCTGTATGCTATGCTGTATAAAGCTTATTACTGCAAAATTTGTTACCATCTTTGTCTCTAAACATAAACATACATAACAGTAATCAAGAGTGACTGGTAGGTAACTAACTCTTTCACTTTCTCATCTTCCTCGGCCGTGTTCTCAACGGCGCGCTCCAGTACAGTTTCAGGCAAACCAGATCGAACGACAGAGTTTGTGATGAGCTGAACTTGAGACACGCCCATCACTGGGGAGAATTTATTGGTGAACACATGGCACAGAGTTTGTTTCTCTTCTAATTCCTTAACAGGTTCTAGTCTTGGTAACAGATCAACCTTTTCAAACCTGAGAAGAAAATACTAGAGTTAATATAATAGTCACATGCAGTAACAGGTTTAATTAAATTCTAAATACTTTAATACCATAAGAGATATTTTGTGTATAAGAAAGATTTTTTAGGTCTTTATGATTAAGTCCAATAATTCCAACAGCAGTTCAGTAATCTCCAACACCTGGCACACACTGCATTAAAATGGTGAAGGCTTAAGATAATAAAGCACAGATTTAAGTAAGAAAATTAATACTGTAACTTACAAATGCATTAGTGTGTGTCTATCAGTTTTCAGCAAAGTACATGGCCATATACAACATTATTTTTATGACAGGTGTTCTGTGTAAGTACAATAAATCCTGCCCAATCCACAGACTTTCAATCAACGAAAGACTAATTGAATACTGTGCAAAATTTGTTCAATCCACTTAAATCTTTGCCTTCCACATAACCACTTCTGGGAAAATACTGAACACGAAATTACTGTGTAGCAGTTTAAAATACTTCATGGGGAAATTTTTCCATAAATCAGTAAAACTATATTCAGGTTTTAAGTTTATCTACTATAAGGTACAATACTGAACTGTTATCCTTTTTTAAGTTGGGAAATTAATGGGTAAATACTTATTCTTGAAAAGGATTAAAACAGTGAAAAACATTGTTTGAATTGTATCACTTACGGGCGATCATATGCAGGTGACAGGACCTCTTGGGGATGCACAACTGGCACTCCTTTAGCCCTGAGGATGGCCGCAGCCCCAGTGTCAGAGACTCTCTTCTTCCCCTGTATCAGCCACAGTGCCTTGAAGTGGGAACCTATATTCTGTGCAAACCTTAACTCAGTGACCCTCATGGTGGATGGCTACAGTGTACCTCTGATAACAGCAACACCCTGAAAAAGTTTCAAGACATAATTTGCCATCCGTAAAACTCAAATGCACTCAGTAACTATGTACACTCGCTCCAGAAAGTATCTGCAAGGTGGGGTCTGAACCGTCTGGTGGATGTCAAGATGAACACTGAGACTCCTGTTGTCTCGGTAGGATTGTTAAAATACTTCGGTCGTTGTCATATTGTCTCAAAAAAAATTGCAGATTCTTTTTGTAGCGAGTCTACTCCCTAACTCTTCCTTACCATACAAAATGACAGTATGTGTGCTGACATGAAAACTCATACCTCTCGTGGGGCGGGCATCCAATAGCTCCACATATGTACAGAACACATGACTGAGTTATGTACTTTGATGCGTTTATAAACTTGTCTTAAAGCACCTCATGCCCGTCTATAGTATTAACTGGCAAATGAAGACGTTTTAATCTTTATAGGTGCTAAGGTACTGAAGAGCCGACACTAGTTTAGTTGATTTCCTTCTGACTATACCAATCAATTGGCAGTGTTTAATATATCTCAGGGATCAAACAGAATGAATGATAGGAGGAGCACCTTGTGAGGAACAGACCTACGCCGGTGCAGCACTGTATAAGTCCTACTAGTTTATCAGCATGAACTCACTGCCACACCTGTGACTTCACTAATAAGCTCACGGAATCTTCTAGAATTAAATAATCAATATCTAGATAGTTATACAGTAATTACCTTCCTTAAACAACAATAGTTACGGTATACAGTATACCCTAACTACCTTCACCGACAACAACATTGTTTACATCACAAGAAACTGATCTAAGTTTCAGTGGGATGGAGCCCCAGCCTAAAACAATATTACATTGATTAATCTTATAATAAATATACTATTATTATTTTAAAACAAACTAAAAATATCAAAAATTAAAAATAGTTAAATCTTATTAAATATATCTTCATAAATACATTAATTACGGCTTAACCAGATGATAATGTTCATGTTTTCACCAGAGCCTGGAACTTAAGCAGTTTTAGGTTGATTGCCAAAGGATAATATATCTATAAGCAAAACCAGCAGAGACAAAGAAGCAAACAAACTCTTTAATGTAAAATTGTTGATGATCAACAAGACACCAGCGGCAGTAATCATATGGTATTTTGTAGTTCCTGGTGGTTGTGTTGTCACAAGTTTTTTTGTTACATTCGCTTCACCACTGAACTGACAAGCCTTATCAAGTCTGGTCTCAAATGGTTCTCATATTCGATACCGCATTCTCTGGCAGGTTATTCCAAGAGTTCACAACTCTCACTCCAAATAAGTTAACTTTGACAATTTTCTGTACTTGTGGTTTCCTTGTTCATTAGCTCGAGGTTATATACTGGAGCGGTCTTCCTTAGGGGCGGTCATCCGCTAGCTCCAGACACATGAACACTTGACTGAATAATAATAATAAAATTCATGAGCAGAAGCGCTAGTCCATTGATCTTTATTTAGTTACTTATTCGCAAATACATTTACTTCAAACCAGATGACACGAACCTACCAAACCTAATTTGGGCACTAGGTCAGGTCAGGTCAGGCTCGGGTTGGTTAGTTGGTTGACCCGAGAGTGAGGGGGAGGGAGGCAGTGGCGCGTACTCTCCCCTCTGCTCATTCACTCCCTGGCGCTCACCACTTCAACACTCTTCTCCCCTCGTTACAGTACAGGTAAGTCATCAGGTGAATTGGTAATAGATGATTTGATTTAAAATACCTTATTGTCGGAGAATTAAGGTTTATTTATGTACGGTTTTGACGATGGCAGATCCTGGGACTTTTTTAAACTAATTTCCCCAACTCTTACACTCAAAGTTCACAGCTCTTCATTCTCAACGTTATTTCCTCACTTGTCTCTTTGATCATTCACCTCACCTCTTTAACCAACTCGCTTTCATAAAATCCCATCAAACGAAATTTTATAAAATGCTCAGCTGGTATTATTTTTTTCCTTGGGTTTGTTCTTTTATGATGGTCCTGCTAAAAGAAAACTTAGTTCAGTATTTTGTTTTTGTTTTTTGTACATTGATATATAAACTAACATAATTTTTTTACACAGAGATCACCCGATTGGCACATTTCCGTAATCTAGGCACGTAATTGACTCCAGAATGCCAAGGTCTGTAATTGTAACGTATGGAGTAAAATATAGCGAAAACAACCTAATAATGGAGTAAAATATAGCGAAAACAACCTAATAATGGAGTAAAATATAGCGAAAACAACCTAATAATGGAGTGTAATATAGCGAAAACAACCTAATGATCTACATTACATTGACGAAATAAAGGCAGGCGACTTTGTTTATACAGGCTGTTTGTCTATAGGCACAAATATATATTCGTCGTTTTGCTATCGACTTTGATTCTATAGCTTCGCTTATCAATGAAATTTACAAGATGTCCGCCCCTGATACGGACACACATTTATATAACACACAAGAACGCTATCAGCGGTAATTAAACCTAACCTAACCTACCCAAACATTACTTAACCTAACCTAACAGTAACTTAGACAAACTTAACCCAACCTAACCAAACTCAACATAGCCTAATCAAATTTATTCAAACTTAACTTCCAGTAAACATCTAGGTATCATTAAAGTGTTGACAAAAATCTGGGGAAATAAACTGAATCTGAGGATACGATTAATAACACCAATATTAATTATTACGTCACTCAGGATTAAATAATGTACGTCTGCTCGCACCTTCCCAATAACGATGCGTCTATTACTAATATATTATACTATAATATATAACCTACACAAGAGCTAATAACGCGGAACAAAGTACACCAGAACTCATATATCAGCAATCAGACATAAATACCAGGAATCACAGGAATTACCAGGTACTCAAGTGGTTATTAGAAGTTACATTGAGTCAGGAGGCAAAGGCATAAAGGATTATAATATGTCCTGTCCAGACGTGTGTTAGTTTATTAATTTATCAATATATATTACCGAAATTTAGGCGCTGTGTTGAATATAGGATGAGGCTGGAGGTGATATTCTTAGTATCAAATAATCTTAGTTATATAGTCTGTGTGTCTGCCTGTTTACACACCCACACACAGAACACAGTATGTAGGTATTGGTGTAAATAATGACTGTGTTGTTTACAGGCCGCGAGTAATGAACACCAAAGGAGAAAAATGTCAAACTGTAAATCTCACGTGGGTGATCGTGTGTTCTTCCAGTGACAAAGGTTCAGATATAAAACAATAAAAGTTGTATGATAGCGCCATTACACTATGTTAAGACATTGTCAGTGTGGGCAGAAGGAGAGGGTGAGTATTCGTATGGTGGTTTCCCCATAGACTTTCGTTCGCTCGTGCTGGCGCTGTGTCTATGGTAGGTGGGGGTATGTGAGTTTGTCCTGGGCATAGAATAGATGATATTGATTTCTAACCCCGGATACACCCTTTATTGCCACCTAACCTAACCTAACACTGTAGTCATTATAACAGATAGTGCGGGTCATAATAATGGTGTGGTGAAACATAGCAATATAAGTAATAATATTAACCCTTTGTTTGGTCATGTTACAGATGGTGTGGTCACGGGGTGTGGCCAGTGTGGTGGTGGTGGTGCTGGGCGTGGCCATCGTAATAAGTAAGTAATCTCTCTCTCTCTCTCTCTCTCTCTCTCTCTCTCTCTCTCTCTACCCCCAAGTTAGAAACCTCACGTTGCCATCTTTGTGACCTGACGGGGGTCATAATTATTAGCTGAAAGGACACACTGAAGAAAAACTGTTCCAGAAATCATAGGTCAAAGTTCATACTAGAAAAAAATACACCCCAATTTATTTCACCTGAAGATTAGACACCCAGATTGTTCCAAGAGTTCACATTTATCACTCCGAAAAAGTTTGCCCAATGAACACTCGACTGAGTAATGTCCTCTGAGATGTTTATAAACTTCTACCATATCACCGCTGTCACCCCTTGCCCGCCTATAGTATACAGTAGGCAAGTGTGAATATGTAATAATAGTGGTTGTTTTGGGAGGTAACAAGTAATGTGATTTATGTGCACATGAGTATTCGATAATTTTGAAAAACTTATATGCACATGATTATCCTATTAGCTTGGAGATACGTACGTACTTAAACTCTTATATATTACTATCAATATGTGCACATAATTCACCACCAATATGTGCACATACTCTACCCCTAATGTGAGTACATACTTTACATTCACGTTAACACATATTTCCTTGTAAAAATGTGAACTAAGTGCACATACAGTACATCGCTATTAATACGTGCACTCACTCCAGGGCCAAAATATTTACCTCATGGCTATAGTAACCCCGAGGTGTTATGGTCATCCTCATCAGTTGTTTGTTGAGGCAGGTAAGACAGGTAATTAATTGGCCCTACCTGAAGATTCCGTCTCACCTGTGTCAAAGATTAATGTGTATTTTGACGATGTTATGAGCCATCCTTCACTTGTCTGCGCTGCGGTCGTGTTTTTATCACTCTCTCTCTCTCTCTCTCTCTCTCTCTCTCTCTCTCTCGGGAACTTCGACCTACTGATACTAATAAAAAAAATGTGGTTTATTATTTTCTCAACAATAATTTAAATTTAAAAAAGAAAGAAAATGCAGATTGATGGAACATTAATAAGATTTAGTAAGGAGACAAACAGAGACGTAAGGTAATGCCAATAAAAATGCTTACAAATAAAATACAATAAATATTCCTATACTCTTTATCCATTTTCATGTTTATTTTTTGGTCATTCAATAAGATACTGCATAATCATTTGCCATCAATATTTCAATAACCATAACGAGAAAAATTTACTTAAAAGGCGATATTATTCCTCAGTCTTAAATCATTACCAATTTAGTTTATTTTTCTCTCTACTTTACTTTAACATAATTAATCTTAAATCCCGGCTAGCTCCCTGATATCTTCAACCCCCAAAACATCTACTAATCGTTCCCAGCGATATATTTCTCCTTATGTTAACTATAGTCAAGTTTCAGGACGTCAATTCTCTCAATAATAATACCTTCGCCTTCCTTTCTCCCTTCGTAGTCTAGGCACGTCATCAGTTACCAATATATATTAATATTTGCCAATGCATAAGTCTTACCCCATTAAACACATTATGTCAATATCCCAATCTTTAGTATACCTTCCCTTGACGAAATTAGAAGCTGGATATCTTTTTCATATTAACAAAAATTAGTTGGCACACTTCAAGGCGTTTTGAGCCATTAAGTTTATTGAAAATGGAGTTTGCGTTGTTTATATTGGCGCTGCTCCATTTGATTAAATTGAAATGTTTGTTCTTGGCTTCAGCTGACGCGTGCGGTCGATCAGTTGTTTTCTCCGCGGCCACGTGCCATTAATTTTGTAGTGTTGTATTGTATTGGCAGCAGGTACTTTCCACGTGTCATTATATAGGTGAACTTATTTTTCTCTGATGAAATTATAAGTAACGGGTTTCTTGTCACTTCACCTAGGCCCCTGTGTAATTCATCTAGTACGTGTTTTATGAATGTGATCCAGTTGGAGTAAATATATATATTAATTTAGATGCTGAATATACTGTAGTTTAGTTACAATATTCTGTTGTGAATATGTTGAGGCAAATTCTAGCTATTGTATCTCAAAATTATTTCCATCACATTCTAAAAAGAAATGCTGGGTTTATTTAGTTCCAATATGTCGACTTAAGGTGAAATGTCTTTATTTTTAACATGTTGATATAATCATCATGTTTTGAATATAAATGATGGATTTAATTTAGTAACAACATATTTAACT